TAAAATCATTAAAAAAAAAATAAAATAAATTATGAAAAATAATTGTTTAGATTGTTTTTGTAATGTCTTCACGGGTAGATAGAAGAAAAAATTGATATAATAGAGCATTAATATAAAGAGATTTTCTAAGTTAGCAATTACAATCCTATTAATAGTTAACTTATACTAAATTTGGAATTATTAAATCCATAAGATCAACAAGTTTATAATCTGAAAACTTTTGTTTAAACATTTATTGAGAATATAGATATAATATTAAAAAATAAAGAATAAATATTATTGAAATAAGATGAATATGAACTTGATGTTGAATTTGATAGATTAAAATTTTAATTAAATGGTTGTGAATATACATGTCCATGTTGTAATAGAAAATGTGATTAAGATAATGATAGTATTCATACTCATTAATGTTAAAATGGCCATTAAATCAGAGGTTACTGTATAATATATTTAGGTATTAATGGTATTTTGATTAATAAAGATAGTCCATCATTATTCACTTGTTAAGAAATTTTAGATGGATGCATGATTATAACACTTGAAACCAATTTGAAAAGAACCTGGAAAGATGTGAAAAAAGCACATTTGAATTGGAATTTCCAAAACTTGTTTTAGGAAAGCAACAATTAAAATATAAATAAATGGAAAAATGTTTGGAATAGAGGCTTGGGGAAATTAATTTGTTAACATTTAGAAAAATAATTAAATCATTAAGTCATTTTCTCATAAAAATAAGAAATACCTATTTAAGTTTCAAATTTTCATTATATTCTCATTCTTGATGATTCAGGTTCAATGAAAGGAGATAAATGGAGTTAAGCAAAAGATGGAGCTTTGAATTGTATAAAGTAATTAGAAAACACTGATAGTGCAAAAGTTAGTGTTATAATCTTTAACAGCAATGCAAGAATAGTTGCAGAATGTTAAAAACCCAATTTTTAAGAAATGAATAACAAAATTGTTTATTCAGGAGGTGGTATCTGTTTTGAACCACCATTCAAATTAGTGCTAGAATTGATTGAAAAATATCATGACTTTAATAAGTAAATAAATTAAAAATATTAGAATTTAAATATTATTTTATACTGATGGAGAAGCAAGTTATCCATAAAATGCAGTTGATAAATTATGTTCGCTATCATACAATATAAGACGTCTAATCAGTATAATAGCCTGTTCTGGAGAAAAATATTCTCAATAATTAGCACTATTGATTGAGAAATTTAAATAATATATATAATCAGCCGAATTAAAAAATTCTGTTGGTCGGTTAATTTATTAAGTTAATGGTATTATTAATTATAAAATTCAATAATAATCATTATCTTAAAAATCTCTTCCTTTCTTTTTAAATTTTAGATACTTGAATTATCTAGGATTTTAAGGGTTCATCTAATATTTTTGTATTAAATAATTTACTAGAATTAATTTAAAGATCTAAAAGTTTCTTATAAAATTGAAAATATGTGTAAAAAGGGTGAAAACATATTTATTTATATTAAGTTAATGAACCCAAAATTTTTTCGAATTAATAGCTTCCTCTTTGAAGAAAATATTAAAATTAATTGTAAAAACAATCATTATAAAAAAAAGTATTAAGTGTAATTTAAAAAGTATGTTTCTTATATATCAATAAGTCTTTTGTTGTTAAATTTTAATATTTATTCAAACATAAGTTTAATAATGATAATTTAACATTGTATCCCAGATTAATTAGAGATACCCTTATCTTTTACTCTTTATAGCAAAATTATTCTAAGAAGATTACAAAAAATGTTTCATTTATTGGTGAAGACTTTAATTTGAAAATAAGGGTTTGACTCTAATAGGATTTTTATATAGTAAATACAATTGAATTTAAAGGAATTTTGTGACAAATATAATACATTTGAATAATGGTAAAATTATAATTCACAAAACTTTTTTAAGTCTAAATTACATTCATCAATCTTATAAGCTATTTAGGATTCCTATAAATTATATATTCATATTCAAAATATATATCAATTTAAAATAACTTGGATATAATAAAATTAATATTTTGAGCTATTTAAAAGTCTTTGCTCCTCTTTTAAGAATATATAGAGAGCCTTAGGTATTATTTCAAAGTAAATTATCAAAATAGATCTTAAAAGAAGAAAAGGTAATTTAGATATTTAAAAATATCCTAAAAAACTTTCTTTTTAATATAATACATAAATCTTAGTGATTTTTTTCAATTAAATTAAAAACAATTAATATTAATCAAATTTGGAAGAAAAATATTAAATGTTAATTTTTTTCTTATTTAGATTGTGATTAATAGAATGTAATCAAAAAATTAATTAATAATGAAATTATTCAAGTTTAAGTTTTTAGATATCTTTTCAATAATTAAAAGTAATATATTGGCATTCTTTTAAGTATCTTGAAATATATAGTTGTTGATAAAATAAATCATATTATGTTTTAGATCTATTATTGAGATTTTATTTATTAAGTTATTTCTCTTTAATCATGATTAAATATCAAATTATTAAATTTTCAAAATGATTACAAATTTTCTTTTTTTTATTGATAATTTTCAAAAGAATAGAAATGGAATATCCTTACAAGTAATATTACTGTTAGCTATGATTATAAATGGATTAAATAGAAAAATAGTATATTCTAAATTTTTTAGTACTTTCACAACAGCAGATAATGGTAATTTAATAAATTATTTTAGATTGGCCCTCAGTAGGTTATAATACTTATAATTATGGAGTTGATGTATGTGGTACAAAAAATATAATTTTTGTTGATAACTTATCAAGTCTATCAAATTCTTTGCTTTATCAAACTTTTGTTCTTGAGCCACATTATTAAGTTTCTTTATCATTCAAATTTTGGAGGTATATAATTAATTTTGATAAGAATCGATGTTTGGAGCAGTAAATAGTTTACCACATATATTGATCATCAAATAAAATATTAAAATTTCTTTTCTGACAGTGATACAACAACTGATATCTGTAAAGATGCAACTAATGATTAAGTTGTAGATATTTCATTCACTCTCCAACACAATACTCCTACACTAATGGTAATTTTTAAAGGTGATGGATATAGATGGGGAATATCAAATATAGAAATAGGCATAGATGAATGTTCTACTGGATGTGATTCATGTAGCTAAAGTTAATGCCTTGATTAAACATTAGTTCCCATTTCAATATTTTGGACAACTTAAGAAGCTCTATTAAAATAAGCTTGTGGAGGTATATATATATATATTCATAAATTAGGGTATGAATATTAATACACATTAGGCAATTTTATGGAAATTTAAATAACTTTAGATAATCATAATGTGATAAATTCATCAATGAAATTCCATATTTTTAATACAGATAATCCAACTCTGACAGTAAAAGTAGATAATCAACTTGTAACTACAACAAAATAACTCTCTGGTAGAGTACAAAATGCAGGATATTTTTGTTTTCATAATCAGATATTAGAATTGTAAATAATTGATTTAGATCACACAAACCCAACAATAAAATTTCGTATTGATGTTGTCTTGATAAGATATGATACTACATCAATAATGCCTTTGTTTGGAATAAAAGAATTTTAATTGTTTATCAAAACAAAGATAAAATAAACTGACCCAGCTTCCTTAGGATTACCTTTTGAAGGTTGTTTAATGAGTTTACCTGAACTTTTTGAAGGTTGTTCTTTTTGTGTTAGAAGTTCTTGTTTACATTGTTAAGAAGGTTGGGAATATAATGAATAGGATTTAAAATGTCAACCAATTTGTGGTGATTAATAGATAGTTTAAAATGAAGAATGCGATGATGGTAATTAAATTCCTTATGATGGTTGTTACAGATGTTAATACTCATGTTCATAATTCTGTTAGTAATGTCTAAAAGGTAAATGTATTTAATGTGTATAATCAAGGTAGTTAATCAATGGACAATGTTTTAATGTATGTAATTAAGTTTTAAATTATTATGACTAATTAAATAATGGATGTTTTTTTCATAACTAAAATTTTTAAATGAATGGATATTACTAACATACATTTTTGAATAATAATAATTTAAAATATTCACTTGATGAATTTTTAGATTGTGATATATTAGAATATGGAATTATGGGATATTATTATAATTAATTTAATGTTAGATAAATTTTATATTGTAAAATATAATTATGGAACAAATGTCTTGAATGTCAAGATGGATATTAATTGGAATTCAATAAATAAAATTGTGTATCAAAATGTAATGATAATTATAAATTGGATTTTGAGATATGTGATGATGATAATAATGTTTAATTTGATGGTTGTTATTAATGTGAATCAAGTTGTTAATTAGAATGTTTAAATTGTGTTAATCAAAAATGTTTACTTTGTAAAGAAGGATGGTATTTAATTGATGATCAATGTTTACCAATATGTGGAGATGGAATAACTGTACCATCTGAATAATGTGATGATGGTAATTAAGAATTTGGAGATGGATGCTTTGAATGCTAAGCTGAATGTTCTTATTGTAAAATATGCAATTACAATTATAAATGCTAAGTTTGTTAAGAACACTTTTAATTAGTATCATAAATATGTTAACCTATTTGTGGTGATAAATATATAGAATCTGGTTTAGAAGAATGTGATGATGGTAATGAAGTTTAGTATGATGGTTGTTATAATTGTTAATTAGAATGCTATCCTGGTTGTAAGAATTGTTAATTTGGAAAATGTAATGATATTTGTTCAATTGATGAAATGAATATTGATGGTAAGTGTATTAAATTTAATTTAAATGAAGAAAATAATAGTCTTAGTTATTCAAATTGTAAAGTTGGATGTTAAGATTGTATTAATGATTAATAATGTATTAAATGTAAAAAAAATTATGAATTATTAAATGGAATTTGTCATTTGATTGAATGTGGTAATGGTATAAGAGAAAATTAAGAAGAATGTGATGATGGTAACATCTTAAATAATGATGGATGTTCTAAAAATTGTCTAATTGAAAATAAATGGAATTGTCTCAGCAAAGACTCTTAAACCAATACTTGTTATTCACAAACTTAAATTAATCTAGAATATTTGAATTTAACCAGATAAAATCAATTCATATAATTATCATATTCAAAAAAAGTTAGACTAAAGTTTAATTCAGATAATAACAATTTTCTATCTTAAAATTCTTTAAAAATTATAGGATTGCAAGAAGATTAATATCTAATAACATGCTATCCTGTAATTGCTATCGACTAATAAGAATTTAAATCTATCTTATATTAATTTGAAATCCAATTTTTTGAATAGATATTAAACTAATTCAACTTCACTGTATTTATTAATGAAACTCTAATAGATGTGAATGATATTCCTATACTTCCATCTAATGTTTCTATATAACTTAAAGTTCCAAAGCTTTTGACTTCTACTTAATTAACTTTTTCAAAAACATTTAGAAAAGTAGGTTATAGCATGATGATTAGTTTGAGTTGTAGCAGTGTTTTAATGTTGCTTTTAGGAGAGTTTGCTTAAACAATTGCATTATTAGATATTCTGCAATATTAACAGTATTTAAAATACTTAAATGTGGAGTATCCTTATAATGTGTATATTTATTTTGAATCTTCAAATTTTATTACTTTATAACCTATATTAAATTATTTGAACTTTTTTGAATTATATGAAAGTATAGTTTAAAAACACTTCCAATAAAGTATAGGTAAGTTTAGGGAGTATGAATTAAATGCAGATTTCTTAACAAATATTGATAGTTTGTTATTTTAATTAAGTTGTGGAATGATATTAATTATAATTCTCTATGCTTATGAAAAATCCATTTCAAAACACATTCCTTTATTAAAGATTTTCTCTTATTTTGCTAAAGTGAAATACCAATTTATTAAAAGTATTTTCATCTATCTTTATAAATATAAAAGAAAAAATTTAGAAATTATAAAAATCATCAATATAAATACTTTTATTTAATTCTTTTATGCTAATAGTTGGGACTTAATGTTTAAAATAGGTTTATTTTTAATATCAAATACTGAATCTGAAAATCGATAAAGAGCATCTATTTTAATTTGTCTAAGTTATTTAGGAATTATGATAAAAATTTTCCTATTTGATACACAAAGAATTAATGGTCGTGCTAAGATTTCTTAAATTAAAAAAGTTCAGTATGAAAAACTAACTTTATTTAAGAAATTCTCTTTTCATTTACTATTAACATCAATGCAATATCATCCAATTACTTAATGTATATTGATTCCATTTTTTATAACATAATATATTGGTTTGATTTTAGGATTAAAGTTGAAAACTAAAAAACTTGAAATTATGACAATATTATCACTTGAAATTTCAATAATTTTATGCATCCTACTTAATATATCATATTGTTAGGAATTTGAAAATTATTTGTCTCTTAATTAATAAATTTATATAGGATTTGCTTAAATAGGATTATTAATCTTAAGTTTACTAGGTCCTTTAATTTAAACAGGTTTTGAATGTTATTGTAAAATGAAAAATTTTATCAATTCTAGAAAATTAAAAAGCCCAGATCAACAAATGACAAAAATTACTACTAATATCTTTGTATAAGCAATATGAATATTAAATTCTTATTTGAAATAATTAAAAAATTCATATTGTTTTATTTATAAAAAATTATAAAGTATAAAATATATTTTGTTACTTAAAATTTTTATCTTAACTAATGTTTTGAGTATTGTTTATGATTATGTTCGATATGAATAAAATCATAGTTATTAAAATTCTAAAGTATTTAATTATTTATTATGAAATTAATAAAAGAAATATTTGCCGATTAGTAATTAAAAAGGATGTATTTAAAATAATAATAAAGTAATATCTTATTTTTTTATCTCTCTAATAAGATTTAAAATTTTACAATTACTAATAAGACCATTAATAATTAAGAAAATAAACTTAGAATATTTTATGATAAAATCTCTAGCTAAGAATATTTAATTATCAATTATTTTCTTTATTTTTTTATAAAATATAAATAATCATATTGAAAAATTAAATAAATCTTGATTAAAATATTAAATGGAATATACTTATCATGTTAAATGAACTAGAATTTAAACAAAAAATAAGAAAACCACAAACATAATGATGAATATACTATAATGTAAAAAACCCCATAGATTATGACAGACTAAATATCTTATCTAAAAAAATATTAAGACATTTTACTAATTACCCAAAAATATCCAAACATTCTGATAAGCAATAAATATATCATCACAGGAACCCCAAAAACCCACCAAAAATATTTATCTTAAAAAATAATTGACATAAAAAGTTCTAATGATAAGGTTGAGACAATAATAATTGAAAGGGATTCTAATAATTTATAAAATAATACTTCTTATATTAATATTGTATCTTGGCCTTGCAATAAATACTAATAGGATCAAAATGATATAACATAAAAAGATTTAAATTTAAATGACTAATTATTTAATTATAAAATATATTTTACATCCTTGATTAAGTGTTTTAAATAAAAATATGCAATATAAAAGCATTAAATATTAAAATATAAAAGTTAAAACTACTATTGCTGTGATCTTGCAGCCTTGTGATTAATTCTATATTAATATTAACTATATACATTTCCGTCAATTGTGAAGTAATAACAAAAAATATAAAAGGCACTAGCAACAGTAACTATAAGTTTGCTTGTCTCATTCGGTTGAAAGGTCACTTCATTAATCAGATATTTTTAAAGACCTTTAATGTAATAAAACATATTTAATAATATGATAGCTAAAACTAATTCTATAACAGTGCATAAATCAGTTGCCATACAGAATTTTTTATTTTGTTCAAATTATTCAATTTCTTCAGAATTTAAACTATAACTATCATTATCATTATTATCATTATTATTTGCAAAATTTCTACTAATTTCTTAATCTTTACTATTATTTTCAAGATTTGTTCTGTTTTATTCAACTTATTAATGATCTTAATTTATTTTTCTATCATAATTTTAAAAGTCATTTTAAATGTAATCAATTTAATCTTCTTATTAAAATCTATTCCTATTTAAATTAATTGGTTGAGAGTATTGCTATATTGGATAATTATAATAAAGGCGATTCTATTGACTATCGGAGTGATAACGAATAGGTTTGTTCATTTATTTATCAAATAAAAAAATTAATTAACAAGAGGAAATAAAAAATAAATATACATTTAAAAATAAATATATAAATTTTATTTTAAAATAAAAGTTATATCTTAATTATGAATATTTTTAATATCGAGATTTATGAAAATAATTAAAAAACATTATTAAGAAAGCTTATATTAAGGAATATAAGTATTATTAGGAAGGCTAGTCTCGATTATGTTTTATTAAAGGTTATCATAACAAAATTAAAGTAATTATATATTATAATTGATTTTATGAATGTGAAAGATTAATATATATTGTAAATTAAGATAGAATATACAATTTTAATTTGAATAGTAATTGATTTTTTACTATTTAAAAATAGTAATTATTATATTTTGATGAATAGCATAATAATATTATTTTCTTTTAATAATTAATATTATATTAAAACCCTAATAATTTTCTTAATCTATATATTTATTTTTGAATAGAAAATAATATAATCAATCATTAAAATAAACCCTCTTTAGGTATTTTTAATTAAAATAAATAGATATATATAATAAATATGTAAGTTTAAGTATTTAGATTATTTTAGGTTTGCAATTAGGAATTCTAATGTTAACATAAGAATAATTTAGCATAGTTATAGAAACTAAAATAAAGGGATGGTTAGTGAATAAAACTCATAATATTGATTTAAAACAGAATAATTAATGAATTTGATTTATATAAAATTAATATAAATGGGTTGCTGTGCAACAAATAATAATTATAGTTAATAATTACACCTTATCAGATATTAAACTTTTACAGAGTTTGATATAAATTATCCAGAAAGTTTGTTAGAATAATTTAATAAATAGCTTAATGAGTTATTAATCATAAAAGATGAGATGAACAAATTTATCACAACTTCAGATTTTAGTGAGGAGGATTATTTAATAACATGCAAGAATTTTTTCGATAGGTATTTTACTTTGTTAAAGACATATCATTCTTAAAAAACAATAGAGGATTAAATAATTATTGAGCAATTAGGAAAAATGCGTGAATTTATCTCTAATCTATAAAATGAGATTAAGTCAGTCGATAGAGATTTTGAAAGATGGGAATAAGAATTCTTGGTTAACTTAAATTGTCTCGAACAAGAATCAGGAGAATTAGGGGAATTTTATATTACAGCAAAGAATGAGCAAAATTTAATAAAAATAATTTCCGTTTTAGATAAATTTGATGATAAAGTATTAGACTTTCATTAGGTTTGGCTTTAAGATTAGATATCAGAATTACGAGAGAGATTATTTAGACAAAGTGAATAAGTTATAGTAAATTATTCAAATTATTTAATAAATTATATGAAAACTGGAAATGATAAAAATTTATATAAAAATTTATAAGAAATATCTAAGTTAAATGATATAAAGGCAATTGAGTAATTAGGATATAGATTAGCATAATAATTATTACATTTAAGAGAAAACTAATAAGATATATTATTTAAATCTGAATTTTTAGATATGGCATATAAATTATAATAATGTTTTACATAGAATTATGACAAATATATTATATAACCAATTATATAATAAATGGATGATTTTTTGATTTAAGAAGAAATTTAATTGTCATCTTTGACTATATTATTAGAAGCATTTGGATTAGTAAAGATGGAAATATTTGATTAAGAGTTTTATTGTTTTCATATTCATAAAGCTGAGGCATGTATAAAAAATATGAAAGAAATGTAATAAAATTTTGAATAAACATTTACTAAATATTAAATGCAATTTTTAACTAAATAAAAATAGAATTTATAACATGCTTTATAAGTATTTGAACCTTATTATCAATTATCAATGAAGAAGATATCATAAAAGATAGCTGAATAAATAAATTAATATTTTTCAAGACTTGAATGTATAACTTTATTATTGAATGCTAAAAAAAGATAAGAATAAAAACTTTAAGTTTTCATTTAAAATTATGGTTCAAGATGTTCTCAAGATTTATTAGAACTTTAAAAAAATTCAAATAAATTTTTAGATCTCAAAGGTCTCAAATTAAATCAATCTACAGATTAAGTTACTTAAATGATACAAGAATATTAAATTTCATTTTAGAAAATGCAATAGCTCTACTTATGTAATTTAGGAGCTCTTATAACTAAAGAAGCAGATGAAATATCTTAATTAACAGAAGATAAACCTAATGAATAAAAGAAAAGAATTGATATATTAATATAAAATATAGATGTTGCAATTTTGAATGCTAAAAATATTATGATAAAAACAGAAGATACAGATTTAATTGAAAAATAATTAATGATGGCACTTGATAAACTTATTTATAATAAAGATTAAAAAAAGAGAGCATCTTAATTAAGTGATTATGCATTAAAATAAAAAAAATAAAGAAAATCAACAACTGCTTTAAATTCACCTAATTCGGAAACAAATAATAGTAAATAAATTAGATAAAGTACTCCAAAAAGTATTATTGTAACAACTTCTAATAATAATTAAGAATTAGAACCATGGGCTAAATTAAAAAGAATTCCATTAAAAATAATCAGTTAATGTGGTAAGTGTGATAATTATGCTTCATATTAAGTTAAACATGATTTATGTTAAACTGATTACTTTTTGGATATGAATGGGTTTGTTAGATGTTCGAAGAGATTAATTTCATCTCCAAAAGAGAAATCTTGCAAACTTAAACATATTACTGATCAAATATTTGTTTGTCCATATTGTAAAGGAAAATTTTAATTAAATTAGTTTCATAAATTCATCTAAGCAATTATAAAGGGCTTAGATTATAGTAATTTACCATTTGAATCTAAAGATATCTTATTATTTTTTAGAAGAGTTTACGAAGACTTTTCGAAAATCTATTATAATTACTAAGTTCAATAATAGAAATCTATATCAGAATCTCCTAATAAATGAAAACAATATGATATTTATATTGAATTAATTTGAATAACTATAACTAACTGAAATCAATATTCTGATTCATATAACTTGATTTGAGAATCTAAAACCCTATCTGAATGGTTTAAAAATTTTTTATCATATGTTTTTCTTTAGTAGATTTGATCAATAAAACTTCTTCTTGGCTCTTTACAAATGATTCTCTTTCCATGACCACGATGTTTTGATTCAAAATATAATCCAGAATCATTTAAACCATCTGTTTATTTATATGTATTGGGACCTGGACTACTATGTCCTAAATTATATTCTTAACTACTTATTTTTTAAAATCGTTCCTCTTTTCCTATTTTAGAGCATCTGGAACTTCTATATCTAGCATATACAGTCTAACCCATTTAATCAATATCTGATGAATCATATTTCCCTGGTCCAGGATTGCAATCTAAACTTTACTCTTATAAGAAATCTAAATCTGTATCAATATATTACTTGGTAACCAATTAGATTATGTTTTAGGTCTCATTGTATATTATATTTTTGGATCATAACCATAGGAACAATTATAATTGCCTACTCCAGGATTTCTCTGAATTCCTTATGTAATATATCCTAATTCTTTGGTTTTCTAATATGAATATTAATTTAAATGTCAAACTTCTCTTGATATTCCAAATGTAATTCCTCTCTCTTTAGGTATATTAAAGAGACTGGATATGATATATTATGTTGGAGGAGGAGCATTACTAAAGGATTTAGTAAAATCTGATCTAGGACCTTTACCAATAGAATGACCCTTATTATTTAAGTTTCTATTAATATTGTAGTTAGCCATAATGTAACTAGTCTAATTAATAAATAGGACTACTTTGTGGTTGTTTATGAAAACCGTTTTGCTTTAGAAAAAGAGTAGGACTTTTTTGCTTTATTATTGGTATGTTACATTGTAAAAATTTATTGATAAAATTATTTGATATATATAAATGATAAGAAAATCATAAAATAGTTAGATATAAATCAAGATGGAATAATTTTATCAATTTTTTTATGTCCACAAGGTTTAGTTATTCTATAATTTTTTGCATCCAAATAGTTTGTTTGAGTTTTAAATTAATTTAAAATCAGATCACTATTCTTAAGATTGAAGTATTCAGCATGATTTTTAAGGATTCTTTCTTATCTATATAAATTATTCATTGAGGAAGGATCAATATGAATAATTCTAAACTCTATAAATATAATCTAATTAGGGTCTATAGATGATTATTTAAAAATCTATTTTTATTCAACTTTACATTTGTATTATGCTCCTTCATAAGTATTTAAATAAAAATCAAAGTATTCTCTTCCTTCAACTGAATATTTAGCAAGCTCGCACCAATTTTTTAAGGTTCCATCCAAATTGAAAATGGTTGGTAAGGCTTAAGTTTCCTTTAAATGATCAAACATCATATCTTTTGTTATACCCATAACATCTAAGAATTTTTAATTTAAAATTCTTTATGATAAGACACTATTGATTTGATTAACATTTTAAATAGTGCATTAGAATGGAAATTGAGATACCATTTTTTCTAATTCAAGTAATTCAGTTTCTGATAGTAATGTTTAATCTTTAAAATTGTCAAGAATCTTAAATCTATTTTCGACACATTCTAATGCTTATTCACTATATTGATCATTCATGTTTTTTATAAGCTAACATACCTATTACTTTGAGAATTAATCTCTATCATATTGTTCTAGGCTAAAAAAGAATAAGTCAGCATATTAGTCAACTCTACAAACTTTATAATTGTATGTGCATGGATTTTCTCTTAAACCACCTAAACAACGATCCTATGGACATGACAATGCTAATTTTAATTCAACTGCTGATTTTATAAAAGTAGAAAGGGGTCTTGGAACTTATAGAATAGGAAGAACAACTTTATTTGAAATTTAATGTTGAGTATCTCTTTATTCTGATAAAAATATCAATATATATGTTACTAAGTTTGCAAATTGTTTTTGTTATAGGACTATATTTTTGTTCCTCTTAATTGATATTCTTCCTTAATTTGATTATCAAACTCATTACAAAATTAAAATTAATTATGTTTCTATAATTCATATCCTAAAACCTTTTATAATTCAATATTAAACACATTCAGAACCTTACATTTAATAAATTTTGTTAAATTAAAAATCATAAAACAAAACATATTTCTTATTGTATATTGTATTTGAATATTCTTTAATAATTAATACATACACTTAATTAATCATAATTAAAGGAAGTAGGATAAAAATCTATTATTATTAAAAGAATTTATGATTCAAACATTTAATATAAATCTAATTTTTTATATAACTTTAGCTATTTAGAAATTTAGCAACTTAAAGAATAGCCTTAAATCTATTAAATTTGATATAATGAAAATAGAAATAATCCTAAATTCTTAATATTAAATTATCTTCTAAAATTGAGATTTAACTAATTTTTATGATATAAAGTAATTAGTGAAAATTATTTAATAATATATGAATAAGCACTTTAAAATTAAAAATTGGTTATTATATATATTTCAAAAATAATCATTAAATTTATTTGATATTGAATAAACTATATTATTGAACATATAACTTCAAAATAATCTACATTATATTATATTCTATTTAGTAAAAGTTGTTGATTATAAAAATAATATAAATTTTAAACGTCTAGTTTATTTAAAGTTAACTCACTTTTTAATATTATCATTTAATTAAATTTATTAATAAAACTTTAAATTTTCTTATAATTAGTGATATTATAATTATTTTATAATATTCTTTTAATTTTTTACTATTAAAAGCTAGATAAATGAATTTTTAGAAAATAAACTACTAGTATAAATTGAAATAATAATTTAATAAGGTAATATTAAAAGAAAAATCATTTGAATTCATTAATAAATATTTATTCTGCCATTTCATCACTACTTTAATATAATGCTGCTGCTCTTTCCCATATAATCTCTTCAAGTATTGTTTCAGTTATCTAAATAGAATAAATTAATAAATTACTAAATCAAATTATTCAAGATTTTTAGGATAATACTATTTATCTTATGTAATATACTAGATTCTTTTCTTTCTATCTTCCATAATTTTAATAATGAATCCACTTGATAATTCAATTGAACGTAAACGATCCATAGGATTTACATAATATTATTGATCTCTACCCAATTATTCAACAGGTACATATTAATCAAGTCTTGCTATAAATATATTAATTATAATTAAATTACTATCTCTCATAAATTATTATCTAGTTTATTAAAAATTCTATTCAACTTTGTCTTAATCTAATGCAATATCTTTAACAGCTTCTATATAATCACATAAAGCCATTTGTTCATATCTCTATCTTTCTTCTTCTTTCTTTTTCATCTCCAATGTATCTAGTATATCTACCATTTCAAATAATAAATCATCAATTAATAATTCAGTTAATCTTTCAGAATGAACTTAAATCATTTTAGATACTCCTCTAGCTAATAGATGTCCAGTAAAGGGATATTCAATTTATACACTATCAATTTTTTTAACTAATGGATCAACTTTTCCTTTGATCTTATCTAATTTTTCATTGATTTCTTTATAATATTTATTTGGATTTTGAGCTTCAGATCTCAACAATTATTAATGTTTATCTATTAATGCATCTAATTCATGTTATCTTTATAATTCTCTTTTTTAGATTTCAATTAATTCATTTTTTAATTTATTATCATCAATTCTAACTTATTATTAAGGTTGTTATTAAGGTTATTTTTAAGGTATTAAATCCAAATCATTTTAATCATACTCTCCAGGTAATAATGGTTTTTTGGCTTCATAATGAATTAAATTGATTCCATCTTTCCAAATAGGATAATTATTTTATTATGGTTCAATATATATATCATCTACATTTTTTTCAAGTTATTTTTTTTAAACTTATTTCTTTTATTCTTTTGTTTTATATGGTGATTCTTTATTTTCAATACCTTTTTTCTTAGCATTCATAATATCTTATGCTAAATCAGGATGTTATTATGTTTTTAACTGCTTTAATTTTTCTTCAAATTGTTTATTTTACTCAGCTTTCAATTTCTTTTCTTAATCTACCATCCATTATAATTATTCTAATTCTTTCTTTTATTTCTTCATTTCAGAAACATCCTTATTATATTACTCTAATTAGGATTATAATAATTACAATCATTTATCACTTATTCAATATCTTTAATAGTTGCATATGATTTTACTGCTGCAGGAGGTGGATTTTCTAATTATCGTCTTTTATTCTCTTTTTCTCTCTCAATTTATTGTTTTTGCAATTTGGTTTCAATTTTGAATATTTCATTCTTCTTCAAATTATCAAATTGTTTTGGTTTAGATTCAACCTTATCATTCCATGAAGGTTTAAACTTTTCTTATTATTATGCACTTGAAGGTCGGATCTTTTAAACAGAATCTATTTTCTATTGTTAAACCTTTTTTGAAGCCTCTTTGAATTTAACATTAGAATGTATTTTATTTTATTTTTAAGGTACCTACGATATATTAAATGAATATAGAAACATTTTCAAACTTAATTGCTTTAGATGGTTAGAGTTAAGATATTGGTTATGGTGATCCAAATGCTAACGAGTCTTAATTATAAAATTAGTTATCCATATTTAAAATATAAATATATATACAAATATATAAATCATGACTATCTAAAAATAAAGCTAGATTATCTAGTTTAATAAGGAGAGATTGAAGGTAATTATAAATTAATTCTCTTTTAACTATTGACTTTTGGTAATTATATATCCAAAGAGGATTTATATCTGGAAGTCAAATCTAGAATTAATTATATTTATATATACTATAACATCTATTAGAATTTAACATTTTATTTTTAATAGATTTTAAATCTTAAGAGGATGTAACTTTTGTTAAATGAATTGTCTTCAAACTCTAAGGTTTATAATAAGATTTCTAATGACGAACTATTATATGTGTTTCTGTATGGATTCTTTATGATTTTGGAGCATCATCATGTAGTAGAATTTCATTGATTTCATCAGAGTTCTAAGATTTTAGATAAGAATATCCTTCATAACATTGTTATTTGAATATTTTAGTCATTTGCAATGCCTTTACTATCTAAGAACATATTTAATGATATTAATATACTAGTTAAAACTTTTAGATAAATTTGTATCTTTAAATAATTTCTTTATTTGTAATTGGATGTGACTTTCTTTCTTCCCCTAATAAATATGGATGTTCCAAACATTGTTCAGCTGTCATTCTATCAATTGGACTATGAGTAATTGTATTTTTGATAAAATCTTATGCCATTCTTTTAAATATTATTAAATATTTTTATACTCTGAAAGATGTGAAGGATATTTGATATGAAATTCATGACATAGAGTCTTGTAATAGTCCTTTTTAGTTTATCCCTCAGTCCAAATTGGATGTAGGTTGTTACATAACATTTGATAGAATATTATACCAAGAGAAAATATATCAATTGCCTTATGTATTTAATATAAAATACTTGCGTTTATTCATAACCTTTAATAAGTTCAGGTGCAATATAATATGGAGTTCCAACTTGTTAACCTATTATTCCTCTGCAAACAATCTAATATCCTAGACCTAAGTCTATTAATTTGACATGATTGCCATTAGAAATAAATATATTCTCTAATTTTATTATAAGAAAATACCAGGTTTTAGATCTCTATGTATAATACCTTTTCTATGTAAGAAAGCTAAGGCATTTAATACTTAAAGCATAATGTTTCTAATTTGAAGTTCATCAAGTGTTTGTTCTTTCAATATTACATCTAATGTAGTTCCATTCAGTTTTTCCATTATTAGGTAGATAAAATTATAAGCAACTAAAACCTTATAATTTATAAGTAATTATTCTAACCTTGTATAATTTAACAATATTTGGATGAGTACATTCTTATAAAAGAGATGATTCATTTTCTTGTTCGAAATATGGGGTGATCTACTTTTATATAAGTATATACTTTGATAGCAACAATTTTATCTAACTCTTAACTATGGGCTGCAACTACAATTCCAAAACTGCCTCTTCCCAATACTTCTATATATCTGAAGAAATCGCTCAGTAAGATATCGTTTAAATTATCAACTAATTATTAAGGGTCCATTATTTAAATATATTATTATTTATTCATCACTTTGAATTGGTCAATGAACAAATGTAGACTACACCTTCTCCTCCACCAAATGCAAATTTGTTACTCTTATTTCCATAATCTACACAATAAACTCCTAATAAATTATTTCACAATTTCTTTATACCCTCCTATAAATCTTATATGTAACCACATGTCTAATATTGACTATTAATATCAAATAATTTCAGCTCTTATCTACCACTACTACCAGCCAAAATTGTATCTCCATTGATTTTACTGAATTAACAAGAATAAACATAGAAATCACTGTCATTTTTATTTTTATCCCATTATATTTCTTAAATTAGTTATCTGGTGCCAAAATCCCACAATTATAACTAATTGTTAGTTCTATATGAGCCTGTCAAAATTTAACCATTTCTATATAATTATATAAATAGATACCTAAAATCTAAACTATCCCCAGAAAGATTAGGACCATAGATTGTTCCAATAGATTTATGATCTCTGAGATCCCAGATCAAGAGATTACCATCCCATCCTCCAGAAAGTAGAATGTTAGGTGTTTCTTCTAAGTACTTAAGAGCGAATATTCTATTCTAATGGCCTGGTTGATTGCTTGTATAAATAATGATTATACTAATCAGCTTTGTCAAATGTGTGGATTACTTCCTTCTTTTCATCATCATAAACACGTATCTATTATAATCACTCTATATCAATAACTTTAAAATCTTTGCCAGCAGTAGCAAATTAATCTCCATCTGATCTTATATCTAAGGCCAATAATTGATTGCCCTATTCTACTGTCCTAAATAATTGTTTTCCTGTTTGAGCTTGCCACATCATAAGGGAGCCATCAGAATTAGCAGATAAAAACACACTTTTGGCTTTATTGGCAACATCTCTTCTCCATCTTATTGCAGTTGTAGGACTTGCTCCTTCTGATGATCCTTATAAATTAAATGCCAGTTTCCCTTAAATATTTCTATTTACACTTTACCAGACACAATATTAAAAACCTTTACTGTTCCATCTGAGCAACCAGCTGCTATTAATTGATCCTCAAAATCAAATCTCAAACAAAAGATTTCAAATTCAGGGTTTCCAAAGAATGTTTTTAATGATATTTTTTTTGACTTACTTTGTACTTCTCCAAATCTTATAATATATATAAATAGATACTTTAGTTATCCATAACTATATTATGTTTATTTTTTATTTGTTTTCTTTTTATCCCTAGATGTTGATCGATCTTTTCTTTATTTTGGGTCCATTTAATAATTAATTAATGAAATTTTAAAATCCAAAAGACATCTTGTCTGTGATTTTTGTATATGCTATAATCTTAAGTGAATATTATGTATTTATATTTCATTATTCGCCTTATAGATATAACAATGTATCATATTTATTATTAATATAGAATAGTGGATCCACAATTTTTATTGCCATTGAATTTACAATCATCTATATAATGATTCATTGGGCTTATATTCAAGCTTAAATATAATCACCTGGTTATCCCTCAGAAGATTTGGTATTCATATATTCCCTTAATCTTAGGCCAAAAATTATCAAGAACATACATTAGAAGAAATTAAGAATAGAACCAAAAAACATTCAGAAATCATTCAAAAAAAAAGAAAACAAAAACTAATGAAGAAATATGAATTAGCAATTGATGAAGAAGATGAATTATTGTAAATCCAATTTAATATTATATCATTTAGTGATATCATTTAAGCTATGTAACTTGATTCCTATTGTTTCAAATGTAAAAATATCAAATAACCAAGAACTCATCATTGTAAAGAATGTAATAAATGTATTCTAAGAATGGTATTATAAATTATCATAAATAGGATCATCATTGTCCTTGGGTTAATAATTGTATTGGAATGAAGAATCATAGATTCTTTTGTTAATTCATTATCTATGCATTATTATGTATGTCATAATGTGTTATATTCATTACTATTGAACTCTTTGGTGAAACTTAAATCAAAGGAAATTCTAAATTTCTTTGTCAAATTTGTGCACTATCTTGTTTACTTCTATGTATATCTATGGGAACACTACTATCATTTCATTTATATCATATTGCTAAAAATGTCACCACTGTAGAATTTCATATTGAAGAAATGAAAACTGACAATCCATTTTAAAAATCAAAAATTATTGATAATTTTAAAGAATTATTTGGATCACTTTATATTAATTGGATTTTACCATTAACAGAAAATGAAAGTAAGACTAAAATTAAATATGACTCATTCGAATTATGATTAGTTATCAAAATTAAAACAATTTTTTATTCTCATAATTACATTCATGCTACATTTAAACACATTATTTATGTATTGCATGATAACAATCCATATATTTCACTATTTTGTTTTCTTATTATTATTAGTTCTTATTCTGGACTGAAAATGAAATAGGTTTCAAACATTCATAACATTACATAGCATTTCCTATCATTCCCTTTTTTATTCTAAATATATATATATTATTTACAATTATAATTATTTTTCTTTCTTTACAAACAAATCTTAAATAAATACAATTTTTGCTTTTTATAAAAACATAATGTAATTTGTTACTCTTTTAAATGCATAACTTGGAATGATTGGCATCTCTAAGTTAGCATTTTAATAAAGTAATCTATTGATTTCACATTACAATATTTGACAATAGTAATGATCATTGACATATAAAGGATTTTCAATAAATAGTTTTTAAAAATAAATGAAGATTTTCTTGTTTTTATATTTTAGACATTCTTCAATTAACTCTTCCATTATTTAATCATTTTCTATGCATTCACATTTCTTAATCTTTTTGATATCCAATAAATTTCTCAATTCTTTTTCATTTCCATTCTCAGACATTTTGTCTATATGAATAAAGAATTCTCTAAAAACTCTTATTCTTGCACAAATCAATAACAATAATTAGATATAACTATATTTAAGACTAATACTAATCATATCATCTATACTTTATTTATATCTTTAAGTTTTATTTAGATTAAATAAATATTCTTAAGTAATTTATTATTATTATTAAATTATTACTTAAGAATATTATTATTATTATTATTATTATTATTATTATTATTATTATTATTATTATTAATCTTTGAAATCATCCAATCTAAAATATGATTACAAGATTGTTTTAAAATCTGGTTAAAATATCAAATAAGCAGAACCTTCTTAATCTATCATTAATAATGACTATAAATTAACAATATTCATATTTGATATTTTTTTATGAAAATCTAATTTGATTACAACTTTCCCATCAATGTTGGATAAACACAATTATTATTGATCATTATAATAAAAAAGATACAAATTTTCATCATAAAGCGTTATGCCATCTATATGATTATCATAAAGAGTGTAAGATTTATCATCAAATTGTATTAATGTGTTATTAGATAGAATGTAATGCTAATTTTAGATTGTTAATGATTAATATATATTATTAATAGGGATTGGCATGTTAATAGATGTGATTTCCATTTGATTATTGATAATGTAAATTGAATGCTTGGTTAAAAGTAGTATTAGTGATTCATTTATTCTATAAATATCGATAGGATTTTATATTTCACTGCAGATATCAATGGTCTAGTTGTTTAATCCTAAGACAAAATGGATTGTTTCTACCTTGAGTTAGTAAGCATACTTATTAATTTTTAATAAGAATTGCATTGTATATCAACTACTCAGAATCAATAATTTGAATGATTTTAATTTTGGATAGACTCTCATTACTTTCTCTTTGAAATACTTTAAGTTTCTATTCGTTTTTATTGTATATTAATAACAATAATTTGTAATCTACTATAAAATAATTGAATTACTTGGCAAAGATTATAAAATATATAGGATTTCAGTTTCTTAAATAATACAATCCAAGAATTCGATTTAATTATCGAAATCAATAATTTTTTATATTTGTGCTGGTAAGATAAGTAAATTCAATTTATTGTGTTGTAAAATCAAAAACTGTTGATTGTTAATTGTTTGAATATTTAGGATGTTATCTAATAAATGAATGTAGCTATATTTGTTTTGGTTTTATGTAATGAACGATAAAACCTATTTATTCATATATTTAATAAATTAATGGCATAAAAGAGATAACTGAAACAACCAGACCCTGGTCAAGTAGTGAATAAAGACATTGTTTTTAGTGAAAACATTAGAAATGAGATGAAATTCTTTGATAAGAATAGAACAGAACATTTTCAATTGAATCCTAATAGAGGTATTGATAAATTTATATCATTTTAGTTGTCATTTTAGCTGAAAAACCTAATCATATAAGTATATATCATTATGAAATTACAAGAACCTCAATCACATTAATCATCTAGAAAAGAGAAGGATAATGATATCTTTGGAAATCCATATACAGATGATCCTGTTGAAGAAGCATTCTCAAATTAGAAATTAGAGAAGACTTTAGAATTGAGAAATCAAATTCCAAGATAAAAATACAATTTCCCAATGACATAAAATTAAGAAATTGGTTGGTTTGCTAACTAATTAGTAAATTTCATTATATTTTAGAATGTCTATAAACCAACTAAGAATTTTGCAAATTAACAATGTGAAATCACTAAATTTGTGGATAATTATTTTGAAATGACTCATGAAAATCCATTCAAAAAGAAAAGATCTTGATTAAACATTAATTTATCACAATATCTATAATCACTTATGTCTACTAATATAATCTCTATATTTTTTCAAAGCTTTTCTCACATCTTTTGTTTTTGCTTATGCTATTCTTATTATCAAATCTTTTAATTCAAACAATTCTCTGTCTTATTCTTAATCAATCCATGTTGAAACTAAAAGTCCATTGTCTTATTATTATTCATAATTTGTTGGAGTATTATCAACTATTATTGTTCTTTCCAAAGGTCTACCTACTTTACTTATGTCCTAATCCAATCATTACTTTATTACTTTAACAAAATTATTCCCATTAAAAGTAGTATGTGGTCTATATAATCTATAATCTATATATTCATCACATTATAATTCTGCTATTGCATGATCTGCATACTTTATATATATTATATATATACACTCTATAAACCAGCTGTAAAAATTATTATTTCACAATATTCTTTAATTCCTTGTAATAACTCAATTAGCCCTGGTCTTGGAATGAATTTGCCAATTTTATCATTCTAAACTTATTTATTCTATCTAATACATAATGACCCAAGGTTTCATCCAAATCTAATATTACACATAAAGAATGATGAAATGGTGTTTTAATAAATGGTACTTCAACTGGTTCTAAATTACTATATGATTCTCTTAAATGCATAACATATTATTATTAATGAGGTATTTTGAATAATGTTTTTAATGGTGATTAATATTATTCTTTCTATTAATTAACACTAGTAGATAAATAAATTGCATTAACTAATTATGGTCTACTACTTTATATATCTAATGATTTTAATTAACTTAATTAATATCTACAAGTAGTAATTACAGGTTATATATTAGGATTATCATTTTATAATAACTTTTCTATTATATTTTTTATGAAACTATTATTCTTTTTTAATTCTTAAATAAAACTAATACAAGGATTATTTTTACACAATATTAAATCTATTTTTGTTTATAATTATATAACTAAACCATTCTATTATTTTGTTTATGTTAATATTTTCTTTAAAAAAATACAGAAATTCTCTAATAAAAGTTTTGTTAAAACTATCATTTCTTATTGATTTTCTTAAGAATTATTATTAAGTAAATTTTCTTTCATTTAACATTATATAAATGAAATTACTATGTCACTCAAAAATATTGATTCTTAAATTATCTTTTATGTTAATGGTCTTACAAAACAATATATATATTATTCCCATTTAAACATATAAACAGATTCCCAATATAATTAGAAATTAGGAGGGTCCTCTTTATTTTACAAACTTTCCATTATCTATTTAATATTCTAAAATAAAAGTTATCCAGAATTTAAATCAAAATGTTAAGTACTCTGAATGAATGTATCAAATTAACTACCAGGTCTAGAAAAATTGAAAGTAGATGTAGCTTTCATGCGTTCTGATTATTTAGAATTACTTCTCTTTAAACCATCACATTCTTATTCAATCGTTCTTAATGTTCTTTTAGCTTCTAACATAGGAGTTTCAATTTATTTCCTTTAGTTTTGTAATTGTTTTATAATATGGTAATTGTTTCCATACTTTAATGCAAAATATTCTTATGTATAATATCAATTAGATTACTAGCAATTTCATCTGAACTCTTTTCAAAATGGGCGAGCACAGGAAGAGTTTGTTTCATATATTTAACAATATAATTTATATTAATTCATAAGTTCATCAAATTAACTATTTTTATTTTACTCAATAGTATTTCAAATTCAATCCTATTATTATAAGTTAATTTGAATTTTAAAGCACAATATATCAAAGTATTCAAGATACTATTACTACCTATAAACATATATTTAAGTACCAATAATTACAATAGTGTATAAAACTTAATTAATTGAATCATAACATCTAAATTCTAAAAGATTTTTTTAAATGCTTAATAAAATCCACAGTTCAATCTTTATAATATTATCAGGCAATTTAGTATAAAGAGATGATTATAAAATTATAGAATTTTGTAATATTATTTACTTAATTAAGTAATCGTGTATTTTACTCTTAAGTTAAATACAATCTATCCAGATTTTATTCTTATTCAAACATAATATAACATAATAATGTTTTTAACCAATGTATAATCATAAATTTATGTAATTTACTCGATAAATATAAATAATGAAATTGAATAAATCATAAGATTAATAAATTAATATATATAAACATTTTCTAAAGTTGTTAGGTTATAAAATATTTAACTTACTATTTTATTTTAGATGATCTATTAAGTAATATTTTTTAATTCATTATATAATCAACAACCCATTTAGTTTCATGAATTTATATATTCTTAGATGAATAATTATTATAATTTCAAAATTCAAATATCAATTTCTCCATCAATTATCTTCCAAATCTGCAATACGCATTATCGAAATATTTAGTTAGTTTTTCTACCTCTAAATTAGACTCTGATAATTTCATAATCTAATCATTTAAGCATATCTGAATTTATCCATAAAATAATTTATCATTGCTTTTCATATCATCGATAATTTCAATATTTTATTAACTAATTCTAATCTATCTTTAATTGATATTTTAGCTTTATCTCTTATCAATTTCACTTCTTAATTCTTTAGTTAATTCAACCCAAGTGTATGTTTCTGGACATAGTAGTTCACATGGTTCAAAATCACCCTTGTATAACATCTTATTTGTATTTTATAAGTAAAATCCTAAATAATAATATTTGAAATCTGGAAAATATTAATTCATCAATTTAACATACTCTATTTCAACTAAAGCCCCAAATGTTCCAAAATTGAATTCTTCAAATATTGGATCATAAAAATAATAAACTGAGCTCAATGATGTTTCAGTAATATCTACTACACCTACAGCTACCAAATTATCTCCAAGATAATATCTCATATGAAAACATCCCAAAAATAGAATTTTACTAGCATCAATTTATGATTATATTAATTTTTAAGAATCTAATCCTTCTTCACATAAAAATTATTTATATTATGTTTTATTCTCTTTTATGTTATTATGAATCTCTTTGCAATATCTTTTGTATAATTAGAAATTTTCATTAGAACATTTGGCTGGTTTTAATAAAACTTTCATATTTCCTATCTAAAATGAATTTGAGTTAAATGTAAATGTGTCTATTAATTTAATGTTTTCTATTTCATTATTATAAATATATATATATACATTTTTATTGATTAATATCATTTTATTCAATAAGAATCTTATTTTTTTCTTAATCAATTGATTTTTGAATTTAGTTTAAATGCACATTAGCCTTTTATAAATTATCCTTTGTAAATATTGATAGAAATCCAGTAGTTTCTTAAATAAATAAGAACTGATTGCTTATAAAATATTTTTAAACAAAAGGAATAAATTTTAAAGCAAACTTATTAACAGGAAAATCTTAAAATAACTATTTTTTATTAAGACCATATAAAAGCATTATAAAATTAGTGTAATAATCTCCTTTATGATTAACTTAAGATGGAAATATTTTAACAGTATCAATATTAAGATTAATTTAGAATATTTATTGAAGTTATTCTATTATTAATTCCTTTTATTCAAAATATTCTTTAAATAATTAAACTACTTCTTGTATATTTTAAGCAATAATTTGTTAGAATTATTAAAAATGTAATTTTAAGGAATTTATTATTTCTTATGATACTATTTATTATTGTTATTTTTCTTATACTAATTTCTATTTAGGTTATATCTCCTATTTTTATTGTTATTTGTTCTAGGTTTTTTTCTATTTCTCTTCCTTTATATTGTTGTTTATTAATTCTAATGTTTGCTTCATATCTTCTACTTTATTTTTCAGTATATCAGATTATACTACCTTTAAAAAGGTTTTAGCAATCTTCCTTTATCCTTTTTTATGTTATATTAAAAGAGCATCGGCTCTGATTGTGTAAGCTAAACAGCAATTTAATGTGAAATTATATTTATAATAATAAGTACCACATCTTCGCCATCCTCTATCCATCATGGATTGATATGTGGAGGGATATAATTTATCTTGTTTGAATAAATTGATAGTATATTACTTGTTGAGAATCCTAAGGAATAAGATTTTCCTTTATTACAATAAGAACAAGTGGAGGAATGATCTCCTTTAAAGTAGGCTAGATTGATATTATCAATATTCATATTAATTATTTGACTAATAAAAATTAAATCAAACAGCTTGGCTTGGGTCTTCCTTAGCTGAATACAAATGTGGGTGAATGTTTGGTAAGACACCTCCATCAGCAATGGTAGTATTGACCATCAATTTGTTCAATTCATCATCATTTCTGATGGCTAAGAGAATGTGTCTTGGATTGATTCTGTTCTTCTTGTTATCTTTAGCAGCATTTCCAGCAAGTTCTAATACTTCAGCAGCCAAATATTCTAGGACAGCTGATAAATAGACTGGAGCACCAGCACCAACTCTTTCTGTATATCTTCCTTATTTCAAATATCTTGACACTCTTCCAACTGGGAATTATAAACCAGCTTTGTGTGATCTGGAAACTGATTTGTGTGCTCCAGCTGCCTTTCCTCCTTTTCCTGCTTTTCCTTTTCCTCCTGATGACATTTTGTGTTTAATTAAATAATCAGAATAGATAATTTGGTTCAATTTTAAACAGACTAAAAATTCCTTTATTTATTTAATCAACCAATCAAATTCAAGATCTCAATACTCTACTCAAAGAATTAACACCCAATCACATGTCAAGAATCATTTTCTACACCAGATTCCTCAACTATATTCTTAGGGGAGTACTTTTGGTTTTTATCTTGACTTTCTAAGATACATCAAAAGATATATAAAGATATGATCAAAATTAAAAAAAATTAAATATATAAATATATATTTATTATTATTTATATTTTTTAATTTCATTATAATATATGTAATAATTTACAAGAAATAATATTTCATATAAAATGGATATATCTATTTTTGTTATTGATTATAGTATCTTATATAATTGATATGAAAATAATTTAGAAGATTATGTATATAATGTAGTTAAAAAATATATACAAAATAAATAGTAAGATTTTAAATATATCTTTAAACTTATACTTTTGTAATAAAAAATTAACATATTTCAAATTGGAGTAAATTGAAATTTTAGATTATTTATAATTATAGATAAAATATTGAAGGTATGTTGATTATTTAAATTGTATAATAATAATGGAAATAAAGAATTATTATTTTAAATTTCATTTTGATTATGAAAGCATTGAGAAAATAGAACTAATTATGGAATATAAGTTGTTTATTTATGAATAATTTTTACAATATAATAAGTTCTTTTATGATTATTGTTCATTTAAAATAAATTTTATTGGTAGAATATTGTATATAATTGATATAATTAAATAAGAATTCATAAACAAACTTGTGATTGATAAAATTAATATAAGATGAATGAAGAAATAGATTAACATTTAGAGATGCAGGAGACAAATATTATGTTATTATAACAATTCGAGAATGATACTCAAAGTCAAGAACCTTAGAGTCCATATCAATTTTCAGAACATTCAGATTTACCTTCACCATAAAGGAAGTAATCTAGAAAGAAAGAAAAGATACTAGAAAAACTTTTATCAAACAGGGCAAAATTTAATGAAAGAGTAGCAGTCTTCAATTTGATAAATTCGCTTTAATTAGTATGGTTATTGGAAAAGAATAGGCAATTACTTTATACAATTTGAGTTCGATAATAAATATAGAAGGATAATCAAACTTGAAATTTTATGATAGTTCATCTATTTTAAGTTTTTATAGATGGAATAAATAGGGATTCACAGTATATTATTTGATAACAATTTTGGTGATGGTCCATGTATTGAAATTATTAACATGTTTAGTAGGTAAGAATGAAAATGAATTAGGGTATTTTTGTGTATTACAAAAAAGTGAATAGTTGTTGACTATATTTATGATGTTAACATTTACTTGTGTAATAACAAGAGGTATAATAACAATATTGTTGTTAATTGATTATGGTTAAATATTGTAAACACAATCTTATATTTATGGGAAAGAGGATAAAATAGCTTAATCATAAACAATATAATTTACAGTAGTATTAGTGATATTTGTAGCTGTAGAAATAGTAATGGGATTGTAAAGTTTATTATATGCAGGATAAGCAAAGGAGAAATATAAATGTAAAATATATAATTAATTGATATATAGAAATGAGAGTGAATGAAAAGAAGATAGCCTAGCATTATCAGATAGCTTACTAAATAACTTTAAGATAATTCCTGGTTTGATTATTATTATATTAATAATGTTTAATAAATTAAAGAATTCATTTCCTTTTAGATCTGGTCCAAATTTCTTATTATGTTTCTTAGGATTTTCAGGTGTAGGTTATTTTGGTACAAGCTATTTGCATAAACAAAAATATGATCATCCTATAGTTTAAGAAGCATTAAGAATATTATAACATAATGATTAAATAATTCAATTGGCAGGATATCCATTATCACTTTAAATAAATATGGGTAGTAATGCAACATAAAATAATGATGTTTGTCAATTTTCATTTTAAGTTGTTGGTCCTAAAGGTTCAGCAAAAGTTGAATTAATGGGATAATCAAGAGAATTATAAGAGATATAAAATAAAACATAATATTACATTCCATCTCCAAAACAAATGATAGATGTGATGAAATATAATAAAGATATTGAAGCATTATAAAATTGGAAATTGACTCCAGATGTAAAATTATGGAAGATTGATCATTTGGTTGCTGATATAGGATTATAAGGAGATTTTAGAATAGTTTTAGTTGATTCAAATTAAGTGTTGAAAAAGGATGTTTCTCAAATAATGATTCCACCTTTAGTTAGTGATCGTAGAACACTTTATGATCTAAAATTAGAAATAGATGCTCGTAAACCTAAAACACCAACTACTGAATAAGAAATAGAAGAAGCAAGAAGATATAGACAATAAGAATTATATAGAAAAGTTGGTGGTGTTAGAAATATAACAATAATTAGCACTATAATTGGAGCTATGGCTATTTATAATTATGTAAAAGCAAATAGAGTATGATTTATTTAATAATTTAGAGAATAAGTGTATTGAATACTTAAATTCATAGATAATCATTAATTATCATATAGAGTAATCCTTAAATAAAGAAATTATTTGGTTAGAATATTTAATTCAATTAATAATTGAGAGGTGGATAGATAAGAGATTAGGCTGAATTTGAGACTGATATGTATGGATAGAAGGCAGGTGTTTGTTATATAAAAGGTTAGAAGAACAAAAAAACAAATGATTGGGAAATTGAAACAATTGATGTTGCTATTAAAGATGCTTAAGGTATTATCAATCAGAAAATTAGAATACTTGGTTGATTTGTGTATTTCATATTATATTAAAATAAATAATTAATATTATTATTAAAATTAAAATTTGTGATGAAAATCAATTGGCTCATGAATTAACTTATATTTTATATAAGCTATATTGATTCAATTTGCATCACCACTCTGATATTATATATAATTACATTATATGATGATATTTGTATAAATCACTCCACTATGAGATTTCATTGATTATGCAATTATACTCTGATATATTTTAATATTATATAGTATATGAGGTTTATTAATATATTATTCTTATTAATATATTGAAGTAATAGTTGTAATATAGTTATTTTCTATTCTAAATTAAACATTATTATATTTCATATATTAAATTCGAAATTGGTTTAGTGATTTTAATATCAAGTTGAGATTATTTTTTATTTATTAAAAGAAAATGTAATCTTTGAGTCATTTGGAATCTAGATTAAGTAGTTTGTAGGACTTTAATAAAATAAAGGATCCTTAGTCTGTATTGGAAGAAGAGTTTAATAAATAGGAGACATTAAAGAAATAGATAAATGATTAAAATTCTTAATTCAATTTAATTTTTTAGGAGATAAGAAACAATAATATTTATAAATAGAGAATATATTAGAAATTGATAAAACATGAAATGGAAATCAAACCTATAATTTTAGATAAAGTGGATTAGCATTTATAAACAATTAGTAAATTTGATGAATCATAATCAATATCAAGTTTAGAGACTACAAAATAATTATAGATTTCTATTGATGAATTGATTAAGTCTATAAATAAGAAAAAACAATAGATTTACCCTATGGAACATTAGATGTAACTGTTGAAATATTAATAAAAATAAGCTGAAGATGAATTAATTCTAGCTGAATTTGAAATGCTTAGATCAAAATAATTATTATAATCAATGAAAACTAAAATATAAAGATTATAGAGCAGAAGAAATCAATATTTATAAGAATTGATGGATTAAAATGATCTTCATAAAGCAAATACAGAAGAATAAAAGAAAGAATATTAAGTGATTTAAGATCATATCAATGAATTAAAAATATAAATACATGATTAAAAATTATAAATTGAAGATTTGAAATAATAAGAGAGATTCAAATGGGAATCTAGTGGCAATTAAATGATAATAATTAAAAATTATTTAGCTATGACAAAGTTATATGAATTTTGTACAAATCAAATTTAAAAGATTGATATCAGTTAAGATTCTAAAAATGAAAATGATGAATCTGAAGATTTAATTATTGAATCTTCTGAAAATTCATTTTTAGATGATGGAGGAGTTTTTTAAACTTAAATAAAGTAGACTTCACTTAAATCTAAATAATCAATTAAATCTATTAATTCAATTAAGAAGAATTAAAAAAAGGCAATAAATTATCAATAATCTTTATAAAATTTTATCACTGCAAAAGAATTAATATCATAAGTAAAATTGAATGTAGATATCAATATAATTGAAGAGATCATTCTTAAAGCTTATGAAGAATAGTCTAATTTATAAAGATAATTGGCAGAATAACATACATTTCTTATTGAATAGAAGGGTGAATGTATTAAAGAATATAATAATATATAATAAAAGGTATATTATTATATTTTATAAATATTTAGTTTTAACTTGATGATGGTAACAATAAAGAAAGAATAATAAAATGTTCAAGACCATCTAATGATAATTTTAATTAGAATGTAATAACATCAAATATTGCTTTATCAAGTGTAACTAATAAATTAAAAATTATTTAAACAATAAGTAGAAGATAATAAATGGAAGACTTATTTCTATGTATGAATAATAGAGCTAGTATTTTCTTGTAAAGAATAATAAATATTCTTCATAATATAGCATAAAGAAGTGAAATTGCAAATTAAGATATGATTGAGAAATATTAATAAGCTTAAATGACTTTAATGTTTGTGAAATAAAATTAATAATAATTATAAATGAATTTGGATGATTATCCAGAATTTAAAAAATTGAAAAAATCTCATAATATTACATTATTATATAATGATAATCAAATATTCAATGAATTTAAGTAATATTGTTAATAAATAACAGAAAATGAAATTGATGATAAAGTTTTATCTGAAAATTTTGATGCTTTTGTTTAGTTATGTTTGAATAGAATAGCATCTGAAAGTTAATGCATTTATGAATAAATAGCTATAATATGTAATTAAATAAAAATAGAAACACAATAATTAAGACATTTTTGTCATATATCCTCTACAGAATAAATACCATTACCTCACATTGTTTAGATGACTTACAATATGGCTGCAGAAAAATTACAAAATTATACAGATTCCAAAATCAGTGATCCTAATATTACTACAAAAAGAAAGCAATTGGCGTATTTCAATTGGTATTCATTTTAGACGAAGATCTTTGTTGTTAGATGAGAGAAACTCTTAATAAGGAGAGACAAATGAAGAAAACTATGAAAAATATTACAGTTAAATAAAAAATGGAATAGAAAATCCTTAAATAAAAAGAGATATTTAAACAGATTCTACTATGGTAGCTAAGACTAGTTTACTTTATGATAATTATACTCCTCGTACTGAATTCATTAAATAAAATAGATAACTAACATTATCTTTAAATAGAATACAATCATGTAAATATATATATATATATATAATTAGTGAGTCATATTTATCATCAGATCAATAATTAAGAATTTAGTAATAATTTTAAACATAATATACATAGAGAACAGAAAACTATTTAGTATTTAACTAATCATAGTACTCAAACTAGACCAGGAAGTAATAGTTTAGCTATGATGTCAACTTATAGATAAGAATGTAGAACTGAACATAATATTAATAATGATAAATCAAAGACTTTTAAATAGACAAAAAGTAAATCATAAATATCTAAAGTTATATTGAATGAAGCCAAAAAATAAATGCAAAAAATAAAAACAATTAATAAATTATAATTTAACCAATGATATATCTTTTATATAACTAATAATATATTAAATATCTAATGTTTTCTATTATCTTATAGAAAATAATAAACATAATATAATATTTATACAATTTATATTATAAGATGGGAATATGTGGAGGTAGGTCTAAAAGTTAGGAAGACTAAGTTCATAAACTAAGTCAACCTATCATAACCAATGGTGAGTTACAAATTAAAGTGTTGTTGAAGAACATCACTTTGAAAATGACTGGTGTGAGATAATGTTCCATTGAATTTGATTTAGGGTAATGTAAGTACACATCACCGGTGCATATAGATAATAATGGAGATCATTATGTATTAAAATTCATAGAAGGAAGTGGCGAGCTAGTTTTGATGGAACCTTAAAGATGACAGAGTAGTAGATGCGAGAATCCAATATGAAAATTTCAGTGATTGATACTTAAGTAATTGGATAAGCCACCATCAATTTATTTGAAGCTGCAGTAGGACCATTTCATTTTCAATTACCAATCCGAGGTTAAAGTACTGGAAATGTTACTTTTGATTTGAAAATGAATCAAGTATTGTAAGCAACTCTTTAAAGTAAGTTTATCATTTGGGAATTAAATTAAAGTCTTAGTGATGTTAGATACAACTATAATTTGAGGTTGGTGGTATAAATATTTATTAAAATAAAAGACTTCATAGTTCTCATTCATCTCTGAACATTCAACCACTTTTGTTAATCCAAATTATAGAAAACAAAATGAAAAATAGAGAAGTATAATAGCTTCTAGTCGTAAAAGCATTTTAGATTAGGATATATTAAGAGATTCCATTATATCATTACCAAAAATACCATCTATGATAAATAGTAGTGGAGGTGTTAATCAATCTCTGGAGTCAATTATAGCAGCTACTCCAACTAATAAAGGATAATCACCTGCTTGTTAACCTTATCATAGAATAGAATGGGATCATGCTGGAGATGAATTGACTTTGATAGTAGAATTACCAATATCTGAATTTTAAGGTTCTGCAATTCAATTATGTTTATGGTCAATTTCTTCAAATAAAAATAGTTTAGGTAATAGTAAATCTCCTCATAAAACTATTATAAAAAAGACTTAAAATAAACATGATTCAGAATATATGGATTTAGAGATTTAAGATCATCATTTGGTAGCAGAAACATATATTAATTTATCAAATTTAGAAACAAATATTGTTGCTGATTTGGGAGCAAAGTTTTTTGTAATTAAAAGTTAATAGGCTAAATCAATATGGTATCATGGTGTTGAGGTAGGTAAAATAGATTATGAAATAAGTGTAAGATTACCAAATTATTTATAATAATCATCATTTGGTGTTTAAACAGAAAAGGGTATAGTATCAACTGCATCTGTTGTAGGAAATGTTGAAAATATTAGTGTAACAGAGATTAAGATGATTTAAATTGAATTTTAGAAATTATCTAGTTCTATATTTAAGATTGAACATAAAACATTAAATATGGATGATAAATTAAAGGTTCGTTAAGATATGGATCAATAACTTAATAAATTAGCTTAATTATTGGGATAATCTCATGGTACTAATATTAAAACATTTTAATATAAATCTGAGGATGATTTAATGAAAGCCTAACATTTATTGATTTAATTATCTATTCATTTGGTGGATTATTCAAAAACATTAGCATCATTCAATGCATATTTTGAATGTTTAAATTAAGTATTAAGTAGAGGAGAATTAATGTTATAATAATTAGGATTTTTTAAAGCTTTGAATAAGAAGTAATCAGAATTTAAAACAGAAGTTGGTTTAAATTATTAATCTTTTTTAGTAAATACACTTCGATTCACTTTATAAAAATTAAATTAAAAAGATCCTAGTTAAGAAGCTAGATAATTATATATAAAATTTTTAGTAATTAGTTATTTTCGAATTCCAGAATTTAGAGCAAAATTTTTAGAGTTAATTAATAAAACTGATGATCCTTAGTTATTAGAATTAAGAGGAACTGAATTTATATAAGAAGATGATCCAACAAATATTGATAAAAGTACAAAAACCAATATCTCAATTTTCGATTGGTAAAATTATTTTCATACTTATTTATCTGATAAAAGCAAAGGAATATAAAATTAATCAGCATTAAATTAAATATTAGATGATGAAAGTTGGAAGGAACATATAAGACATAGATCTATAAATTTTAGTTTTTTTGTAGAAGAATGGGCTAAATATGTTAGAAATATATTATAAGTAAAAATACTTCCTTGGTAAGATATTCCAGGTTATAGAATTTTGGTTAAAGCATTTATGTGTGAATTAAAATAATAAGAATCTGTTCCTGATGCTATGAAAATAGCTTTAAAAAGTTTGCTTTAGAATGTAAATTTATTAGGAATAGTAGTTAATTTGCAATTTAATAAAACAAAGTAACATATATATATTAATAAGTCTATATAATGCAGAATAAGTGATAGAAACATTTGAAATTTTAGATGTTTGTTTTAGTACATTGACAACAATGCCTGCTTACTTTGATTATCCATTCTTTTTAAAAGGAATCAAATAAATCATTATTGATTCAGAACATGCTATAAATATAGCTAAATGTGTTTGGCTAATTTACAATATTTATCCTTTATTTTCAAGTAATACTATTAATTTTAAATAAGTGGACTTTAAGAAAGATATATGTGAATTTTTATTTGAAAAAGCAGTTTTTAAATTATTTTTACATTGGAGTAGAACAGTAAGATTAGTATTTCATTACTTTTTGTTATATAGAGTATCTCATTAACATAAGAACCCAAAAGTTGGAGGTTTGGATGAAGAGTAAGCACTTAATGATAATTAGTTAGATAGATTATACAACAATATACATTGATTAATAGACCAAAGAAAAATTAAAGTTATTTTGAAAATAGGTAGCCTCAATAATAATTGATTGTAAGATGTGTGAATATTGATTTAGTCTGATTATATTTATATGAAATACTTGAGATTTTTAAGTAAATTAGAATAAGCTAAGATTAATGAGAATTAGAGGGAATATTAATAAGAACATTAAAGTTACTATTATAAAATGGTACATAAGAAATTAAGAAGAGAATAAGAATTAAAGATGTAATAATAAGAAGAACCAAAAATGATGGAATAATTGAAATTGGAGAGAATGATTTCAGAATAAGATGAATCATTATAAAAACAGAATTAATTGAAACCAGTGATCGTTCCTAGACCAGTAATGCACAAAAAGTTGAGTTGTAAGATGCAATGGATAATGATGTAGATAAGCATGAAGTTGAAATTAATGAGATGCAATAACAATATTTACGATTATCCATTCGGGAATTCGAGGAATAATTAAAGAATTATAACAATTGGAGATAATAAAATTTAAAGAAAATGATTGGTAAATATAATGATGAAGGTATATTTAAATATTTATATATTTAGATAAACACATAATTCATCTGACTTTTGAAGTACCCAAAGTTGATGTTCTAAGAAGAATAGATGAAAAAGAGGGTGCTTGAATAAATTATTATATAGATTATTATTATTAAATCAAAAACCAAAGGTTTCAGCATCTGCATATTGCAAGTAAAGGAATCCATCATCTGGATCTTTGTATTAATCGTAAATATTTCTGAGTTTATCATCTAGTTATTGATTATAAAATATACGTTCATTCATTAAACTTTTTCCGCAATACATAAAAAGAGTTGAAGTCTTCTCATCTAAGTTCAATTTCTTTTTGATTGTATTTTTGAATTCATTAAATGAGAAACTAGAATTTACCAAAAACCTATATTGAATCATTTAAATTAAATTACTTCACTTTTTACAATTAAGGTAATTTACAACCTGGAATCTTTTCAACAATTATTGGAATCATTTCAGGATATTTTGCTAATTGCTCCTATACTCTTTTCTTTCTCTCTTCTAAATTATGAGAATCTTTATAAGTTTGAGTCTTTTGCTTTTACATAATTATTTATTTTTACTATAATTAATAATAGTATTGATCAGTTTTATTATCATAATATTTTCACTCTTTTTCATTATCTATTTATCCTTGATGATTAGATAAGATTTATTAATTAAATTCATTTAAAAATAATGATGGCAATGTGTTCCAAGAAGGCCTATCTGAAAAGAAGGTCTGTTGATAATAAATGTAAAACTTTATTCTAAATTTTAGATGATGTAGATACCAATATTTTTTAAGTTAAGTTTGATTGCTTAAAAGATAATGTTGTTAAAATACATTAAGGAGATCCTGTTATGTGTTAACAATGTGAGACTGTTCTTAATAAATATTCAAAAATAGAAGATGATGTTTAAAAACAATAATTTGGAAAATAACTTTGGATATGTGAATTCTGCAATCATTAAAATTTTATTCAAATAGAAAAAGAAGAAATACCTACAAATGAAGATACTGTTTATCTTATTTAATCTGCTTCAGAATAATAATTGTAAATAGAAGATGCTGATAATTCAATTATATTTTGTATTGATACTAGTGGATCTATGTCTAGTACTGTTGAAATCAAAGGAAAAGTCAATTTTAAACATGGAATATCTCCTGAAGAATATGAAATGCTTAAATAATTTATTGAACCTGGAGATGAACATTAAATATGGCCACAATTTAATACTAAACAAGTCACTCATGTGTCTAGAAAATAATGTGTTATAGCAGCTATTGAATAATAAATTGGAGAATTAAAGAAGAAAAATCCCAATAAATTAGTTGGATTAATCACATTTAATAATGAAGTTGTTGTCTATGGTGATGGTTCTGAAATTCCCATTACTATTGCTGGTGATAGACTCTTTAAATAAGATGAAATAGAAAATCTTTTAGAAGGAACTGCTAAACAACTCATGAAATATCCAATTAAAGTTCAAGCTGAGACACTCTTAAAAAAATTTGAGAAACTCTAAGAAAAAGGTTAAACTGCCTTAGGTCCTGCATTGATTTCAGCTTTGTAATTAGCTAAAATTGGCAAACCTGGATCCATGATTATCATATGCACAGATGGATTAGCCAATTTAGGAATGGGATCTTTAGAAAATGATACAAATAAACAATTCTATGAAGATTTGGGGGTGTTTGCTTCATAATTTGGAATTGTTATTTCAGTTGTTACAATAAAAGGAGAAGGATGCAAAGTTGATATTCTAGGATCCTTATCAGAAAAAACTAATGGAACTGTAACCAGAGTTAAACCTGAAGATATTGAAAAAGATTTTGCTAATATTTTAAAAGATGAACTTGTAGGTACATAAGTTTAGTTATTTGTAAATTTGCATCGTGCTTTAAAGTTTAGAGGAGAAGAGGATCCTAATTTGACTAATAAACTAAATAGAGCTATTGGTAATGCAACTATAGCTACTACTTAAACATTTGAATATTAATTAAAAAATGATCACGAATTACAAAAAGAATAAATTGATATTAAAGATTTAAAGACTGTTCCATTTTAAATCAAAGTTAATTATACAAATTTACATGGTGATAAACTTATGAGAGTTGTTACTCAATAAGTCTCAACAACAGAAAATGTAATAGAGGCTGAAGAGGAGGCTGAAGTAGAAGTCATTCATAAAAGAATGGCATAAAGAACTGCCTAAATAGCAAAGAAAGGAAATTATTCAGAGGCATAGACTTATAATATGTAATGGGATGGCTACGTTTAACAAAATGTTAATATCAATAGTAATATTTCGAACTAAGAAAAAAATTAGATGTTCTAAACCTGTAATCGAAAATTATAAACAGCTGTATTGAAATAAGAATTTCGAAAGGACAAATTATAATCTTAACCATTAATAACATAATAATAATAGTAATAATAATAATAATAATAATAATAATAATAATAATAATAATAATAATAATAATAATAATAATAATAATAATAATAATAATAATAATAATAATAATAATAATAATAATAATAATAATCACTTAGTTTTCTTGATAGAGTAGCAGCATTTATAAAAGGAGATGATAAAAAATAATAATAATCATAACCATAATTATAACCAGCTTAAATACTAGTACAAAAATCTTAAATACCTGATGAAATCATTGTTGATTAAATTCCTTAAATGAAAAAATAAAAAAAGCAAGAGAATGAGAGTCTAAGTTGTTCAGATGAAGATGAAGAAATGGCTGATCTATTTTAATTTGAATAAGGAAAATATTGAATACAATTTTTATTTTTATAGATTCAATATTTCTTAATTTTATTTCTCTCTTATTGAACTATATCTAAATTAGAAATCATACATGTTATTATTAGTTTTTTTGTGTAAATCCTTAATAGTTCTAATTAAAATCTTTCATTTTTTAAATATATTTCTACCTTCCAACATATATATATATGGAGATCTTAATAATTTCATAAAAATATTGTTCCTAATAATACTACTATTTGAAAAAACAATTACCTAATAAGTTATAAACATAACTTATTTAATGATTCTTAAAAGTTATAATGAGAAAGCTGTTCTAACTGAAATAAAAAAATAAAAACTTAAAAATTTTAACATTAAAAAGATTTAAATTTAAGAATTAGTAATTTTATTAACATAATCATTCTCAAGTGGCTTATAAAAATAATAGCCATACTCAAATTGATATTTAAGTAATGTCTAGGAATGCTTTATCTATTAAATTAATGAAATTCAAATAGACTTTATAAATTCTTTAAGGTTGGTCAACTTGAAATCAATTGGAATCCAATTTACTTAATCTAGATTAATTCCATCAAATATTTTGTGAATTTCATCTGTTAAGTAGTAAAATCTTTTTCCAAAATAAGTTAATTATTCTAATGCATACCTTTCTGCCCAAAATACTAAAATTTAATAACTAAACTTTAATGAATCAAATTAACTTAACAATATCATCATAGATTTAATGAAATATGAATATTTTATTTATTCTATCAATATTAGATTAGACGTCATATAAATTTTAATGTCCTACGTATTTATAAAAATAAAGACATTTTATTTATATAAAGATTGGTCTTTTAAATTGCTGAATTTAAAAAAGGTCAAGTTTAAACCTTAGATTTTAATTATATTAACTACAATAGTTTTTATAAATGTAGTAATCCATTTGAAATTATCACAAATAGACTTTAAATATATTATAAAAAAAATTTAAAGTTATTACAAATCTAAACAGTTTTACTGAAATCCAAATTGAATTTTGTTGATATCTTATGATTTGTGGATCAATTTTATTTGTATTATTAATTATCTCTCTATAAATTATAAAAAAATAACTGCCATGCAAATTGAACCAAAGTAAAAAAAATTCTAAATAAACTTATATGAGTGATATCATAAAAAAATATACAGTTTTTTCAAATTTGGTTATTAATAGAAATTTGCATATTCTGTGATGAGATAATTAGATTTAATTAATTAAATTATCGAATTGATTTAAATATTTGATTTATTCTTTGATTTTGAAGAGATAACAGAAATTTGTACTATTTTTTAGAAAAGAAATTGAAATTTATTGATTAAGTTTAATCAACTAAAAATGAATAAAAAATCCTAATAAACCTTTTATGATCATAAACAAGTGAAAATATAAATAGATTTTGTAAATTAAGAAAAAAAATAATTTAAAAATTCCAGAATTCTTAAGAATTTAGATCTTATAAATTACGCAAATTGAATTAATTTAAGTTAAATGATTTTTGAATAATAAATAGCTTTCGTCATTAAAACTGATATTCAACTCTATAAATTGCAATTAATATTACAATAAAAAATCATTAATTATCATAAAAAAATACAAATGATAAACTATGTGGATACATATGAAGACTAAAAACTATAATAGTTTGAGGAAGAGCTTGAACTATTTGGTATTGTGAGTTCTCCAAATACTCTTATTTTGTCTGATTCAGGATAAACCTCTTGTGTAGAATAAGGTAGATAATATATCATAAGACTTTCATTAGATTCTAATTTATTGACTCCATAACAGCAAGAAATTCAAAAAATAAAATTACCAATTCAAAGAAGACGCCCTCCAAAAAGAATTCAATATACTTATCATAAGAAAAAGAAGCGCCCTGCCCCAAAACCCATAATCCATATCAAAGAAAACGGATTGAAGGTGTGTCTTGTCATGGAAAAACCCAAATCTAATGCCCATCCTTTCTCTAATATTGAAGATAAGAGAATTTTGGAACTTGTTCTTAAGATAGGACCTAAGTTTTATAAAATATCAAAGTCATTTCCAGGGAAGAGTGTCAGCATGGTCAAGAATCGTTATTACAAATACCTCCGTTATAGATGGGATGAAGTTATGGGAAGGTAATTTGAATTTAACTATCATTTAGTGAGTATAGACACATGAATTCTCTTCCAGAAGATCAAAATTTTGAAAGTCAAAATGGATTCAGATCGAATGATATCAATGATGAACTTGATTCCGAATGTTGAATATGTTCAAGTAAATCAGTATAGTGACTATATTTTTTGTTTACATCGAGTTATATAATATATTTTACTTTTATTATAAATTATTCAGTTTTTTCATCCTAAAGGGTAATAAATGTTTTATTAGATTTATTTTAAATTTATTTAAATTGTTAAACATAATCAATCAGAATTCATTTATATATATTAACATAATAATTTGTACTTAAAAATTGTATTAAAATAAAATATTATGTTCTCATCATTTTCATTTATACTATAATGTATTAAATTTTATTGATAAATACATTTATTTTTATATGATGATTTCTAATTAATTTACAAGGAATGTATATCATAATTTAACAATCAAATAGAAATAATAAGCAGTTTATTATTAATTAATAATCTAAACCAACTATTAAAGATGTTGAAGGTTATGGAAATAGGAAATTATAGATTCAATTTTTAATACTTATCAAGTAGTCTAATAATAAATTACAATATAAACTCTAAAGAAACTAAATTGTAATATCAACAAAATTTACTCAAATTATGGAATATACAGAATAATTATAATTTACACTTTCATTATTTAATATAATGTCATCAAATTAAATTGTTTTAAATCTCTAAGATCACTTTAAAAATTCATTATATATCGATGAAAAAATGAAAATTTATAATATAAATTTTGATTAACTATCAATCACTTTATTCTTCAATCTAAATTTCATTTCGAAAATTTTTTAAAATTATTTTAGTTTTTAATAATATAATTACAAAGTGGTTATCCTTAAGTGTTTGTAATACTCCTATTTTATTTTAATAAATGTATGCAATTCTATAAGTAAAATAATTTAGAAATAATCAAATTTATCAATATAAATACTATTATTTAATTTTTTTATTTTAATAGTTGAGACCTTATGTTTAATTTAAGATAGATCTATTTTTAATTTCAAATACTGAATCCAAAAATCAATAAAGAATATATAATCTAATTTGTCTTAGATAAAAATTTTCCTATTTAATATCCGATGAATAAATGGTTGTGCTAGAGTTACTTTAAAAAAAAAAGTTCAGTCCATTTGAGCTTTTTAATTTCTAGAATGGATAAATTTTTTCATTTTACAATAACATTCCAAACCTGTTTAAATTAAAGGACCTATTAAACTCAAGATTAAAAATTTTATTTAAGCAAATCCTCTATAAACTTTTTCATTGTGGGACAAATAATTTTCAAATTCCTAAAAATATGATATATTTAGTAGGATACATAAAATTATTGAAATTTCAAGTGATAATATTATCATAATTTCAAGTATTGAAGTTTTCAACTTAAAATCTACATTATGTTATAAAATATGGAATCAATATACTTAAGTATTGGATGATATTATATTCATGTAAATAGTAAATGATAAGAGAATTTCTTAAAAAAATTAATTTTTCATAATAAAGACTAAAATTACTATGAATATCTTTATAGAAGCTTTATGAATATTGAATATTTATTTGAAATAATTAAAAAATTAATTTTGTTTTACATGTAATATTATAATACATATTTTTAAATAAACAATTTTCTTAACTAATGTTTTGATTATTTTTAAGTTATGATTTTAATAAATATGAATGAAACCGTAATTATAAAGTTAATTTTAAACGATTATTAAAAGATTTAATGCAATATAATAATCATGATAATTTTTTTTTAATGCTGTTAATACAAAAGAGAACAATCGTTGTGGATAAGAATGCTATTAAATTATTAATAACCAATGTTTTAATATCAGATATAAATGTGATCTAAAAATATTTAGTAATTTTATTAATTACCTCAAAAAATTCAAACATTTTGATGGCCAATAAAAATATCATCACAGGAATCCCAAACATCCACCAAAAATATTTATCTTAAAAAAAAATTGACATAAAAAGTACTAATAATAAGGTTGGGACAATAATAATTGAAAGAAGTTCTTATAATTTATAAAATAATACTTCTTATACTAATATTGTATCTTGGCCTTACAATAAATACTAATAGGATCAAAATGATATGACATAAAGAGATTTAAATGAAAATGACTAATTATTTAATTATAAAATATATCTTACATCCTTGATCCAGTGTATTAAATAAAAATATGCTATATGAAAGCGTAAAATATTCAAATATCAAAGTGTAAGTTATTATTGCAGTCTTATGGAAAATTTCAGGGGGATTCTTTGCTAATATCAACTTTATACTTTATCTTCTCGGTATACAACAGAAATAATAAATGTAAAAATAAAAATAGGAATACACATGCAAAAATAGGTTAATAAATTTAGTTCAAAGGTATCATCATCAATTATATATTATTAAAGATTTCTATTATAATAAAAAATAGTTATTAATATGAGAGCAATAAGTAATTTAAAAACAGCCAATAAGTCAATTGCTATGTAGAATAATTTATTCTATTCAAGCCTTTATATTTCTTAGGAATTTGAATTATCATTATTATTATTATTATTATTATTATCATTATTATTGTCATTATTGTTATTATTATTAGTAAAATTTCTACTAATATCCTAAACATATTTATTATTTTAAAAGTTTGATCTGTTTTATTCAACTTATTAATGATCTTAATTTATTTTTCTTTCATAATTTTAAAAGTCATTTTAAATGTAATAAATTTCATCTTGTTGTTAAAATCTATTCCTATTTAAATTAAATGGTCTAAAGTTTTGCTATATTGGATAATTAATTTCAATGAGATTCTATTGACTATTGGAGTAATAACGAATGGGTTTGTTCATTTATTTATCAAATAAATATAATATTGATAAGAGGTAATACACATTTAAGAATTAAATATAAATTTTATTTTACATTTAAAGTTATATCTTAATTATGAATATTTTTAATATCAAGATATATGAAAATAATGAAAAATATTATTAAGAAAACTTATATTATGGACTAAAAGTATTATTAGGAAGTGCTTATCTCGATTATTTTTATTAAATGTTATCATAAAAAAATTAAAGTAATTATAGATTATAATTGATTTTATGAATGTGAAATTTAATATATATTGTAAATTAAGATAGAATATACAATTTTTATTTGAATAGTAATTGATTTTTTACTATTTAAAAATATTAATTATTCTATTTTGATGAATAGCATAATAATATTATTTTCTTTTAATAATTAATATTATATTAAAAACCCAATATTTTTCTTAATCTATATATTAATTATTGAATATAAAATAATATAATCAATCATAAAAATTATGTAAGTTTAAGTATTTATATTAGTTTAGGTTTGCAATTAGTAATTTGAATGTTAATTTTAGAATAATTTAGCATAGCTTATAGAAACTAAAACAAAGGAATGTTTAGTGAATAAAACTCATAATACTGATTTAAGACAGCATAATTAATGAATTTGATTTATATTAAATTAATATAAATAGGTTGAACAATTTAAGAAAAAAGCTTAAATTTATCTATATACTAAATAATTTTTGATAAAGAAAATTAATGATAAGTAGTGTAATAATCTTTTATTTATATGGTGTCTGTTTATTATAGTTATATATATTTTAATAGAAATTTAATTATTATCATCATGATTAAAATAAATGTAGGAGTGTAGTAATTGGGGATAATTCAATCTATAGAATTATATCCTTATTAAAAAGGTACAAATATATTGCAGTAATTGTTTAATAAATTGAGTTTTAATTTGGATATAAGAAAGAATATATAGAGTACTATAAAGATTGATAATGTTGAGGTGGATATTAATAAAACAATTGAGATTCTTGAGATTAACAATTACTCATAAGTAGAGGTATTTTTATCTAAAAGAATAATAATTGAATGTGATCATGAACATTTAGGTTCAATAAAATATAATACAGACGTATTTGATTAAGTCAATTTGTTTAGAATTTATTTGGTTAAAAATTTTATCAAAATTAATTCATGTGAGATACTAATAATCAACTAAGAAGATGGAACTTTATTTTAGAATGAATCTTGGGGTAAATATGGAGTTTATTAAAATATTAAAGTTAGAATTCAAATAACAAAATAATAAAAAATCATATTTAATTAAGTAATTAAAGAAATAAAAATCGATATTTTCTAACCTGTTGCTAAATTCATTCATTAATTTAAGAATGAATAGAATATTGAAGATGATATCATTATTTTTAAATAATAATAAAAATAAATAAATCCTGATAGCATATATATGAATTTAAATCTTTCGTAAGAATAACCATGGGAAGCAGAGATTTAAAAGGATTTCATTTTTTAAATATAATTTGAATAATATAATAAATAGATTACTGTATCTTAAAATATAGAAGTATTTGATTTGATAGGCATAATGAGATAGTAATTTAAAATAGAAAATACAATTCCATTAAAATTGGAGTACAAACTTAATAAATAAAAATTAGATATAGATAATACAATTAAATAGGAATGTGTTCCAACATGTAGTCAATTAATTCTTATAAAAGAGCCATCTGATAATAAGATTAATGTATTATTACTTAATTAAAAAACTCATATTAAATAATTGGAGAGAGTGGCTATTAATTCAATTTTAGGTGATTTGGATGTCTTAATAAATTATGATAAAAATACTGAATGTATTTAATATTATGTTGGAGAATAAATGAAAGATAAAAAATAAAATTTGTAATAACTTAATTTGAAATCAGAATGTGTAATTAAGTATTTGATAGAGAATAAATAAAAAGTGGAATAATTTGAAAAATAGAAAATAGTTTAAATTTAATTAGTTCGTGAACCAAGTGAAGAGAATTCATAAATCAAAGTCATTTTTGAAAATATGTACACTAAGTAATCAAAATAAATTATGATTTCATCTACTTGTTTCATTAATGATGGTTTATAATAAGTTCTTTAGAATGAAATGATAAAAGATACAAGTTATTATTAGGTTTATTTTGATTAATAAAAACTTTATCTTCAAGCAAGATTCAATTAATTTAACATAATTTCTAATTCTAAATTATCATATTTTACAGAATTTGTTATTTTTTCAGCATTTGTTTAAGGTTAAGATTTAGAATTAATTGTGGATTAAAATCTTTCTATTTTACAAATTGAATAATAATTTAAAAAATAGCATAAAATTAATTAATAACTATTTCTCAAAATAGAGAGATTATAAGATAAAAATTTATCATTAAAATAACTTTTATAGAAACATAAAAATTTCCAATTTGTATTTCAAGTTTCAAGTGATATATTTATTTAAGACAATTAAATAAATTTATGTATATTTCTTAACGAAATTAATAGTCAAATTTAATTACAGATGTAAAATGATGAAAGAGGTTTGGATATTTGTTAAAAAATAAAATACAATTATAAATTACCAAGAAATTAAGTAATATAATTATATATTGGTGAAAGATTAGTAAATTATAATGAAACAGTTTCTTTAATTAAAAATGAAATCATTATAAAGAATCATTAATTGAGAGCTCAATTTATATATTTCTTAAGTTTGTAATTTGTAAGTTCATGTGGTTTAGTATAAAAGATAGTTAAGGCACAATTAGAGGATACTATGGAGTAAACAATAATTAATAATTCAATAAATGGGTATAACTTTATTTGTAAACAATAACTCTTAGATATCCAATAAAAAATAAAAGAATTGCCTATAGAAAACAATGCAATAATAAAGTTTCAATCTAATTAAATAATATTGAATTTTTAAAATGATCAAACTGGAGAATAACATAAAATATTAACATATTAGGATGAAAGCTTTGAAAAAATCATTAATAATTTAGGTGTCAGAATAAATCAACTTATGTATTAGAATTAAGTTTTGGATTTGACATCAAAGATCAAGAGTATAAATTATAATCCTAATGAAAATATAATATATAATGAATAACCCAATTATCATGAGCCATCTGATGTCATTTAATAACCTTAATAAGTTAAAGTGACTGTAATAATAGGAGATAAGAATTTAACATATTGTGTAAGTCCTAGTATGTAGCTTAGTCAATTAAAAAAAGATGTTCATAGTAAAATGTAAAAAAATCCTGATGCTCTATCAAAGTATGCATTAAAATATTAGGGTTAATTTATAGATGACCAAAAACAACTATCATCATTTGGTAAAGCTAACCTTGAATTTCAATATACACAATTGTATCATTCATGATTATTTATAATTATGATTACTTTCCTCTAAATGAGAATAATTATTATAATAATTAAATTAATGCTTTTAAAAAAAGAGTATATATTTTCTACTAGATAAATACAAAAAATCAGAAAGATTGGAAACAGAAGCTTTGGAAAAATGTATAAGGAAATAAACTTAAAGATTGTTTAATTTTTGGATTGTTTCTAAAACATTTTACAAAGATCCATTAATTGAATCAAAATATTTATTAGTAATTCAATATCTTTATTGTTGTATAACACTTAAGTTATATATTGATAATTTAGAAGACAAAATTAGAGTTCATAAAATATTTGTATATATTAATAAATGAGTTCAATTTGAGGGGGCTTCATTTTCTAAAGATCTCATAATTCTCTAATGCAAACTATTAATTGAACTCAACATATGCTATTCAAATTTTAAAAGGAATAACAAATCCTTTGTCATTTACTATTTACTTGAATTTTATCCTTGTATTGTATATTGTAATTGCTTCAATTTTTCTTTTTTATCCTTTTTATCACTTTTGGAGTATGGCATAATTTATCTTTCTGGTTTATTTTACATTTGAGATGACTTTACTTCTTCAACAGAGTCATCCTCATTGAAATCAAATGAAATTTCACTTTCAGACATATTAATTTTAAAACATATAATAATGTAATTATTATTTTTTAAAGATGGAACTGTATGGTATTATTTTGTTAAAGAATATATTAGTTTATGAAAAAATATTATTAAAAATGTAATCAGAAATTTATGTAGGATAATTAAAACTAGTTTATTTTTGTTAATTAATTATGTCTAATATTGAAACTTATAAAAAGAATTAAAAGATTAGTGAGAATTGTAATTATAATGAAATAAGGATTGATTTTATAAATTATTTAGAAAAAGAATACTTTTTATAATTTATAATAATTAGATAATAGAAAAATGAATTTTAAAATAGTATAAATTTCATTATAATAATATATAAATAACACACATATAAATGAAAAAATATGAAGTAGTAGTCAATAATGGCTTGTTCAGATTTGAATATGAGCCTAAATCTCACTCTGCAAATATTAATGATGTGATTCAATTCATTAACTAATAAAAAGGATTTCCTGCAAAATCTTAATTATATATCATAGTTGATAATAATATTAAAGATACAAAATTTGATTTAAAGGATGCCAAAACTAATATTATAAATATAAAATTTTCAGATATAATAGAAACATTCACTATATAACACATTAATAAAGATGAAAAATATAAATTAGTTTTAGAAAAAGTTGATACTTGTTAATAATTAATAGAAATAGAAAAGAAGATTGCAAATTTAATAAAATGTGAAGAGTACCCAATTAAAATCCTGAAGAAAAATCAATTTTTTGATAGAAATCTATTACTATGTCAAATATTCATTTATTAATAAGAAATATATTACCATGTCTTAGCAATGTTTATTATTTAATATAAAGATAAACGATAATTGTTTTAGATTGATGCATTCTCACATTTTGATAAAATAAAGTAAAAAATTAGATAAAAATTTGGTATTGATGAAGAAATTGAGTTATATTTCAGAGGTCGTTTATTGGAAGAGTAATAGACATATTAATTTTATAAAATTCATTAGAATGCTGAATTAGAGTTAAGAGTAAAAAGTATGTAGAAGATATAAATTCTGTATTAGGAGAAAATTTATGAATTTAATTTATCTGTTAATCTTACAATAGAAGATATAATTAAATATAATAAGTAATTTGATTAAATACATTAAAATCAAGTTCTATAAATTCATTATAATAATTAATGTTTAGAAAATAATATAAGAATTGGTGATTTAGATTTATCAAATGATATTTTATTTATAATGACAAATAAAATATAAGAAAAGTTTTTATTGATTAAATTTGTAAATAAAGAATAATAATAATAAAATTATCAATTTCGTGTATCAAATTTAGAGTATTTTTAAATTATTTATGATAAATATCCTTTTAAAGGAAAGATATTTGAATTTTATGTTAATGATATTAAATTAGCAATCAATGATAAATTAATGTTTAATGATATATAATTTAAAGATGATAATAATTATTTAATTTAGTATTAGTTGATATTGAATTATCAAATAATTAATGTCACTTTTTAAGATGAAGAAGGTAATGTCTTAAAAATTTAAGTGAAATCAGAAGATATTATCTATGATGAAATAATGAAGAATTTGAATAATGAAAATGCTAGAATTAAGGCATATAAAAAAGGTTAATTGATTGATTTAAATGGCACTTATAAATCAGAAGAAATTTAGGATGGTGATATAATAAATTATTATTTTGCAGAAATTACTATATAATTTATGATTTGGTTTAGAGATCAACATTAAATATAAGAAATAAATGTTAATTATTTAGATAGAATTAAAGATTTAAAAGAGAAAATAATAAATTAACATAAAATAACTGATGAATGCAAAATTTTATTAGATGGAGATATATTAAATGATGATGTCTGCTTAAAAAATTTTAAATAGAATACAATATTTAGAATAAGTAAGATATTTCATTTTAAGATTGAATTACTTTTGGATAATAATATAGAACAATCAGAATGTAGATTTTATGAAACAGATAAAATATCATAAATCAAGTATTAATATAGAGAGATATTTTGGGATGAAGTTTGTATTTAGGTTGATAATAAAGAAGATTTAGATGATAATGATGAATTATCAGATTACATAAATAAGGTGCTCAGAATCTCAAAAAAGAATATAAATGTTAGATATAAATTTGATGGCACTTAAATTGTCTATTAGGACAAATATTCTAAATTAATTACTTTAGGAGAGATGTTGAAAATAATAGCTAATAGATAATCTAGATGTTATATTTGTAATAATTTAATGGATGAAAATATTAAATTAGATGATCTAAATTTAGATCCAAATACAGAAATTACAATATAATGTACTAGTAGAGCATAATTTATTGAATTCAATAATAATCTTAATAAGTTTGATATAGATTTCTATCCTGAAGATATAATTGGTCAAGCTATTAAGAATCATATTAAAGGAAAGTTTATAATTTAATAAGATAATAAGGAGTTAAACCTTTAAAAATCTTTTCAAAGTGAAAACATATAAAATGGTGCTGAATTAATTATTATTTTTTTAGTAACAATTAAATTTAAGGATTTTGAAACAAAAGAATTATTGTTTTCACAAACTTATAAAGGTAATATGAAAATTAGCTAGATTCTTAATTAGAAAAATTTTAATAAAGCAAGAGTTTATTATTTAGAGAAGGAAATCAATTAAGATAAAACATTAGCAGAATTAGGTGTAATAGATTATTCAGAATTAAATATTGAAGTTTTAGAGAATATATTAATATTACATTTAGATGATAAGATAACAAAGATTATTATTAATTCAAATATAACCATTTAAACTCTAAAGTAATAACAAAATCTAAATAATGAAAATTATTAAATTTATGCTATACATGATTAAACATAAGTTTTATCAAATGATATTATTTTAAAAACTTTACTTGATGAAAACAATGAGATTGAACTAATATATAAAATGAATAATTCTTATATCTAAATTCATTTAATAGATAATGAAGATAGATAATATACTGAAAATGTTTAATTGAATTAATAGGTTAAAACATTCATCAATGAATTAAAAATTAAATACAATTTGGATGAAAATCCACAAATTTTTTATGAAGGTGAAATACTAGATCAAGAATAATATTTCTCAGAGTTATAGATTACTTAAGATACCTTATTTGAAATTATAATATGAATTAAAAAAAGTTAAATAAGTAAATTAATATAATAATATATCACATAAATGGTTAAGGTCTAGATGTTTAACCTAGATTTACTATAATTTTAAGTCTATCATTTTCATCTCTTAATCTCTTATTTTCTTATTCTAAAATATGTGAATTTTCTAATTCATTAAATCTTAATCTTACATAAATTTGTTGAATTTACAACAACTCTTTAAATTGGTTAAATATTTTATTATTATTAGTTCTAGAATTAGACTTATATATTTTCTATTTATTATTTCAAATGAGTATTTTCAACCTCTAAATCAGCAGCTGTTTTTAATACATATTCTAATTCATCAAAACCTTTTCTAAAATATATATTTTTTGTATTATTTACCTAAGATTATCTAATTCTTATTTTAATCTTTAATTTTCTTTTTAAACAATATCTGCTTATCTCATTATATCTTCTACACTACTTTTAGATAATTTAAGACTATCTAATTCAGTTCTCAATTATCTATTCTCTTTTTCCAATTGATTTCTATCTGAAATAAATCTAGCTGTTAATTCTCTTATTTCTCTATCTATAGATATTCTTCTTTATAATTCTTTCTAATATCGTTAATCTTCACTTTCTTTCTCTCTATTAACATATTTTACTCTCCATTATTCACTCTCATATTATAATTAAGCAATCTTTTTTTCATAATCTCCTATTTTATTTCTCAATTAAATTAATTCTCCTTCTATTAAATCTACTCCTTTAAATCTTAATTCATTCTAATTAACATATTCTCCAATCCTTCCATTCTCCTCTCTCAATCTATCATTTTCCACTGATAATAGAAATGCTACCATATAAACATCTTCTCCTAACCAAGGTTTTATAGGTGGTTATCCTCCTTACATCTCTTAGAAATTTGGTCTTTCTTCAATCACTCTTGCTTGAATTTGTTATTATTAGAATCTCATCTTCTAATCAAAATGAGCTTAATTTAAATTTTAAGGTAGTTCTCTAGAGGGTGCAGGTAACTATCTATATTGTGAAACTAGCATTTTTGACAGTTAATAAATAAATATTAAATAGAAATATTTATATATATATATTTAATGATTCAAAGAGAAATAGAGATAAAGTTAAGAAATACAAAATTAAAATTCTAGATCCAATACAGACCTGAATAAAAAGTAATTGATATCTTAAACAAATTAATTTTTGATTTGAAATTGCCTTAAAATACTTCTATTCCAAAATTATATTATAAAGGAGCATGTTTAGATAATTCTAAAACATTGGATCAATAAGGAATTATTTAAATTAATATAGAAGCTGAAGTAGAATTTATTGAAAAAATTGTGGTCACTGTTAATAATTAGATTTTGGATAAATAAAATCTTAAATGTGAAATAATTACTTCTTTGAATGAATTAGGTTCTATTCTATTAAAGAAATTAAATTTTAATTAAGATTATTATGTTCGATTTGCCATGGATGGACGAGAATTAAATAAGGCAAAGAATTTGATTGAAATAGCACCATGGGAAAATTTGACATTTTAAATATTATCCCATAATTATTTCATATATGATTCAGCATAATATTAACTAGAAATAGATGTTACAAAATCTATATAGAATTTATGTGAAATGATTAGTCAAATGATAAATATCAATAGTGATTAAATTCAAATAGATTCATTTAATAAAGAGGATCCTTTCTATTACTATCAAGTAAATCCTAATACAGAATTGAAATTACGTATTGAAGATATTCAAAATAATAATTAAGTTACTATTTCAATTGTCTATGGTCAAATTACACATTAAATGAAAATATTAAAAGATGAAAAATTAGAAACATTAATAAATAAAACTAAAACATCCTTTTTCCCTCATAATTACTCTTCAGTTAATGTAAAATTGGTTTTCAATGGCATAGAATTAGCTAATAATAATACTATTAATTCATATTAAATAGTAAATAATAGTGTTATTTAATTGATTGTAACAAATATGTTAGAGAAAATCTAAATTTGTATTTAAAATAAAGAAAATCCAGTACTTAAAAAGAAAACTAAAATATCATTAGATGAATAATTGTCTTGCATAGATAGAGATGTATTTTTTAATAAATAAATGGACTATTTTTATTAAGATAAATAATTAGATAAGAAATAAACATTTCGTTAATAATAAATAACAAAAAATGATACTATCATTGAATATAAACCAATAGAGGGAGTATAACTATTAATAAAGTTCAAAAAACTTGATGAATAAAATCCAGTTGAAGTTTAAGTACAATCAAATGAATTATTATCTAAATATATTTATTAATTAATTGGAAGAGAAACTAATGATGTATGGGTGAGTTGTAAAAATTAAACAATTAATGATATTAAATAAACATTTTCTGCCCTATAAATTTAGAATGATTTGATATTTTATTAACCTTAATAAATTCTATTGAAAGTATAATATAAAGATAATCTATATGATATTTATCAAAAAAGAGATTTATGTGTAATAGATTTATATAATAATCTACGAAATTATTTTGAAATAGATGAATAATAAGAGTTTGAATTATAATATGGGAATGAAATTGTTTAAGGTCAATTATTGTGTAAAAAATTATGGGCATCATGTTAAGAATGTTATAAAATTTTACTTATAGAAAATGGTTAAAATGATAGAAATACTAAATTATATAAGATTTATTTTATAAATTAAGACAAATATATTGAATTAAATATGAATCCAGATAAAAAAATAGGTGATTTATAAAGAGAATTCTTATAAAAATAAGAATATCCTAAAAATTAACCTATTGAATGTTATATGAAAAATAACACAAACATAACACTTAATAAAGAAGATCTATTAAATACCTTGAATGAAGATGAACTTTAAATTTAAGTGAAAGATATTATTAATTTAAGAGCATATGATAAAATTAAAGAAGAAGAATCTTATTATGAAATTGATTTCAATTCTAAGATATCTTCTCTATTATAGTGTCTAAAATTGGATGGTTTTAATTGCAATTTCTTTTATAGAAATTAATTAGTTAATTAAGATAAAACTTTTTAAGAAATAGAATTTTAGGAAATGGATACAATTGAATATGAAATTCTAAATAAGAAGATTTCATTAATTTAAATAACTCTAATTCAAAAAAATTAATAAGAAGAAATTGAATTAGATTAAGACTTAACTATTAAAGATTTAAGACAAAAATTAAATATTAGAACTATAGATGAAGCAGAATTATTATTAAATAATCAAACTACAACTAAAGATGAATAAAAACTAAAAGATATTGCAAAAGATGGGAAATTAACTTTAACACTAAAAGAAAGAATTATAAAACCTTAATAACAAAATAAATGCGCTTTAATTATATCTATTAAAGATATCAAATATCAAATAGAATTTGAGTAAAATAAAAAAGTAGAAGATTTAAGATTATTTATTATAAATCAATATCAATAATAAAATGATATTGTTATTAGATATGGTAAAACGATTTTAAATCCTTCTGATCCTATTCCTAATTAACCTGATCTTCTTATTGTTTCTCCATTTACATTAAAAGTGATCATAAAAATCAATAAATTAAATCAAATCTAATAAAGATAATTTAAACCTAATTAAAAAATTGGTGATATTATCTAAGATTTTGTTAATTAATATAAGATAAAAAATAACTCTACAAATTTGGCATGGAATGGTTAAATCCTAGATGTTAATAAAACTCTTAAAGAATCAGGAGTAACAGATGGTACCGAATTGAATCTATTGATTTGAAATATATATATATATATTTAATTATTTATGGGTGTTTGCTGTAGCAATAAAAATTAAAAAAATCATCACAATAGTTATGGTTTCTTATCACCAACAAACAGATAATAAGAATAAGATGAATATGAGGAATTAAGTGGAGAGATAAAAGAGATTTTAGAAATGTATTTAAGTTGTGATAAGAATTCTCCACAAAATAAAAATTTAGGTGAATCAAATCAATTAAAACACAGTCTTGAATAACCTAATACTCCCTATTTTAAGAATTCTTAAGATAGTGATGATAAATTTTTGTATTTGAAATAATCAAAATAAGTTGAGGAAATTATAGTAAATGAAATTAAGATTTAGGAAGCGTTCTTCTCATAAGAATAGTGAAAAGTTGGCTCCTGTAGAGGAAGAAAATGAACAATAAAAATAGTATAGCTAATCAAAACATCCAATATTTCAATTCAAATGTATAGTATGTAATAAGGATCATGAATGGATTCACTCTTGCAATTAAAGGTTGGTGTATAATGATGATAATATGATAGTATGTGAAAAATGCAAATTCAAATAAAAAATTACTGAATATGATTTTATTTGTCAAAAGACATAATAAAAATTTAGATTCACAACAGAGTAAATAAAAGATTTCGAATTTTGAATTTATTTTTTAATATATACAATTTATATATCAAATAATAAAGTTATGAAAAAACAAAAATTTGAAGATAGAGTATATAAAGTAGTTACTTTAGGAGAAGGTAGAGTAGGTAAGACATCAATCATAACACGATTCTTTCATAATTCCTTCTCTGAATAGACACAAGAAACATCTGATGGCTATTGCAAAGAGAAAACTATTTAGACAAAAAAAGGATCAATTGATTTAGCTGTCTGGGTAATTAATAAATCATTTATATGAAGGATACTGCTGGTTAAGAGAAGTATCATAGTTTGGCTCCCCTTTATTATAGAAATTCAGATGCTGCAATTATAGTTTATGATATCACAGTCAAAGAAACATTACAGAAAGGAAGGTAATGGATTCAAGAACTTAAGTAATTGGCAGAAAACGATAATATGCTATTGGTTATTGTAGGCAATAAATGTGATATGCATATTCATAAAGATGTAGAATAATCATGTATTATATATCAAATAACAATTATTAGAAATTGATGAATTGTGTAATCAATATAATGCAAAACATTTTTTAGTTTCAGCTAAATCTGGAAAGGGAATACCTGAAGTTTTTGATTATATAGCAAATGGTAAATTAAATAAGAAATCATAGAATTGAAATAAGTTGTTAAATAAACCAATGCAAGAAATACATTAAAATAAGGAAAGTAGAAAGAGTAATAAAATAATGGGGGAGGATGTTGCTGATTAATTTTTATGTTAGTTTTTTTTTAATCACAATCTTTTTCTTAAATTATTTTACGTCATGACAAAATTGATTTCAGCAGGATATTATTTAGATTATGTAGCTCTTTCCCATTGTAGATATTCACTTTCATATTGTAAAGATTTATCTGTTTCAGATTTCTTTTTTAATGTTTTATTTTTCAATTATTCTTCAATTATCTTTTGCATTTCCTCTAAGAATTCATTTTTATATTAATACATATTTTTTATTGTTTTTCTCTTTTCATATCTTCTTTGGATTACAATTTGGTTTCTGGCAATTCATCATATTTAGATTTAGCAATTTCATTCTTTTTTGCATTCTCAGCCTATTCATATTATGGGTCAGCTTTAAATGAAATAAATTTATGAGGATTTTCGACTTTACTTTCTGTAACCTCTTTAAATTCAGGTTCCTTTATTTATGGTTCATCATCAACTTTAGTAACTAATATAATATTATAATAAAGTACATCTTAATAATTCATTTTTAACATCTGTATTTATTTTTTATTTCTTGTTTGTTTTTTCCCAATGTTCATCTCTATCCATAGATTTAAAAGCAGTAACTAATCTTTTATCTTCTTCAATTTCTTTTTCAGTAGTTCCTGTGGATATCACTTCTGGTTAATCTGTGTATAATAAATATTTTTTAAGAATTGATGTTTCTTATGGTTAATCTTGATTATTTACTATTTATTATTTATCTTTATTTTATTCTGATTCTTCTTTGTTAATAAATTTGTATGATTTTTATTCTTCCTTAAATTGTAATTAATTATTATTATTATTATTATTATTATTATTATTATTATTATTATTATTATTATTATTATTATTATTATTATTATTATTAATTTCTTTTGGTTATTCTCTTTCTACTACTTTTAATATAGAATCCTCATTTTCATTATAAAAAGAACGTTAATCTCCATCAAATTTATTAAATGAATATTCTTTGAAATTATAAGATTTTTAATCCTATTATTTAACTTAATTATTATCATTTTCAACATCTTTATGAACATCATTCAAAAAATTGAACATCCTATTATTATCTTAAACTTCATTAATTGTATCTTCATTTGGAGTGAACTTAGAAATATTCTCAGTTTAAGGTTCTTCTTTAGTTGAATTAATTTAAACTTCAATAGTATTTTCAGAAGTATCATTCTCTTGTTATATTTAATTATTATCATTTTCTTGTTATATTTAATTATTATCATTCTCTTTTTATATTTAATTATTATCACTCTCTTGTTATATTGTATAGTCTATTTCAGTTTAATCATTATCTTCTGATATAGTTAAATCATTCAAATCAATATCTATGATTGGTCTCTTCTTTTTATGTTTCTTCTTTGAATTTGTATTAAGATCATATTATTCATTTTCTTAATTTAATGATTTCTGCATTTCCAAAGCTGAGTTTAATAGTTATTACATCTAAATATTTTCATCTTAATATTCTAATTCTATTCCATCTATAATCAACGGAGATTCTATTTCAGCTTATTCAGCCATTTACTTTAATTGATTAGCATCTCCTACTTTTAAAACTAAATTTCCAACAACTGTTGTAATTTATTCTGTAATTGATTATGGTTGCTATAACAATATAGTTTCGTCTTAATATTCATCTCCTAATCTCTCTAACCAGTATTCTAAAGAGTGTACTTCTTCACTCTATTCATTTTCATTCTCTTTCTAATCAGATTCAAGTGGAGGATTCATCAGTTACTATACTTGATTCTCTATCTAAGTTGTAATCGGAGTTTCTGAATATAAGTCTATCTAGTCTACTAGATCCTATTTAATTATTCTCTATACCAAGACAGCATCTTATTGAACTTTGATTGCTTCTTCCATACCATCCCAATCATCGTTCAAAGAGAAGTTAAATGCATTCAAAACAAATAATGTCAAAATGAAATATTTCATAATTATAAAAACGAATAAATTCATTAGTAAATAACTTAATCTTTAAGTGATCCTAACAATTACCTAAATAAATATACATCTATTACCACATATTCTCATTATTTTAGTAACCCTTAACTGGAAATGGACTAACTTTCTCTCTTGAAATATTAAAGATCTAATCAAGAGTCAAAATATAGGCATCATCTAACATTCTAGGAATCAGTTGACCCAACAATGGACTTGATACTTCAATACATGGATTTGTATTAACCTCTATTAAATATATATTGAATTTTTCATCCAAGATATAATCAAAGCCAAAGATTTCCATACAATTTCTACGATTATTCCTATTTATTTTGTTTCCAACTGAACTCATTACCAAAAAGGCAATCTCTTTCATTTATTTAACAATTTTTGATCTGAAATCAATTCTATTCTTAAAAATTTACTAAATCTAATCAAAAGATAATTGATTTCCTGCTTCTTGATTTCCATATTCTTAACTATATTTCTAAATAGCATTATTTGTAAGATGAATAAACAAATTATTTATATCATTAGTTACAAACTCTTCAGATGCAGTTCTAATGTATCCCTCTCTATTTTTTTTATATTTATAGAATACTTGAAGAAATAACAATTTAGATCTTAATCGACCAAAACCCAAACTCTTATATCAAATTTTCTATTATTTATAAGCAAAGGCTTTTCAATATACTTCTATACTACAAATGATGGAGATTTAATCATAAGACCTTGATAGATCTTTTCATTAGGAGTTTCTATATGTTTTTCACTTATTCCTGTTGTGTATTCAATGAGTAAATCAATGAATTGATCAAGATTATTAAATACATTAATACCTCTACCTCGATTTAATCCAGTTGGTTTTAATAGCCACAAATAATCATTTCCTAAAAAAGTATCTTTCATTTTATAATCAATAAATCTCCTTTCTTTGCTAGGTGGAATTCTGAGTTTCTTTTTGATTTCCTATTTTTTTAGTAAGAGTTCATCTTATGATATAGGATTAGGAGAGTATTGTTTATAATAATTTATAAAAGCAGTAAGATGAGACTCAATTTAAGAATCATTAAAATCGATAATAAAAGTAACAGGAAGAATATCAAATACATTTTTATGGATGGAATCGCAAAAGGTAGTCATATTCAAGAGGAGATTCTTTTTATTACTTATTTCTTAGTGAAATTCAAAATGATTGACTAATGATCTATGAGGATTGTAGGCATTCATTTTGTAATATTTATAGCCTATATTAGATTACTACCATCTAAAATGTACTCTTGTTGTACTTTTACATTGATGCCATTCTCGTCTTGTATCCATGATGCGTTTTATCAGTTCATGATTATTGCCTCCACCCAAGAGGTATGAATATTAGGGTTCATGGATGATAGAGGGAGTTTTATTTAAAGGATATGACTAAGTTTTTGGAAGGATGTTGATTGATTATTAGGAGTGTCTGATAATCTGAGGAAGAGCAATTTATCTTTGACGCTAATAATTGGATTTTTTAGGGATTTCTAGTTGATTTTTCTAGATAAAGTTATCAGCAAGAGTTTTAGCTAATAGTTATAAAGAACGATGACGTGTGACCTTATTCAAGGACTAGGCCAAGAAATAGTTGAAGTTGTCAGAATCAAGACTTAGTTTAAGTTTATCTATCTATTTGTTTCTTTAGAGCTCTATCATTTTAATTAATTTATTATGTAATGCTCTTCCCCTGAAGAAGCTTCTATTTGTAATAGTCTTTGTTGCAACAAACTTCATCAATGCTCTTAATATCAAAGTGAGTGCTCTATATATTCAGATGTATATATCATCAAATAAGTAGAATCATTGCATCAAATTAAATTGTGATACTTGTTGTTTGTTACAAGATAACTAGCATTTCTGTGGAACTTATGTACAATGTAGTAAATATTTCGACTTATTCTACTTGTGGTGTTTAATTATCCTTGGATTGTTGTTGGTGGTGTTACTGATTATTAAATTGCGTACTAAGTAGAGATCACAATAATAAGGTTTATGACAGCTCGCATGATACGAATTCATTAAGCATTTGCAAAGTTTAACAAAAAAACGACTACAATCTGATCAGAACCATAATTCTTAATAAATTGTATTATAACATCTATTTTCAATTATTCACCATTAATTATTATATAATGAAACAAGCAGAAGAATAATATTAAACTCTCTATAAACTTTAACCAGAACCAGTAACTACTCCTCAAATCAAAGGATATGATTTTAATTAAGGAGTAGATTATGATGCTCTTTTAAATTCTTATGCAAATTTTGGATTATAAGCTACTCAATTAAGTACAGCAATTGATATAGTCAATAAAATGATAAATTGGAGGTTGGGTCCAAATGAAGATAATGAAGACCCAAATACTAGATGTACAATATTTTTAGGTTACACTAGTAATATGGTATCATCAGGCAATAGAGATATCATCAGATATTTGGCTTAGCATAAAATGATTGATGCCATTGTTACTACAGCTGGAGCAATAGAAGAAGATCTTATGAAATGTATTTCCACTTTTCACAAAGGTGATTGGTAAGCTAATGATAAAGAAATAAGATTAAAAGCTATATGTAGAATTGGTAATATATATGTTCCTGCAGCAAATTATGGAAAACTAGAAGATTGGCTTCTTCCAGTATTTTAAGAAATGTATAAAGAATAAAAGGAAAAAGGAACTATTTGGTCACCATCATCAATGATTAAAAGATTTGGGGAGAGGATCAATGATGAAAGATCAATTTATTATTGGTGTAATAAAAATAATATACCTGTTTATTGTCCTGCTTTAACAGATGGAGCCATAGGAGATATGATGTTCCATTTTAATTATAAGGAATAAGGATTTATTTGTGATATCCTATAAGATGTAGTTGCATTAAATAAGAAAGCTATGTATGCTAAGAAATCAGGATTGATTATACTAGGAGGTGGAGTAGTTAAACATCATATAATGAATGCAAATATCTGGAGAAATGGTGCTGATATGGCAGTATTCATTAATACTGGTATCCAATATGATGGAAGTGATGCTGGTGCTAAACCATCAGAAGGAATTACTTGGGGTAAATTAAGAATGGATGCTGAATATGTAAAAGTATTTTCAGAGGCTACACTTGTATTTCCTTTACTTGTTGCATAAACTTTTGCTAAATATTTTTAAGAAGCTAAAAGAGTTTGATATTAATATATATATTTGTTAATAATTATTATTATAAAAGTATAATGAATTTCCCTTTGCCTGAAAATAGAATTGCTAATTATGCAAAAGTTTCTACTTTCCTACCACATCTTGTATGTTAATGTTGCAAATCATTATCTTTACAATAATTGATATGTCTTAAATGTCATGAGAACTTTTGCTTTAAATGCATACCATATGCTGATGATCAGATTCCTGAACCAATAGAAATAACTGTTCAAACTATTCTAATAAATAAGAACACAAAATATATTTAGGATATTAATTACAGAGGTTTCTGTCCTAATTGTGAAGTTGTTACAGTATTAACATCTTAACTACCAAAAATGTTTCATAAATTATATACAAGTGTAAAATTCTCATGTCAAAACAGAATTAATGGTTGTCCTGAAGAACTCTGTTATCCAGATTTGAGAATTCATGAATAGAAATGTGGATATAATACAATTACTTGTCCTAAATAAGAATGTGGTTAACAGACATACAAAAAAGATTTCATTACTCATGTTTCCATATGCAACCCAACTACAGAGTGTATTTGTGGTTCCACTAATCAACATGATCAATAAAAATGTCTCAAATTACAATGTGAAACACTCAAAAGTTAACTCAATACTTAAACTAAAGAATTATAACTACTTAAAGATGTATAAACTACACTCTCTTATTCCAGTCCCTAAAAATAACTTAATAGAGTAGTAGTTAATCAATCACCTTACATAGCTACATCCCCTTTCTCATTGTAAGGTTTACTACAATAATCAGCTTAAATATTAAATGATGGATGATAATGCTATTTATATATATATATATTTTAAATAATTCATTAACTATATTTACTTTTAAATTTATAAATAGAACTTAAAAGTATAAGGCATTTTTATTTAATGAAATATATAATAATGTTTACATTTAGTGATAAGAAAGTAACAATTAATATTTAGATTTAAATAAATTTTGTACTTATATTTTTATTATCAAAAAATCCATAAATGAGATCTTTTTCAGATTTACTTAAATTATTATATTTATTCATTAAATGTTTCAACCATTCATTCAGGAAATTAATATGTTCAAATAAAGTCATAATAAATTAATAAAATGATGCGAGGACCTAAATACAAACTGCAAAATATACAAGAGCTTTGTAGATCCAACTTTGATGATGATGAAGATCCAGAAGTATATCAAGATGTAAGAGTTGATAAATTTGGAAACCCAATCAATAAATAATTAAAGTTTCACATCTGTTTTAGAGATGAAATCATACCTTCTCAATAAGTATTTGATATTCATATTGTGGAAAATTGGAAACTCTATAATCTTATTGAAGAGAAAGAAGAGTCCGATGCTTGTTGTAAACAATTTTGTTAGATTATATGAAATTTATCATTATAAAACTTTTTCTGCCATTTACTAAGGTAATAATTTATATAATATATCTATGCGATTCTAATATTTCTGATCTATTGATTCCATTTGTTTATTCAATAACAATTTCATCTGATTTCTATATCTATCATATTCTACTGGACTAGAAAATAAATGACTAACACGATTCACTTATTCCCAAACTGATTCCTTCTTTTGTTTTTCTAACAATTAAGATTTCAAATCAATTTAATAAGAATACTATTTCTAATTTCTTTATATTTATTTAATTCTTTTATTTTCCTCTTTTATCTTCAATTATTCATTGTGATATTTGTTGAAATTTACATCATCCTAATAGATCCTTAATCTTTCACCTATTATTTTTTATCTTTCTGAAAGTATTTGACATTTTAAATTAACAACTCTTTCAATCTTATCTTCTATCTTACATTAAAGATCTGAATCAAAAAATAATGATTAAGTCTTATTTCTTTTAAATATCTGCTATTTCAAAGGCTTACTTAATTGACTCTATTTTAATCTCAACTTTTGCAATTTTTCACATTATTTATTAATCAGCAATTGATATTATTCATTATCAATTTATTCTTTTTTGTTTTTTACTTCTACAAAATTGGATTTCTAAAAATGTTGTTTCAACTCACTCTTAAATTATTAAATTCTCTATATTGCTTTCTTTTCTAATGATAAATACATAGTTACCCTTTTCTTTAAGTTTTTACATTTATTCCTCCTATTACTGTTCTTCTAATTGCTACATTAATTATCTTTTTATAAGAAACTTTTCATTTGATGAAATAAATAATTTCTCCTTATTTTCATACTCACGATTAGTCTCACATCTTCTATTTGACTATTCTGTTTTCATTTATTATATAGATTGTTTAGATTGGATTGATATTTTTTATGAAGGTTAAGTTGCTAATTTAATTTTGTTTACTAAAATTTTATTGTTTTATTGATAATATTAAGCAAACTTTTTTTATCTTAGAAGTTCTTAATAAATAAGATTCTATAGCACTCTCTCTTTAATAGATATGCTTTAGGATTACTCTTACATATTATCAACAATAGAGGAATATTAAATATTAGTTTAACTAGGCATTTCAGATAAGCCAGTTGTTTTATTTCTACTTCTAACTTTGTTGATTTCATTTACTATTTCTAGTTTATTTTAAATTTAAGATTTTACTTAGTACTCTAGCTTTGTAATGATTATATTTTATTTATCTCATCTCATGATTGACAGATTAAAATTCATCTATGGATCTAAAGAATATAGAATAAACAAATACTTATATGTTAAATCTTCTGGACGATATCCTAATCTCTTACATAGTCTGATTGTGTATAAAGATTCTGGCTAAGTAGATTCAATCAATTTCTTAAAATTATCATCCATTTATATATATCACAATTATTATACATAAGTTTTCATAAGCCTTCAAATTCATTCTATTCTTTTATCTGTCAAATGAATCATCCACTTATTGAATCAATTTTTACTTATAAAAACCATTTATTCATTTCAAATTCCTATTTTGTTGATAAACTGTCAATAATAACATTTGCATTTTTATTAAATATACTCTCCTATTTCAATAATCATAATATGAACTGTTGGAATTTCAAAAACAGATTGAATAAAAGTGATCTTATTCACTTCATTATTGTTTTCTTTAAATAATTGCTAATTAATTCAAACACTAAAATCATATTGTATTTTTTATTATATCTTTATATTGATTTCTGTAGAATATTGATCTATTGAATGTTTTATATAATATTATTTGTTATTTTTTCTTTTAGAACATGAAAATTGAAAATATTTAGGATCATCATATAATCCATTTTGATGTTCAGATTATGACATTAATTTTCAATTATTTATTTAATATTTAAATTCAATCATAACAATAACTTAATTTAGTTGATTGTGGATGAGATATACATATAAATTTCTGTTTCAATCATATAAATTCGATGATTGTTATTTTAATAGTATCTGTTTTAATTGGTCTATTATGATTAATTAAAAAAATAATTCTTTTTATAAATTTTTATAAAATATCTTTATAGAATTTAGGATTGTATATTAGAAATTATAAGATATATATATATAATTAATTATGTAAATGATGATAAAATAACAATTATAATATTGAATGAATTCATTAATCAGAAAGCTGTGAATGAAAGTTACACAGATCTAAAATATATTATATATAATGATACCTTCCATTAATCTTGGCATCTTAGATATAACCTAAGACACTAAGACTGCATCCTACGTCTGAATACAGTATTTTGCAAGAGCTCTGATTAATGAATCTAGAGAATATAATTATAATAAGATACTTCATATTTAAGATCGGAGTGATACATCCGAAATATTAATATATTTGTTCTATAGTAATTCCATTTAATCCGGTTATTAAGATTGAGTTTGACAGTTATTACTATAGAAGTGGTTTTCTTTCATTAGGAGGTAAAGTAACTTAGCGAGCGTCAAGAGAAAGTTGATCTGTAACAATAAGATTCATTGGCACTCCAAAAAGCAAGGCTTTGCCAAGAAGATTTTTCATTCGAATTGCTTCTTCCTTTGAAGCCAGTTGAAGAAATGCTCCATGATGACTTTAATAAATTGCGTCTACTCTTGTGAATGTACTAAAGATGTTATACACCACACGTAGATTTATGTTGGAATGTTAAACTATTAAATAAGTTGGGAGAGTAGTTGGAGTCATTATGAAAGGACTTGTTATGACTTTTTATGGATAAGGAGTAAATGGACTGGCACCACAAGAAAAAGGAGTTGTGGAGTCATTACAAAAGACTTCATTATAATTGTCTTCAGAATGAGTAGATTTTTAAGATTTATCTGAAGATTGGGAGGATATACTCTCTCCATCAGAAAACTCCTCTTTATCATCTTCTGAAGACTCTTCTGGAATCTATTACCTTATGGAATCCAAGGTGGAGTGCAAAAAGGGTGAGGGTGATGGAGTGGTAACGGTGGATACGATTTATTTTTATTTCTTTCCCTCCCTTTGTAAAACGGATGCATAATTTCGTAATTGTTGTTGGTAGAGAACGGTCAATTGTTAAGTTTGATTACGGTACTCTTAGATCTATTGGATAAGGGATATTTATTCTTTTAAATCTGTTGTTTAGCTTAGTTGAGCAATAAGCTAATTAAGCATATCAAGATTCTACTGTAGTTATTGATTGAGAGAGCCTGAGTCCTCTTTTAATTGTTAGAAAAATTACTGTTTTGATTGTAAAGTAGTGTAATCTAAAAGATAGAAGTAAAATATTACCAACACCACAATTGTTATTATTCTAAAACACTAGAGAATCACGTTGACTAAGGTGTACTCTCATTTTTAGTTAGTAATCAAAGAGGGTCCCATCTAAAACTAAGGCTGATTGGGCTTGTTAAGCATTCTCATACTCTATAAACACTTTCCAAATGATTTTTCTTTCAAATATAAGAATCTAACAAAAATCAAAATACACAAGTACCTTTTTAACTTGTCCGAAAGATGAGAATGTTCTAAAGAACTAGCTGTGCTCTAATACTTTCCCTTATTTATTGGTAACAAGCACAAGTATCACAGGTGTTAATGAACTTGGTGACGGTGAATTCTTGTTCATTAAAAAATAATAATATTTCATAAATCTCAATATCCATTTCATTTAAATACTCTCTTCATCCCTTTCTATATATTAATAAATAAAAAACATCAAAACTCAATTAAACAATTCTAATTTACTATGGAATATTTTAAGTATCTTCTCATAGTCATTATATATAAAAATTTCATATTCTCTAAAACCATTTTTAAATTTTATACTCAATATCATATTACCGATTTTTAAAGTATTTAAAAAAAATAACATATTTTATATTTCAAATAATTAAATTTCTCATCTCCTTAGATGTATTCTATTTTTATTTAATCAAATTTCCATAGATATCAGGCCTTAATTAGTTATTATTAATTTTAATATGGAAACTCTTGGAATTATTTTGATACAATTAAATATTAAAGAATGATTATCTTTATTGAATAGTATTTAATGTTATTGACAATTGTATTTAAATTGTCTATAAAAAATAATACAATAGCTTCTAATGAATTTATTAAACAAATGAATAATTATTTATATAATTTAATAAATATTTTTTAATAAAATTTTATTTATTTAAAATAGCAATTTCAATAAAAAATCATAATATTTACATTGAATATTTAAAAATATGCTATATTATTAAATTCTATTTTGATATCATGTATTAGTATGTAAGAATAATTAAGAGAAATCAGATATATTTTCAATTAATATGATAATTTTAATAATTACAATTAATACTTGAATAAAAAATAAAATATAAAGAAATCATCAAAATCAAAAGTTTAAAGTAAGTTATTTTATCCTTATTGTTATATTAATCCTAGATAACAAAATATAAAAAGAGTTTATTTAATTACAAAATTTTATAATTATGAAATTATCTATAGAAACTGAAAATTACAGAAGAACAAAAACAAATCCAGATCAAAATTCAATAATTAGCTATTCTACAAATAAGTCTTGCAACTCAAGTGTAATAAATATGTTATTAATAAATAGGAACGCAAAACTTAAGTCAAAGTTGCTTGTAAGGTATTATGTGAAATGAGAGAAGATGAATCAAGTAAATTAGCAATGAAATTCACTTAACTAAGAATTGTTTTAGCCACTTAATCTCTATTGCATTTATTATAAAAGTATAAATCAGCAAAATTGTAAACATACTTTTGGATCATCTAATAAGAAAGAAAAACTACACAACATAATGGTTTCATAGATCCAAATCAAACAATATCATTACAACCAGTTGTAGAAGATTTATCTAATCATTAAATTAGAGTATAAATACATTAAATGTAATTTCAGTAAATTCCTACTGTGACAGCAATTGTACTTAATCATGTTTTGAATAAAATTATAATTTAACAGTAAAAGTCAATCTTTAAAAGAATCAAAGCACAATCAAACATCTACAAAGCAATTACATAAATTAAAAACTTTATTTAATAATTTCAAAAAAGGTCTTAATATATTGGTCTTATAAATATTATGAGATGCAATTAAAATAGGAAAATATAAAAAACAAGTGTTCTTGATTAAAATCATGAGATTCAATCTGAAGATGAACTATCAGAATAAATTATTGATCATCCTGAAGAAATGACAATAAAAGAATAATTAGCTATTAAATTTGCTAGTACTACAATTTTATCTTCCATTTTAAATGAAAAAATAAAAAAACAATAATTTGCTTTATTTTTTAATATTCTTAGAGGTCAATTCTAAAATAAATAATTAAATCTATCATAAACAAATGAAATTACTCAGATTTATGAATAGTCATATTTGGATTAAGATCCTATATTGATTGGAACAGGTCATCTATGCTCTGTAGTATATGCAAGATTAAAAGATTATTAATAGGAAATCAAAACAGTAAATTAAAACAAAGAACACTTAATTGGAGATTCTTTAAATACATTGATTTTACGTAAACATTCTGAATAATCTAATAATAATTCATATGAGGATCTTTATACATAAAGAATACTCCCTTCATAATTTAGACATGAAGAAGAAGAGAATGAAAATGAAATTTAAATACTTGAAAATAATAATGACTTTAAAATGCCATGTTCTTTACAACATATTACAGATATTGATATTTTGGATTCTACAAAGGAAATCGAATAAAAAATATAAGATACTTAATAAATTTAATCAAAGATTAAGAATAAACATTAAGATCTAATTAAGAATGCTGTGAAATCTTATTGTAATTAACAATAAAGAAAAAATAGTTTATAAGGGACTCCAAGAACTTAATAAAGAGAAGAGAATAGAGAAAATGTGATAAAGGAGGGTAAAAAATAAGATAAGCAATTATACATTATTCCTATTATTGGAATATGCATGATTGCTTTGATATTTTTAATTTTGTAATGATTAATAAAATTAATATAATTATTTAATAAAAATAAATATGTCAGGAGAATCCTCATATTCAGAAGGTGCAGGTTGGATTTAATGGTTTTGTTCAATGGAAGATCATCAATTTTTATGTGAAGTTGATAGTGAATTTATTAGAGACAACTTTAATTTGTATGGTTTGAAGAGCAAGTTCAATTTTTATAAGTAATTTTTAAAAAGGAATAATTAGTGAAGCTTTGGATTTGATTTTAAGTTCTGAGACTCCTGATGATGAGGATTTAGAAGATGAACGTTTTTTGGAGGTTTATTAAGAAGCAACAGATTTATATGGGTTAATACATGCTAGATTTATAATTACAGCAAAAGGTATTAAAATAAAATATTGAGCAGGATTGGCTCTAATGAAGGATAAATTTCTATCAGGAAAATTTGGTGCTTGTCCAAGAGTATTATGTGAAAGATCAAATGTACTTCCTGTTGGGATGAGTGAAGAATTGCGAACATCTAGAGTGAAAGTATTCTGTCCAAGATGTGAGGAAGTTTACATTCCAAAAAAGAAATGTCCAGATGTAGATGGTGCTTATTTTGGATGTTCATTCCCATCAATCTTCATTATGGTATGAAGATTGATAATTTAATAAGAACTTTATATAAGAGATTTAGATTGCTCCAAATAATTAATAGTATGTACCAAGAATTTTTGGATTTAGAGTTTATAAGAAGAAAGGATCTCGTTATTAAGATATGCAATAAAAACCTGCTGAAATTACACATTATTCTGAAGAACAATTAAAGAAATTGAGAGGTAAAAATGAATAACAAAGCAAAGAGGATTATGTTCAAAAGTGAATTAGGTAATTTGTTTTTATTATTAAAATTTTTAAATCTTTTTTAAATTAATATGCCTAAGGAAATTCAGGATGTTAAAGTGTTCCTTTCACTCATGAAAGGTAGTGAAGCATAAGGCAAAGACACTAGTAAAGAACCAAAAAAGAGTAGAATTTAATCTTATTTTAATAGATCTCTATATTAAAGAGTCCAAGAAGATCACCAAATTCAAGTTGAGAGGAAAGAAATATCTCTTTACCTTCAAAACAGCTGATAAGAATAAGGCCTAAAAAATTCAATAAACACTTCCATAAAGTATTTAACCTAATTCACAATTACTTAGATGTCAATAAAATTGTTATTGGTGCAGGTGGAAAGAAACAATAAACCAAAAAGAAGTAAAAGAAATGAACGCTGATTTATTACATATTCAATAGTACATTATCTAAGAGCATTTATTTAATTTTTTATTTTTAATGTCAAGTTTTCATAATAGTCATAATAGTGAAGTTAATTCTCCTAGAATCAAACCTAAATTAACAGAAGATTAGAAATTTCATCTTATTAATCAATTCTTTGTTAAAAAACTTAAATTTCCTACACTTTCAAATGCAATTATAGATGAAGCTATAAGTCAAGATTTTATGCCATTTGATGATAAAGATAAAATATTAAGAGATCCAAATAAATTATCAATTTTCTTTTTGAAATTAGATCCTCAATCTCCTCGTACAAAAGAGGCCTTAAATTAATTAGAGTTAGGTGAGAATGCATGTCACATATTTACATTTTAGCAGTTTCAAATGCCTTAACTTCATCCAATTCAAAATCTAATAAATTATATGAACTACCTTACTGAAAAGTATAAAGAATTGTTGCGCATAGTTAGTACAAGAAATTCGATTAAAAAACAAGAGAAACAATAGAAATCAAAAAATAAACTCAACAAATCACACACTCAATAAAATACTTCAAGTATGAGTCTCCATTTCATCTATCAGGTTTCCTCACTGATGGCGGTGCTCTTGTTATACCAACAAAGTTGACCACTATTATGTCAAAATCATTCAATACACGTTCTCTAGATTTCTTATAGACATCATTTGAAGAGAGATTGGAAATGTAAGCCAAAAAGAGTTAAGAATATCTATAAACTCTAAGTAGATATAAATAAATGGAAGAAGAAAAATTAAAATCTTTACATGATTATTATCAACAAAAAGTTCCTATTATGGCTAAAAAAGTAGAAACTGTTAAATAAATGAATAAAATGTAATAAAATCTATATATTAATTTAGTAAACAATAAGAACGAAAGAAGATCTTTCAAGATCGTTAGAAAAGGACTTTAGAGAAAATACATGAATTAGAAATAAAGGATAGAGAATAAAGGATTAAAGTATAAGAATATTTGAATAAGAAACAAGAAATCACTCAATAAAATAAGATTTAATTTGATTCATAACATTATTAAGAATTGAAAGAATAATAAGAGAGAAATTAAAGAAAAGAAGAGGAGAGAAAAGAAAAGAAGAAATTAGCAATTTATATGGAAGATTAATAAATTGAATAGATTATGGAGAAATAAATAGAAAAGGATTATGTTACAGAATAATTATTATCAAAATTAAAAGATGAAATGAATTAAAAAAGATAATTAAGTATTTAGAAATAAGAATAAGCATAATAAAAGGTAATATAGACATAAATTGAATATGAATAAAATAAGCTTGAATAATATATTAAATTTGCTGATTTGAGTAATAAGATGGTTGAAGAATAAATGTAAATCAAGAATGAATAATTAGGATAAGTAAAAACTAAATTAGCTACATAATTTAGAAAAGTAAAGAAAAATAAAGAAAAATTAAATCATTTATTAGAATAGAAAATAGAAATTATAAAAAAGAAGGAAAATGATAAAAGTATATATATTTTAAATATAATATTAGATATATCAGGTAGATTATAATCAATATAATCAAGTATTGATATAAAAATAAAAGAATAAACTGAAAAAAATAGAATGAGATTATAAAGAGCTTTAAATAATACAAGAGCATTTGCAGAAGAGAAAGAAGTATATAGTTTAATCATTAATAGAAAGAACAATAAAAGATAATTGATAAAATGATTGAAGAAAAATAAAAATAAAAATATCTCAAAAATCAAAAAGAATAATATAGCTAAGCCATTTTAAAATAACATTTACTTTAAAGATAAAGTGTAGATAAATTAGTATTTTAATGAATTATATGAATTTTTGTTTGCTCTAATTACATAATCTGTTTTTATAAATACAAATATTTCATTTTTACTAAATGATTCTTTTTTTTATCTCATCAACTATCTAATCTGATGTTGCACATTTATCCATTAATATTTATATGATTTCATCTGCTGTATATCTCATCTGATAATTTACACATAATAATTTTTATATAATTATTCTAACATATTCTGGTAGTATAGTTAATTTTAATTCTTTCCAAAAAACATTCCATTCCTCTTTCTTGATAAGCTTCCACCATGTATCCTCCATTTATGGATTATTTGATTCAAATGGAGGATGCCCAGTTATCATTATAAAATAAACCACTCCCAAAGAAAACATATCACATTTTTTCAAATCTATTGGAATCTACCAAATTTCAGGAGCTGTATATCCTTCACTCCCTGATACTGTAGTCTTTGGAATTGGAGTTTATCCATTAATTTTTGCAAATCCAAAATCACATACTTTTATTATATAATCTCCAGATATTAATAGATTATCTAATTTAATATCTCCATGAGTTATTCCTTTAGCATGAAGATATTCTAAAGCCTAAGCAATTTAGATTATTATTCCATTTGCTATAGCTAAAGGTAAAGGACCTTAAAGTAAAATTTTATATAGAGAACCATTAGTCATTAATTCAAGTAACATACATGAACAATCTGAACAATATCCAAACATAGTTATAATGTGCGGATGTTGAATGTGACGGAGTATTTGGATCTCGTTCTCTTGAAAATATGATATTATAATTACGAATAAATTTATTGCATTCTATTCAATAGTTTATGCCAAACATTTTAATGCAAATTATTGTTTAGTCTATTTGTTCATAGTCAAAAATACTGTACTATCATGTCCTTTGCCTATTAACTTGGAAAAATTGATTTAATAATTTGCGGCAAATTGTTCAGGAGTAAACATTAAATTATTAATCATTATTAATATTAACAATTAATTTGATCAAAAGGCTTAATTAGTCATCATACTTTCATATATATCATTTATATTTTCATTAAATCAAATAGTCAATCCTATTCAAAATCAAGATGTTTCTTTGAATCTTTTGTTTTTTAGTTTAGTTTAGATTAGTCCGATATTATCCTTTTTTAATTCATCCTCTAAAATTAAAATAAATTGTAACTTTAATCCTTCAATAAAACTGTTTTTATATAAATTTTACTAGCCTTATCTTTTCTAAATCATTGCATTTAAATTTCTTTTTGATTAAATAATAATGATAGATTAAATATAAATATTAAAATTTTATATATCCTTATATCTTAATATTAAATACCTAAATTTAGTTTAATTATGCTTTTAGGTTGACACTGAAATTAAGTAGATATTATTAATTTCTTAACTAAAAATTATTGGTATTCTAAAACTATTTTGAATCCATTAATATCATGTGATGTTTTGAATTTCATTTATTTTTTAATTAATTAAAAAAAAGTAAAATATGATAAAGAAACTTTTATCATAAACTTCTAATAACAATAACCTATTTAATTTGTGGAAGAATTTGAATAGACATATATTTTTAGGCCTATGAGAATTTGAAGTAAATAAATTGATTTACTTTACAAGATATCATATTATGAGATTAATCATCTGCATATAAGAATTGATGCATAAGAAAAGCTATGACATAAATATTATATTGTATACACATTGCATCACATACTATTCGTCTAAGTCAGAATTAATTTAAGACCATTTTTTGTTACTACTTGAAATCAGAACATATGATAGTCTAATTCAATAAATTTAGGAAGATTCAATAATTCAATATAAAATTGTAAGATTTTAATATTTAGAATACTACTTGAGGGTTTCTTAACAAAGGAATAATTATATTTTATATAAAATATCTATTTTTTTGACATTCTCCTTATTACCAATAATAATATTAATTATTTTGCCTTTCCAGAAATTCAAAATTTCAAAAAAGTTTCTTTGAAAATAATTTAGACCTGTTTAATAATTATTAATTATTGAGAATTTGAGGGATAGATTTTTATTAATATATATATATTTAATGAAAGATGTTTAAAAATAATAGGCAATACCAGATGCATATAGAGTTTTTGTATTAATTTCCATCACTAATTTACTTGTGAGTCTTGATCATGGAATAATTCCTGCAGGTTTTTAATTAAAATTTAAAATGTTAAGCAAGTGTTCAAATACAAAGCACACTGAAATTATCAAATTAAGAATTAGGAGTATTGGGATCTTTAGTATATGCAGGCACTGTTGTTATGGGATTTATGGCTTCCTTTATCTTTTTGAAATACAATCCACTAAGAGTTATTGAAATCAGTATGATTACTATGATTTTGAGTCTTTTTGTGTTTACACTACAATTTGATACTGCATGGCCTTATTATTTAAGTCGATTCATAACTGGAGCAGCTCAAGCTCCATTAATAGTTTATTTCCCTGTTTGGGTAGACACTTTTGGTTAAGATAGCAAAACAGTATGGTTAACTATTCTATAAGGTGGAGTACCTTTTGGAGTATTTGTAGGATATGTATTGGCTAGTGTGATAGCAGCATAATGGAATGTAATATAATTGAGAAATTATAAAAAGTGGCGATGGGCATTTTATTTATAAATTGGTGTACTTGTACCTAGTATTGTATTGATTTCCAGATAACCTCAGTAAAACATAGATGTGAGACCCTATGTAAAGGACAGTAATAAGACTTATGAAAAGATGCCTTATTTCTAATTAATAAAATTAACTTTATAATCTAGATCATATGTTGTAATGACAATAGTTTTGGGGATGTTATACTTTTCAGTAACAGGAATATAATTTTGGATATCTAATTATTTAGTTACAGTCTTGTGTTTTAATTAAGGTCTAGTGAATACACTTTTTAGTTTAGATTCAATTACAGGTCCTACTCTTGGATGTGTATTAGGTAGACAATTAATTTAATATTATTTGTAGGAGGATTAGTAACTTAACATTATGGAGGATATGATTCTAAAAATGCTTACTATATCACATGTATTGCAGCTGTATTGGGATCCTTAGCTTCTATTTGTGTAACGATCACCTCTAATTTATGGGCAATTACAGGATTTATTTGGTTATTACTATTTTTTGGAGGTGCTTTAGTACCAATCATGACTGGTATAATGCATAAGTAACTTTTAGGGATAGTATTATCATCAGTAAATTAAGGAATGCGATCATTTGCCAATTCCAATACTACTACTTATGTGAATTTATTTGGATATTTACCAGCTCCTATAGTATATGGATATTTATCTTCGATTTCACCAAATTTAGGATATTATTGTTTGATGTATTGTCCAAGTGTTGGATGTTTAATGATTCTATGGACAACTTATCATGAAAGAAGAAGGGATTATTTTGTTGAGGATAAATCAATAGATTCTATGGAAATGCATCCACCTTCAGCTAGAAGTTCTGTGATGTAGATTATTCATAATTTTCATAATCAATCTGATGGTAATGATAATAGGGTTATATAAAGATCTTGTAAAGGAGGTATTGGAATTTCATTCAACACCAATTAATAATATCACTACAACTCTTTACTACGAAAAGTAATTATGATTTGTAACAAAAGGATTTTGTTTATTGTTTATTTTAAAATAATATAATAATTTTTACTTTTTAAATTACATGTCTGAGAATACACTTTTTAATGAATGTTTAGCTTGTAAGATGAAATTTGAGACAAGATAATAATTGGAGAACCATGTAAAGAAGGTAAATATTAATTATCTAATAGATTAGTTTTGTGTGGGTTCGGATTATGGGTCTTAAAATAAATTAGAAGAAAAATATTAAAGAGAATTATTGAATTTAAAAAAGAGCAATGTTCCTGGTGCAAGAGAAATAATTGAGACTGGCAGACCTCCATAAGGTTAATAACAAAAGAATCAATTATCTTTAGAATCTATGAAAGATTAAATTAAATAATAAGATGATGAATTCAAAAGATTAAATAGAATGGCTTAAAAAAGAAGAGAAGATGAAATGGAAGATGAATTAAATAAATTAAAAAATGATAGACAATAAATTAAAATGAAAAGAGATGATGATAGATAAGCATTTGAAGAATTGTTACATGAAGTTGAATAAAAAAAAGAGAAAGAAATAAGAGCTAGAATTGAAAAGGATGAAATTAGAAGAGCTTTAATGGATTTAGAGAAAGCTAAATTAACAGCTATTGAATAAGAGAGGAAAAGAGAATTAGAGAAACTTATTGCTGAGAGGGAAGCTCTTAGAATGAAAGAAAATGAACTTATTAAAGATATTGAATCAATGGAATAGAATACAAGAATGCTTGATTAAATGAGATAAGAAGAAGTATCAAAAATAAATAATGTTATTGAAGGTATGTAATTAAAATAAAAAAATAATACAAAATTGAATGAAGATCTAATATAAGAAAGATCTGATAATGTTGCAAAATTAAAATTAAAAAGAGAATAATTAGAAGGAGAACGATTAAGAATTATGGACAATTTGGATAAATTACGAAATGGTGATTTGAAAGCTGCATAAAGAGGAGGTACTATGAATTTAGTGGCTAATGCAAAGAATATTTTAGGTGATATGAAATAAATGGAGAATTTTAATGCTAAATTACATGATGGAAGATTTGTAGAATAATAACAAAGAATAAATCAATTGAAACAATAGAAACCTGAATTTATGCCATTTGATGGAGATGAGGCTTATGGATAAAGAGCAACTGTTGGATAATAGGCTGTTGATATGTATAGATCTAGAAATCCTCAAACTCAGGGAGAACTTTAAGCATTTAGATAAGGAATTGAATAACATGCAAATAGTATGATGGATTAAAGTTTGTCATAGAGTGTCAATATGAGTTAAGTTAAGAGATAACCTTCTTCATAAGTCAATAGAGCACCTGCTACTAGATTATAACCCTAATAAACTATTTAGAGTTTTCCTGATGTTAATTAATAACTTTAATAATAATAATAATAATAATAATAAATTGAAGTCTTAAAAAATGCTTGGGGTGTTCCCATACCTTAATTTCAAAATAATTAATTTTAAATGTTACCTTAATAATAATAACCATAAGTACCATAATTTCTAAATAATCCAATGATGCAATATAATTAATTTGCTTAACCATAAATGATGCCTGCTTACAATCCAATAATGCAATAATAATCATAATAGTAAGGACCAACAGCATTTGGACAATTTGCTTTGAATTAATTAGCATTGAATTAGGAAGGTAAAAAAATGAAGGATCCATGGAGCATTTTCAATAGAAAAAATGAGTTTTTTTTGATGAATGAAGTAAGAGGTGTTGATTTAACCGAAGAGGAGAGAGTATTAATGAGTTTATAGGCTTAAGAAATTGATAGTCTTAGAGTAATTTCTAGGATTCCTGTGGGGACAGAATTGTATAGATTTAAGGTTGAGTAATATAAGGAATTATCTACAATGAGGGCTGAAATAGAGAAGATTGTTTAGGAGTAACGTTTATAGGATGCAAGAAGAGAATTTGAGATGGAAAGGAGAGAGGATGATAGATAATGGGAGAATGAGAAATGGGTAGATGATAATAAGAAATTTATAATAGAGAATAGATTAAGAAAAGATAATACTTAGAAAAGATAGTAGATGCAATAATACAATTAAAGTGAGGGATTTGTAGTTCATTGGGATTATACATTAGGATTACCTAGAAGGAGTAATTACAGTTAAGTTGTATTCGGTGTTTATAATGGATAATAAGTAATTTGTTAGCCAAGATTAGTTGAACCAAGAGAAAGTGAAACAGAAAATTAAAATCATAATAGATGCATTTTTGGTGATGCTCATTAAGTTTTTGAAGTACCTGCACATCCAGATACTCTGATGATTATGGAAGTTTAAATTCCTTTCAGCAAAAGAGTTGAAGATAATGTAGGTAGAACTGAAACTTATGGATGGACTCAAGTGGATCTATTTGATCATAATAAATAATTAAAGAGAGGAAAATTTAAATGTCCTGTTTATTATGGACCTACAAGTCCAGAGATTACTGTTGAAGAAATATAGAACTTGGAACCAATTCCTAATTGTTGGGTTTATTTTAGAATAGGTTATCCAAATGATAAAGATTATGGAGAAGTAAAAACTATTTATCCTGAATAAACTCAACATGAATATATTGTACCTTATATCCATTTGAGAGGATTATTTGGAAAGAGAGAGAAGGTTAAAAATATGAGAGGAATGGAAGAAAGCTATGAAACTAGATATGGGGGCAGAGGATATAAAATGATTGAGGAGATTATAGAAGAGAGTTAATTGATGGGTTAGGGAGCAGGAGGTAAATCTAATATGGAAGAATATGAGATAACTGGATAACCACCTCCTATGTAAAAATATGGGGTTAGATAGGAAGAACCTCCGATTGAAGATGATGGAAAATAATAAGGATTGAGATTGATCATTTATAGAGTTGATAATCATTAAGCTAGGTCTCATTTAAGAGTTATGGCAGGATTATTTGAGGAAGGAAATTTAGTTTTGGATGCTAATGGATTACCAGTTGCATTTAATACATCTATACATAATCCATTAGATCAAAAGAATAGACAAGTTTTATAAAATGAATAATATATTATACCTTTACACAAACCTAATGTAGAATATGATGGAATGAATAATAAAGCATCAGGTCAGGATATAGTATTCTAAGAGGAATATAGAGTATTTAGAAATTTATATGCAATGACTAAGAAAAACAAGAAGGACTTATATATTGGATTGTAGGTAGTAGAAAAACCAGAACCAGTTGAATTGTAGGAATCAATATTAAATGAAACTCAAAAGAATTATGCAGGTTTAGAATTTGATTTAAAGGGATGGCAATTTCTCAAATTAACTTAAGAAGATGGCAGTCTTTTGACTGGAAGATTCAAAATGAAATTATTTAAACCTCCTTTAAGACGTCCACCTATAGATCCTACTAAAGTATAAGAAATGGATGAAGTAATTGACTTTGCTTTGCATAAATTTTCATATACAGAAAAAGATATAGAAGAATTTAAAAAATAGATGAAGAATAAACATAAGAAACCAAAATTAGAGGAGATTAAAGATATACCATTAGATAATAGTCCATATATACCAAATTTTTAGTAATAATGGATAAATGAATAATTTGAAAGAAGACATGGTATAGATTTTTATATAGATGGATTAAGATTCTTACCTGATAAAGTTACAGCTTGTAAAATGTACATGGAAGTTTATAATAGAAGATATGAAAAATTATTTGAAGCTGAAACTGCAGCTCCTGATCTTAATAGTATGGCCTATAATCCAACATTCTATTTTAGAAGAGAATTAAGAAAAGAAAAATTTGATCCAACTGCCATTGCATTGATTACTGTTGTAACAGTAGACAAAAGTACTAATGATAACAGAATTGTTGGTTATGCTGCTATTAATCTATTTTTGAATCCTGGTACCAAATCATAACCTGAAGATTCAAATGAAGATAATTATGTAGTTTATTCTGGAGCATATCAGATACCATTATTTAGTTAATAGTTGGACAGAACACCACCATTTGATATGAAAAAAATGTAAATAATATTCTTGAAAATTTAGTTACTCTCATGAACGATCTCCATGTTGTACTGTGTTGGTCAGAATGTATAAAGCACCTTTAAGTGAAGATGGCAAAAGAGCCTTATCCATCAAAGAATTTCCTAGCTTAAAAGATCAAATAGCTAGAAATATAATGAGACCTCGTCCTTAATATGGAGCAGGTGCTTACAACACTGAGTTAGCTCCTATCACTGAATCAGAAAATGAATTATTTGCTTAAAGAACTATCAGACCTGATATAAGTGTTCGAGAAGCTGCTTATTTACTAATAAAAGGAGAATAAATTAATAGATAATATAAAGATAATGAAATAATTAATTATTTGGACAACCGTATATCATTAACTCATGATACATTCATGATTGATATGATGTATTTTGCCAAATATAGACCACAAGCAGGATTTAAATTAACTGTTGATGGATTGCATAATGTTGTTAATCAATCACACATGTATGTAGTCTTTTATTCCTTATCATAACCAGGAACATTTTATCTAGAACCTAGAGATGTTACTTAAGGACATATGTGTTCTAATTATGATTTTGATTCTAAAATCAATACTCCTGAATATGATGATGCTTGGTTTAAATTCAAAGAAAATGCTAATAGATATCAAAACATTATTTTAGATATTAAATCAGTACCATTTTCTAAACCTGATGGAGCTATCTCTGATGTAGGTTGGACTATATTACCTGTGTTTTCACCTGATAATTATGTTATGTCTAATTGTTATCAATTACCTGTTTTTAGAGGATCAGTCCCAAGAGCTGTAATTGAAGATATAAAAAAATAAGATACTTGGGATTATCTTAGAGATTAAGTAACTAATAATAAAGTATTTTATCTCAAAAATATGTCTATAATTGTCAGATTAGTAGATGCCTAAAGAGAAGTAATTTATTATTTCATTTTAGGGACATTTTAATAAACGTATGGATTGTGATAGATTGTAATATAAGTATTTACCATAAGGAGAACGAATCAAATAATGGTCTTACAATCCTGCTGTTGTTTTGGATTAGATGAGTATGAAGACTATTAAATCTTTAATACCATTCAAAGACAATCCAGCTGCTTTCAACAGAAAAGTCACAGAGTATTTTGCCAATTCATATGGTTTAACTCAATATCTTGGAAGTTGATTATATATATATATTAAATGTTATAGAATTCTTAAAATAGAATGATGGAACTGTGTATTATAGCAGTACCATTAATAAAAGAAAATTTATTATAAAAGAATAAAAGTAATGGATTTATGAATCTAAATTATAGTACACCTAAGATAATTGAAATATTATTAATAATTTTTCATAAGGAATGTTATTCATTTGTATAGGAAAATAAATTTTATAAAGTGATTAGTATCCCGTAGAATTATGGTTGTGAAATTTAATAAAAGAATTATAATACTTTAATTTATGTTATTTAAAATGCTTTTTGCAATTCAAAAAGCTAGATAATATTTTTTAAAAACCACATTTTAATTTATGGATCAAAAACAAAGTTTTGCCAGAAGAGACAAACTAAGAGCTATTGAATAATCAATCTAAGATTAATGGGCAGCCAATTAATCTTTCTAATCAAATCCAGATGAGAGAAAGAAATTTTTCTTGACNGTCTTTTATTCCTTATCATAACCAGGAACATTTTATCTAGAACCTAGAGATGTTACTTAAGGACATATGTGTTCTAATTATGATTTTGATTCTAAAATCAATACTCCTGAATATGATGATGCTTGGTTTAAATTCAAAGAAAATGCTAATAGATATCAAAACATTATTTTAGATATTAAATCAGTACCATTTTCTAAACCTGATGGAGCTATCTCTGATGTAGGTTGGACTATATTACCTGTGTTTTCACCTGATAATTATGTTATGTCTAATTGTTATCAATTACCTGTTTTTAGAGGATCAGTCCCAAGAGCTGTAATTGAAGATATAAAAAAATAAGATACTTGGGATTATCTTAGAGATTAAGTAACTAATAATAAAGTATTTTATCTCAAAAATATGTCTATAATTGTCAGATTAGTAGATGCCTAAAGAGAAGTAATTTATTATTTCATTTTAGGGACATTTTAATAAACGTATGGATTGTGATAGATTGTAATATAAGTATTTACCATAAGGAGAACGAATCAAATAATGGTCTTACAATCCTGCTGTTGTTTTGGATTAGATGAGTATGAAGACTATTAAATCTTTAATACCATTCAAAGACAATCCAGCTGCTTTCAACAGAAAAGTCACAGAGTATTTTGCCAATTCATATGGTTTAACTCAATATCTTGGAAGTTGATTATATATATATATTAAATGTTATAGAATTCTTAAAATAGAATGATGGAACTGTGTATTATAGCAGTACCATTAATAAAAGAAAATTTATTATAAAAGAATAAAAGTAATGGATTTATGAATCTAAATTATAGTACACCTAAGATAATTGAAATATTATTAATAATTTTTCATAAGGAATGTTATTCATTTGTATAGGAAAATAAATTTTATAAAGTGATTAGTATCCCGTAGAATTATGGTTGTGAAATTTAATAAAAGAATTATAATACTTTAATTTATGTTATTTAAAATGCTTTTTGCAATTCAAAAAGCTAGATAATATTTTTTAAAAACCACATTTTAATTTATGGATCAAAAACAAAGTTTTGCCAGAAGAGACAAACTAAGAGCTATTGAATAATCAATCTAAGATTAATGGGCAGCCAATTAATCTTTCTAATCAAATCCAGATGAGAGAAAGAAATTTTTCTTGACTTTTCCATTCCCTTATGTAAGAAATTTTAATATTCTATTAGGCCAATGGTAGATTACATTTAGGTCATTCATTTTCATTTAGCAAGTGCGATTTTATTGCAAGATTTAAGAGACTTTAAGGTTAAAACGTACTTTTGCCATTTGCATTTCATTGCACTGGAATGCCAATTAGTGCTGCTGCTAAAAGACTTTAACGTGATTTGGACTTATTAGTAAATTAATAGTTAATTTTAGTAATAAGGAAAAGAATTACCAAAACCAAGTTAATATTAATCTCTTCTTTAAATGAATATAAAAGAAGAAGAAATTCCTAAATTTGCTGATCCATATCATTGGATTCGTTTTTTCCCATCTCTAGGTAAAGAAGATTTGATTTCTTTTGGATCCTCAGTAGATTGGAGAAGAAGTTTTATTACTACAGATGAAAATCCATATTTCAATTCATTTATTGAATGGCATTTAATTAAATTGAAGGAAGCTGGATATGTTAAATTTGGATAAAGACCTTCAATATTTAGTACTTAAGATGGTTAATTGTGTGCTGATCATGATAGAAGAGAAGGAGAAGGAGTTAACCCATAAGAATATACATTAATTAAATAAAGAGTATTGAAACCAGAATTGATAGATGCAGTCTTAACAGGAAAAAATATCTTTTTGGTATGTGCTACTTTAAGACCAGAAACAATGTATGGTTAAACTAATACATTTGTATTACCTGAAGGTGAATATGGAGTATTTGAAATGAAAAATGATGAATTTTTTATTTGTAGTGAAAGATCAGCATTAAATATGGCTTATCAAGGTTTAACCAAGGAAGATAAAAAACTTAATAAAATAGCTACAGTTAAAGGATCACAATTAATTGGTATGGAAATCAAAGCTCCTTTAACTCAATATGAAAAAGTATATGTGTTACCTATGCCTGGAATCAAAATGAATAAAGCTACTGGGGTTGTTACATCAGTTCCAAGTGATGCACCTGATGATTGGGCTACTTTAAGAGATTTATAAAAGAAACCAGATTTTTATTAAATTAAACCTGAATGGGCTGATTTCAAACCTATTCCAATTATTGATGTTCCTAAATATGGTGATTTAGCTGCTTTAACTGCATGTGATCAATTCTAAATTAAATCATTAAAAGATAAAGATTTATTGTAAAAAGCAAAAGAAGAAGTTTATAAGGCAGGTTTTTATGAAGGAAAAATGATTATTGGAAAATATAAAGGAATGAAAGTTTGTGATGCTAAACCATTAGTTAGAAAAGATATGATTGAAAGTGGTGAAGCTTTACCTTATTTTGAACCAGAAAATACTGTAATTTCAAGAAATGGTGATGAATGTGTTGTTTCTTATTGTGATTAATGGTATATCACATATGATAATTAAGAATGGAAAGAAAGAGTTAAGGAACATGTTAAAAACAATTTTGAAACTTATAATGCAAAAGTTAAATAAGAATTATTAGATGCTGTAGATTGGATTAGAGAATGGGGATTGTCTCGTAGTTTTGGATTAGGTACAAAAGTACCTTGGGATAAGTAATATTTGATTGAATCTCTTTCAGATTCAACCATTTATTTTGCTTATTATACAGTTGCTCATTATTTATAAGGAGACTTAAATGGAACTATCCCAGGACTTGCTGGATTCACTGCAAATCAAATGACAGTACCAGTATATGATTATTTGTTTTTGGGAAAAGATAGTGAATAAGTACCTGCAGAAATGAAATAATAATTGGATATTATGAGAAAAGAATTCTTGTATTATTATCCAATGAATTTGAGATCATCAGGAAAAGATTTAATTAAAAATCATCTAATCTTTGCATTGTTTAATCATGCTGCTGTTTGGAAAGACTAACCTGAATTATGGCCAAAAGGTTATTTCTGTAATGGTTATATTTTGGTTGATGGTGATAAGATGGCAAAGTCTAAAGGAAATTTTAAGACAGTTGAAGATATGATTAAGACTTATGGAGCTGATGCAACAAGATTAGGATGTGCTGAAGCAGGAGATTTATTGGATGATGCTAATTATGAATTAAAATTAGCTGATTCTGGTATTTTGAAATTGACTACACTTGAAATGTACATTGAAAAGATATTCCCTGTATTGTAAAATTATCGTACTCAAGCTTAATCTAAAAATATTGAATTTTTTGATCATGTTTTTGAAAGCTAAATAAATTATTAAGCCATTCAAGTTATTTAGAATTATGAAGAAATGAAATTTAGAGATGTAGCCAAAAATGGATTTCATGTTTTATAAGGATATAAAGATGATTATTTACTTGCTGTTTAAGCTGAAGGACCAAATAAAAATTTAATATTAAAATACATTGAAATTCAATTAACATTAATGAATCCAATAGTTCCTCATATAACTGAATATTGCTATTAAAAATACTTATATCCTTTTGTTAAAGATTAAGGTTATCCAGAGACATTAACCAAATTTGTCTTACCTAATGTTGGAACTTATGTTTATGATGCAAATATTCTTAGATAATATAATTATCTTTAAAATTTAATGAGTACTTTGAGAGTGGCTATTGCTAAATACAAAGAAACTCTTAAGAAGTAAAAAAAGCCAGAAGTTATTAACAAGGTTTCATTGGTTGTAGCTAAAGATTTTGCTGATTGGTAGAAGGAAGTCTTAATTTATATGAATAGACAATTGATTGATAATGAACCAGGCTTTGATTTCAATACTTAAATAAAAACAAATAAGAGTAAAAATATGGCTGCCTAATTATAATTTAGTAATTATATTATGGTAATAATTTAATATCAAATTTTAGGGTGAATACAAATAAAGAGGAGCAGATGCCATAAATCCAAATCCTACTCTTGATGAAGAAGCATTCTTAAACAATTTTACTCAGTATATAATTACAGATTTAAAGATTAAAGAATTTGCAGTAATTTTATTTTTTTATATTCTTTAGATTATTGATTCTAAAGAAGCCTAAAAGAGTGATGTTAAACCAGTTCAATAAGCAGGTAATAATGCACAACCTGGAAAACCCTGTCCATTATTTGAATGATGATATACCAAAATAAATGTTCAAAATTATTAACATTAAATTCATATTTTATTAAAAAGTGTTTAAATAATTATTTCCTTATAATAAATAAAGATAAATAAATCTAAATTTATAAAATAAAGAATTTTCTATATTTTCTCTGTTTTCAAATTTAATTAATATGATTATCTAGTTTTATATTCATTAATTATGCTTATATTTAACATATTCTTATATTATTTATTAGATTATGTATAATAATTAACAAAGATTAAACATTAAACATATTACTCATCCAGCTTTGAAATTTTCCTAGATTGAATTGTGAATGCCTAAAAATAAAAACTATTATTTGTAAATATATCAGCTATTTATTTACAAGCTTATTAATCTATCAAATTTATATTTTTGAATTCAGAATTCTTCGATCTGGTAATTAAACATTAATTTTTTGGGTTTATTTTTACACATTTCTCAATTCTTCTTTTTCATTTCTTAAGAACTTTATATTCAGACGACATATATTTTGTTATTGTTTTAAATCTAAATATAATATACTTTTTTTGCAAATGAAATAATTTAATTCATAATATTTGTTTATTAGAATAAGAATTTTTAATAATAAAAAGAATAAATAAAGTATTAAATTATTATCTTAAGATTCCTATTATTTCTTTGAATGACTGATTTATAAATATATGAAGATTAAGATATATGACAAATTATTCCAAAATAATATCATATTTCTGTTAATTAATAATTAATATTCTAAGAAAGTAAATAAAAATTAAATAATTCCATAACATACTAAAATGATTATATTTATATTATATATGGATTCAGTAATATTGACTTCTGACTGTATCATTTTCTATAGTAAATTCTTTTGATTCTTTGAATTTCTTCTTGAGTCATAAAAGAATTCATGATTTTCTCTCTTTCTCTTAAATAAGCAGCTGTGTCAGAAATAACTCCTTTTTTTGCACTACTAGGAGCAGTATAGCTTAGTTCAACTCTAATGGGTGAATCATATTTATTTTCCTTTTTGTAAATATCTCTATCATATTCATATTACTGTGTTTATAAATGCTTAGTATTTTAATTGGGTCGATAATTGTAGGAATTCTAGTATCGTTCTTCTACTAAGGATTAATTCATATCTCTAGGATATTGTTAGTAATAAGAATATTTTAATTCATTTCGCTTGTAGTTTCTCTTGAATTCTTCATATCTGGCCAATTACTAATCTAATCTACTTTATTCATCTCTTTTATAGAATGCACTTGATGTCCTATTCTATTCTGGTATATAGTCTCTATATAGATGATAAAAAGAATACGAGATTTAGACATTCCTAAATTTGAAAGACTCCGTTGAGGCTGATTCATTTCTGTTAATTATAAATAAGTAATGATCAAATAACAAGTAAATTCAAATTTCCTCTATAGACAACTGTAACCATTATTTAAAGACATCAATTTTGAGAGATTATGTATACTTGATTGCCTTTGTTAACAATAATTCTTAAGCTTTTGTTCTATCCTTTGGTTCCTGTTAGAGACTAATAAAAGATAATATAAATAATGAAATTACCATCTAGAAATGAAGTAAATAGTATTTTCTGATATAGCATGTTTGTGTTAATGAAAGTAATCATCAATTTTGAAATTCTTGCTCATTTAAATGTATTCTATCATACTCATTTTTTTGGCATCAAATTCAAATGGTAAAAGACCTGTAATACATTACATAGTCATCATGCCAACACTCCAAATATCACAATCATAACCATATTCTTCTCCATTTAGTCTTTCAGGAGACATGTATTAAATAGTACCAATAAATGTATCAAATTTCTAATCTGAATTCTCACTAACAGAACAAATTCCAAAATCACCAATTTTAACTTCTCCCTTTTTATTGATTAGTATATTGTGAGGTTTGATGTCTCTATGTATAATATGTTTGTTTGTATGCAAATAATCAAGACCTTAAAGTACTTCTTTGATTATCAACATAGTAATGGATTCTGGTATTTTTTTAGTTTTTTCTAATATTATCTACAAAGATCCCATGTCCATATACTCCATAACAATGTAGATTTCTCCTTTAGAATAAAATGCACCATAACATTAAACAACATATTATGAATTGCAATCAATAAGTGCCTTTAATTCTTTCTTCAATAATGACTCCTAAACATCATTACTAACATAATGTATTTTCTATATGAATAAAATATAATAATAATACCTTTAAAGCATAATAATCATGTGTAGGTTTGTGAAGTACTTTCTCAACACTACCATAATTTCCTTATCCTAATTTACAGACTATTTCAAAATCTTCCAATTTAAGATCCTTAAAGTGTTTTGATTCCATATATGTGATGTCTAATAGGTTTGAATATAATATATACTTTTTGTAAAGGTAAGACCTTTAGAATTAAGACGAAATTAGCTAAGTACTAAAGATCCATTAGCTGAGCTTATAATAGAGAGTTAATCTCTTACATATTTTGCATTTTCTATGGCTCTTCAGCTGCGAGAGAACGTAAAAACAATCTTCTTCTGCTAGAATCATTGGATTGCATTAATATATAATATTTATATTAAAGAACTACGTCTTCTCAAATAATTGGATATTATGTTAATTGCTCAATGATTACAAGATTAGTAAAATTGAAATTCCAAAAACATTGTGATAATTTAATGATGAATATCATATTTCCCATTTTAATTATAATAAAATGTATTAGGGATCCAACCTTTCTCGTACAGGTCAGATGGCTGTATCAAATGAGTAAGTCTCAAACTAGCTAAAACTACTCAAGGCAAAGATGAGCAATCGTGATACTTGGTAATAAGGAACCAATCAGTAACTAGACGGTTATCCCCACACACAACCTACCAAACCATCACAATCACCTCTTTATCCTAAAAGTGACTATGACTTTTACACTATGAAACAACAATAGTAATAGCAAATCCAATCCAATTCATAGCCAAAGATAACTGATCCACGCACTCTTAATTATCAATAATTATAGCAATATAAACAACAATAAGTACTTCCACCTCAAAATCCTATTCGAAATGATCCCTATCTAGGTATGAATGCAATTAATAGACTCAACTACTATGATTAACTTCAAAAATACAAAGATGACCCATATAAAAAGAGTAGTAACTTAAACACTTATAATTCTCCTTAGAGCTATTATGAACAATAATTAAATAAAAGGCAATAATAATAATAATTAATACAATAACCCCCTAAATATTATGATGATATCTTAGCCAAGAAATAATAAACCTATGGATATTAATAAAATAACAATTATGATTTCACATAATAACCAATTTCATTGCAAAATAAAAATGATTATATGAATTACAACAACAACAATTACTTGAATAATGGTCTTTATAACAATAATTTATAATGGCAAAATACAAACTAAAATAATCCTTATAATAATAATAATTAGAATTATAATTAAAATTTGTAATAATTATCTTCTCAGTCTAATCAATATAACTAATACAATCTATATGGGAATCAGAATATTAATACTTAATAAAACTAATAATAATAATCTTCATAAAATTAATATAATTATAATTAGAACACTTAGTCTTTATCTCCACTCAAGTAACAATAGGCATCTTAATAATTGAAATATTCTCAACACAATTCTTAACCTCTACTCGAAAAAAGAGAAAGGCCATTTGAAAGATAATATGATCCTATCCCTGAATAATAAAAGTAAATTTAAGAAATACCAGAATAATATAACAAACCTTAACCAAGAAAATAACAATAACCTTAATAATAGCCATCATATAATTAAAATAATACTAAAGCATTTAATCCTATTGATGAATTGCCTGCTGTTGCTAAGAAAAATCAAACAAATCAAATTCCACCTCCTGAAGATGATGATGATGCTGATTTACAAGAATGTCCAGAAGGGTGTGGTAGAAGATTCAAAGAAAATGCCTTAGATAAACACATTAAAGTATGTAAAAAGGTATTTTAATCAAAAAGAAAAGAATTCAATTCAAAAGCACATAGATAAGTTAATTAAGAATAAGCCAAATTAGAAAAGTAAGGGTAGGTTAAAGATAAAATAATTGAAAAAAAAAAATAAATGGCTTAAAATGGAGATCCAAAATGGAAAAAATAATCAGAAGCATTTAGATAAATGATAAGTGCAGTAAAATAAGGAGGAACTGTAGAAATTTAACCTTAAGATGACTTAGTTGAATGTCCTGCTTGTGGTCGTAAATTCAGTGAATAAGCAGCTGAAAGACACATTCCAGGTTGTAAAAAAAGAACCTTCAAAAGATGATAATTATATTATTAACTATTTATGTAGAATACAGACCTTCACTTTCTATTGATTCTAACAAACATTTAAATTAGTCCATTATATGATATTCAATATTCAAAACATAGTTTAGGTAATTTCTAAAATGGGAATTTGTTTTAAACTTCTTTAAAAGTTTATTTTATTTTTTATCAAAAAAATGTTTTAATAAATTTGCATATATCATTGCTTTAATTTTAAAAAGAGAAATTGATTGATACATCAGATATTATAAATATAATTTGACTTATACACTTATTATTTATTTAAATAAAGGTAAAAGTTATATAGTATCAAATTCAAGAAACTAAAGAATGTTATTTTATAGAAAATAATAATTTTAATTTAGAAAAAATGTTGATAAATAATTTGATTCTGGTTATATCTTTATAAATAATAAGCCTTTATATCTTTCTTTTTTTAGGATTAATGGCAATGTAAAAAATAGATAGTTTAATTTAAATAATACATTCTCCTTTAACTTCCCTTTAATGAAATAATTATAAATATATGAGCAATTAAATTTTAAGAAGCACACAAATTTTTTAACTAAGACAAATAATTTTAGCCTTTAAAAAATTAAGTATTTTTTATAAAATTGTAGTATTAATATTATCAAAAGCTTGAAATTACAATTTCTAGATCTTTTATTTATTAGAAATCTTATTAGTAAATAACATAATTTATATATAGGTTTTATCAATTATCTAAAATCAATAAAGTATAATTTTAAGATTCTTGATTATTTAGTATAAATTACTTTACTATCATTTAACAGATTATATTTGATTTGAAACTTCGAAATTATAATAATTTTATTTAACTAGATTTATTCTAAATTATGAATATATAGATAGACAAAAATCATAAGATTAAATACTTTCTTTTTTATATATATTCACTATTTATATTTCCTATTTACAATAATTAAAAAAAATTAAATTTTGTTAAATTCCATTATGAAGTAATTAATATAATCTTATATATTTAGATTAACACATAATTAATAAATTGAATATAATCCATATTTGACTGAACTCTAAAACTCAAGTTTTTGTTATTTATTAGCCATTATTATTCTATTTAAAATTTGATTATATAAAATATATAGATAAAATAATATCAAATTTTCTAATATTTTATTATTGAGAAATATGTTTAAATTGTTGTTTGAAATAGATAAAAATATTCTACGAAAAAAGAAGTCAAATAAATACAAAAATGACAATCAATTTTTAACGATTTTAACAAAAGAATTGTTTCTGCTTCTATAAGGTTTTTTTGTTTAATGATGAGAAGAGCTTTGATCGACTCTTACTAGTCTACTTGTATTACAATAATAGGAATTTGATTTATCTGAGTCTGCAGTACTATTTTCAGTAAGAATTGTTGATTATTATGTTTCACATTTTTCAGCTAGTTTTGCTTAAAGTTCTTTATATTGATTCCTTAATTAGATTATTTATTTGTCCTTTCTTAAAGGTATAGCACTTTAACAAATCAATAATTTTTGTTTCATTTCTTATATTTCTCTTTTTATTTAAAAGTTTTAATCTAACATTGCAGCATTCTAATCTTCAAGTAATTTATGATTTTAGATTTATTCTTGATTTTCTTTGATCATTTTTTAATATTATTCACTTAATTTTCGATTCTACTCCATCTTCAACATTATCAATTAATATTATTCTTTGCTAACTAAAACATTAGTTGGAGGCTTGTCATTATTTTAACTATCATTTATTATTTTTTGGGAATTAATCAAATGTAAAGCAGAAAAACTAAATTCTAGAGGCAAATCAGCAAATGAATCTTAATTTGGAATATGGTTTTAGTTATTATGAGGATCCTCTAAGGTTGAGGAATCTTATAGAGAATTATTGAATAGTTCAGTCAATTGATTGATAGACAAATAGATGGGCTTAACAACTTAATCTTGCATTAATAATTATATAAAAATGATGAATCTATTCATTTTATACTCTCAATTAAACAATCAAATAGAGTTATATATATATATATTATAATTATTTAGAGAGTTTGTTGAGTTGATTAATCTTCAATTTCTAATGTGTATTATACTTCTTTATATTTATATATATTTGATTATGAAAATTAATGTTGTCAACAATGGATAATTTATATAGTTTATTTTGAGATTGATAAAAGATATGTTTAAGACTTACTAAAGTAATGAATCTTTATACATCTTATATTCATGATCAATTTAATATATAATTATAAAATTGTTAGAGAATTTTAACCTCCTAGATATAATACTTTTACAAACTTTTCTAATTTAATAATCATAGAAAAGAGAAGGGCATAAACAATAAGAAGAATAGATCAATCATATTTAATTTTTAATGTTTTAAATTATATTTTATAAGTTGTTGTTGATTGGGAAAATGAATTGATAGAAGTTGATATTCAGAAATTGAAAGGATTTATGTAGTATATTCATAGGTGTATATGAAATAAAGATTTCTAGAAATTTTGAAAGATTAGATTATGAATTAGCTTTTGAATTGAAGTAATAATTTTATTTTTATGTAACAAAATTAAGAAAATGCTTAGAATCTGATTTTAAATTATTGTTTAGTTGGATTGGGAGAGAAATTGATTCCAATGATGAAAAATTAAAGAAGTAATGTAGAGTGGATATTTAATAGGGTTGTTGACATCAATTTAGTTAAATGAAAAAAAATGTAAGACCCTTTTTAATGAACAAAACATAATATTATAGGAATCATTAGATATCTTGGGAAATGAGAAATTATTTCTACTCTGCATTTATAATGAACCAAATAAAGATCCAATTACTAATATTGCATTTATTAATGTAGAAGTTAGAGAAAGTCAAATCTAATTTAAATACAAATACAGTTTATGCCCAATTATGAAATAGGCTGATGTAATGAAATCAATTCAAATCACAGATTGGGGTCTAATCAAAGATTAAGAACGCTTTGATATCAGTCCTTATTTATCTGAATAAAATATATGCTATGTACTGTGTTATACTAGAAAAACAGATTATGTTCCAATAATAAACTTAGTTTTGGAAGACTATGATCCAAATCATGATTTATAAGATATTGTACAATTTAGTTCATTTAGCAAGAAACAATTATCAATAATTAGATGTAAACAAATCCTTATATATATTATTCATAGAAAAACCACCATTAGAATAAACCTATACTCCTGAAATACTTGATTTATATCCATTTTGTTATAAGGAATCATAAAAACAGAAACATAATTAAAATTTATTTAATGACAATCCTTCAATTAGTAACTATTGTATTCCAGAAGGAATTCAGATTTTATAAAAAACACCAAATCAACTTCCAAATCAAAATTAGATTACTTATTATTAATTAATGTAATCTCCAAAAGGTGATCTCATATACATATATTGTTTACGTTATTATGAACCATTGACTAAAAAATAAGCATAGAAACTTAAATTAGACAATTATACCAATCTTTTTATTCCAAAAGTCATGGCTATAATAAGTTATTAGAACTTCTCTAGCTAATTTTCATCATTATTGACTTACTTATATTCCATAAGAGATGATTCATAAATTGAAGTAACAAATATAAATATCAATTATTAGTAATATATAGAAAGAGTTATTTAATAACTAAAGTATTCTATTAATCTCGAAAAGATCTCCCTTAAATTAATATTAAATGACCAATAATTTCTATTTTAAAAGCATATCAAATATCCAACATGTTAATTAAAATCAATTGAATATGTTATGCGTAATATTACTGTTGATAATATAATATAACTGTATACTGCTGTTTTAACAGAAAGAAAAATTAGATTATGTTCAAGTTCTATTCTAAATCCTGGTTATGTTATTGAAGCTTTAATGACCTTTATCTATCCTTTGTAATATTAAAAATTATTGATTTGCTATTTGAATTACGACAATTCCTAAATTATTGAAACTCCAGAACCATATATTGTTGGCTTACTAGAAACTTTACCTTAACCAGCTTGTGAATCTGAAGGATATAAATTTATTTTGGATTACAATGTGGCTTTTCATGTTTGTCCTCCACCTGAATTTCCTCTGTTTGATAAATTAAAGAAAAAGTTAGAACCTTTTTTTAAATAAGATATCAATGAAGCAAATGCTAATATGATTAAAGAGATTTTTCTTAAGATTAATATGAAAATACTAGATCATGCATTTGATTATGATATCAAATAAAAAAATTGGAGCATTGCATTTTAAAAGAGGAAACAATCTTAATATCCAATCAAAGGTCAATTTTGGGAAATCTTCTCAAGAACTTAACTATTATGTTCTTTTATAGATAATAATCAATCTAATCGATAATTAACTTCATATATTACATATTTTAATGCTTCTTTCTAATAAGTCAATGAAAATAATAACACCAAGATATTTGCAGATATCAAAACAATTAATATAAACGATCAAAACAATTCATAAATTCAAACAAGAAATAAATAATCATTTTTCCCTTATCTTACTCCTTACTATTATATTAGAAATAAATAAACTGCCTTGTAAACATAAGTCTACAGAATTTGGTTACAAATTATACATATGACTTAGTTAGATAGTAAAGAATTTTATGAATTGGCAATTTATCTGAAGAAGGAAATTCCAATTATTTAAGACTTCATCTAATAGAAGGAACATGTATAATTACATTAATATGATGATTTGAATGACAAATAGTTTTAATTTTTAAATGAATGTCCTTATTGTAAGAGACTAATATCTATCGAAGAAATATTACATAAGATTGTGCCTACTTACTTACGTCAGACAATCAAATGTTCAAAAAAGAAAGGGTGTGGTAATCAATTTACTCCAAAAATGACTATTGATGATGTTGGAGAATTAGATATACTAAATATTCATTAATTACACTTTTAATTAGATTAATTGAAAGTTTTTGATTAGAAATTTTATAAAACTACTGAATTCTGGAATTTAATCTTTTACTTTAGATTATTTAAGCTTCCCATTCCATTTATAAATGAAAGTGAAGAAGCATCATATTGTTTTAAATAAAAAGAGAGTAAATAAAAAGGAGTTAAGGTTTGTTTAAATGACAACTTAAAAGCTCTTCAAATAAAGAAGGTAGTGTAAACTAAATAAATTATATACGGAGAAAGTGCTTCGAGAAAATGATATACCTAAATATACATATATTCATTATTTCAATTACTTATTCTTAAACTAAATCAATAATTTAAAATATTTAAAATTCTAATTTGTTTTACTTATTGATTGAGTCAGAATTCTTTTTAATCTAAATGAGAATTTAATTATAATATGTCATATTCATAAATCAAATAATTTAATAAATACTCTTTAAAAATAAAAAATAGAATTAAATATATTTAATTATTTAAATTTAAGATATAAAAATCTAAGATTATATAAATTTATATAAAATAATTATTTGATAAATAAAATTTAATAATTTTTATTATATTAATCAACCTAATAAAGGTTCAACTCCTTTTTTACCAAATTTCTTGTACAAAAAGAATCCACCTGCTCCAAGGATGGCAACTCCGAAAATAACAATTAATGTAATCCACCACCAATTAGAACTAGTTTTAGAATAATTTATTACCTACTAGAATCATCATCATCAGGTACATTATCAGAATCCCATAATCTTGTTTTTCCAGATGCAGCTCCAAAATGATTAACTGCATAGATTTCTAAATCTTATTCTTTTAGAGTGATACAATTTTTTAATATTAATTTTGGTTTATCATTAATAGTATATCTATAGACAGTATGTTCAGAGAATTAACTATCATATTCAATATTGGCATAGAGATAAGTCTATATAAATAATATAAAATATTTACTTAATTTTAATATTATGACATGATCATAGCAAAATCTGCTGGTAATGGTTAATTGTAATCAGCTCTAATACCATAGATAAATGGAACTGTTCTGACTTCATCAAGTTTTTTAACTTCAATATAATAGACAGCTAAGACAACTTCATTGCCATCTGTATAAGCAACAGAGACATGATTGGCTGCAAATGACATTTTATTGGCTGATTTCCAATCTCCATAATTAAATAGGATTTATTATAATTTCAATGATTATTTAATATATGAAACTCCAGTTTTGGATGATATATCTAATTCAAAATAGAATATATAATTAGCAACATTTGATGTTGTAACTAATAATTAAATCTTAAATATTTTATCAGATTATTCTTAAGATAATATTTTAAGTTAATGGAAATGTGTATCATCTTAAAGATAATATTAATCATGTTCATATCCTCTAAGATTTAATAATTCTTTATTTAATTCTGTTACTGAACCATCAACATTAGAACCAAGATTAACAATCCAAACTCCTTTTGTAATATCTGTAAATAAGATAGCATATATAGATTCACTAACAGTAAGATGACAAAAATCAGCAATTTATACTTAAGATGTAGCACCCAAATATTTTGTATTGATTACTTTTTAAGAAAGAATGGTGAATTAATTATTACTTGTATTAAATGAGTATACAATAATACTACTTTCAAATTTAGAATAATTAACAGGATCTGTATTGAGAACAATGAAATTACGTCCAAATACAAATCTCATTTTTATAGCTTATGTTACTCCAGCTAATGAAACTTCTCCTTATTAATATTATTAACATTTAGTTCCAGTACATTCATTAACTAAAACATAAATATCACCAATTCCAATAACAGTACTTATAATATGTTTACTATCTTTTGTAACAGTCAATAATTCACATCTTTATCCTTCACCAAGGGATGCTTCTAAATTGATTCTATTCAAAAATGAACCATTTTTATGTTAGAATATTAATGATTTATCTGCCTGATAAACAAGAGTATCACTATCAAATTATGTACCATCATATATTACAAATTTCATATCAGATCCATTAGAACTCTTAACAATTTATGGTTCAATCAAAACTTAATCCCCACATTATTCACATAAAACAAAAAGATCATATGGTTATCCAATATACCAATCAGATTTAATCTCTAAAGATTGATCATTATCATTTTTCTTAAATTAAAACATATACTTGTATTTATCAAGTGAACTTTATTTTACTATTATTTTAGAGTCTGTATTCATTAATTTAATTTTTTCATTTACTACTAAAGGTGTTCCACCTAAAGCACTACTAATCTAAACACTTGTTTCAAGTTTATTTACATACTATAGAACATCTTCTTTAGGTTCAATTGTTAAAACAGCATCTTATAATAGAGTTATAAATTTATTAACTTTATTATCATTAAAGTAGATAAACATTTATGAATTACCATCAACTGCCATATCAAATACATCATTGATTTTATAACCAGTTTGAATGACTTTGTGTAATGAAACATGAGATAATACATTTGGTTCATAAACTAAAATTACAGTTTCTTAGAGTGCAGTATCAATAGCTCTTACAAATAGCCATCCTGATTATGAACAATAATCAATATTTAATGGTTCTTATAATTAATACTTATAAAGTGGCAATCTCTTATTTAATGTAATTAATTGTAAATGTTCCCAATTATATTCTTCAATGATTTATTCACTAGCTGTTTTTTGAACAATAGTAAATGTAAGAGGACCAATAGCAATACTTACTTGAGATTTTTATATTATAGGTATAATGTGCATCAAATGAAAAATATGAATATTGTTTCCATTTGCAAATTCTCCAATTAAGATTTCTTCTTATGTTTAAATGAATACTATCTATCCTCTGATTTTTGGATTACCAAATACAGCTTTAGGAATGAAAGTACCATTATATCCTTATTATCTTAGTACATTCTAATTAATTACATATAATTCTTTTATATCTCCTCTTACACTCCAAACACTTATTTAATATTTAGCTGATTAAACTAAAAAGACTGCATTTTAAAGATATACAAATGAATTAATCTTATTAGTTAAATCTTTAGAATCAAACTCTATCTTACCAGTTTCTTAACTTGAACCAGAACTTGTGAAAACTTTTACTAAGAAATCACTTTCCTAATAAACATAAGTGACCATATTATAAGTTTACCACCAAGTAAAAGAGTTCTTAGTTTTATTTAATACAAATGGAACATGAAACTAATCTATTTAAGTACATTTTTATAGAGTTGTATTCTTTAGATCTTGATTACTACATCTAATCATAGTACAATTTTGATCTGGTGTTTAAAAGAGGAAATATACTCTATCACCTTGATCTAAAACTAATAAATCTGCATAGACAACATCTTTAGCATCTGGTAAATCAACACCTTTTACAAATACTTCCCACATAGAATCTAATGTCACATCTACATTTGAATTATTGACTAGTTATTTATACATTAAACTAGGTCCAGATGCTAATAGATCTACAACTATTGATTTTGAAGGATAAACAATTTAATCTGGAAAAGGATCATTTGATGTTCTATATATATTAGTATCATTTTATTATAAGATTGTACATTTTATTAATATTGAACACATTTTAACACCATTTTATGGCCATGAATTAAGATTAAATTAAATTTAGGTTGCAGTAGGTTCTTTTTATGAAAACATTTACAAATATCCTTTACTAAGTCCATATCTATATGCTCTTTATTAATTAATTCCAATCATATCAGGATAATATGGATTAACAAGAACTTATTCAAAATATTCTTCATTCTTAAAAAGTAACATAGTTTCTTGTATATGATATAAATAAGTTCCTTATTTTTAGACAATTACTAAAAACTCTTAACTCATTGATAATTTCAATTCTCCATATACAGCTTAATGAGGTAATTAGAATGTAAATTTTTAACTGAAATTTTCAAAAACAACAACTTTATTTTTATATGCTAATACTAAATGTTAAGTATAAGTTCCATCTGGATTACCTAAATAATTGAAATCAAATGCATAAATTTATTCTTTTGATGGATTTTCAAAATGTTACAATAATTTAAATTAATTAGTATTTGTTAATTCTAATACATATACACCATTAAATGCATCTAAAACATATAATTCTCCATTAGGTTCAACTTGAAAATCAATTAAAGAGAAATTTTCTACTGGTTCAGGTAATAAAGTTTTTAATATTGTAACATTCAACATAGCCACATATTTTTAATCAACCTCAGATTTTATATCAATCAAGAAAACTTCAAGTTCACAATCTTTATCTAATTTATCTTATGTATTATTCTCTGTTGCCCATGCAGGTTCACCTCTAAATAAATATGATTTAGCAGGTGCCGAAAATCCATCTGAACTCTTACCTGTATAATTAAGAGTAGCAATCCTTCTTGCTTTTGTTTTATTATAATTATGAGGATTATCATTATTTTATATATGTTTCTCTCCAGTCTTAACATCTATAAAAATGAATCCATTAGCTATCCCAGCCAATGCTGTAGTACAATCTACAATAATAGTTGTCTCAGTGACAAAATCAGCATCAAAACAAACTAAGGAATCACTTTTATGTACTGTAATGAAATCAGAGAAATATGGTGTTTAACGAGTATTCATTGGATCACTAAAAATAATATGATATCAATATTTACTTGATTGAATAATGAATATCCACATCTGTTTCATTTTACTCTAAAAATATGAAATCATTCATCCAAGCTCTTGTTTCTTAATTAACTCTAGGCTTTAAAGTAAGGATGATACCAATATCTGAAAAGATATATATTATCAAATATACCTTCATCTCCATGGTTAGTACCAAATCCCATCTATTAAATAGGCTCATATGTATCCATATATGGACGACCTGGTAAAGAAACATTGAATTTCAAATCACTTCCTCTAAAAAAATTCTTTCTCATATCCCAAGATAAAGACTCATTCACTGTTCCAATTATTGTAAACTCTTATATCAAAGATTCTTAGCATAAAATTGATCATTACCACATTCAGATGCCTACCCAAGAAGAGCAAAAAAAGCAGACAAAATCGTGACGCAAATAAATTATGTCATCGAATTATAATTATATATTTAAGAACAAATCATTAAATGGCCTTATATGATCGTCTTCTCTTACGATGTTTATTTATACACATATGGATTGCCACACAAATGATTATTCCAATCAACAGTACTCCCACCACAATTATCAAAAGTATAAAAAATAATGTCATATCTTAATCAGCTATCGGACATGAAGTCATAGTTATATTTATTCCCAATTATACTTATTTATATGGATTTACTGCTATTAAATTTACTGAATAATTTTTTAAATCTTTAGTATTCTTAACTACAATCTTAGCCACTTAATCTATTGTATATAATGATAAACTCCTATCATCATAACTATTTATCAATAATTAATATTTCCCTATATAATTCTTCTATACTATAAAATTTTGTGATAATATCATATCTTATCCAGTTTATTTCAGACCTGCCTTACATATTCCTGCATTATTTCTTACATCTTTATTCTCTTCAATGTCATAAAGACAATAATAATTCTTATTTTCATATCTATACAATTATAATAGATAATCATCTATCACACCTATTGATCGTAATTTTATTATATTCCCTAGTTTCTAAAACACTTATATTATTTATATCTTAAAATTCCCTCTCTCATATTTCAACTATATTTAATAACTTTCATTTATCTAATCCACTAAAATCATGTTGCAATTATTATTCCCCTATTTAAAAATCTCTATCTTTATTAATTTATTCTCTAATGGATTCACTAATTTCTATTGACTGAATGGCAATTCCAAATATTTATATTATAAAACACTCACCTAATCCTTTGTCAAATTCATTTTTATTACTATAATACCAATTTGAAATTCAGATAAAATCAAACAACCTTAATTTTAAGATAGTTTCATAACATCAAAAGATGTTACATTAAAACTTTAATGGAAATAATCTTTATTGATTATTAAATTAAATTATTGAATAACAAATACTTTGTCATCCAATTCCAATGAATAAAAATAAATAGTAGGATATTCTGTTTAACTTTCAGTAAGTATAATTTGCACATGATTAAAATAATGCATTTCTGTTATTACTTTTCTATCCTAAAATTCCATTTTACCCATTACTTTACAATCCTAATTTTCTTATTATTCCCAACAATAATAATACCATAATTCAGGTTTTTTGCCTGATGGATTTTCATATAAAATAACCAAAATTTGTTTAGTTAATATATATAACTTAGTTGCTACATAATTATTTTATTCACTTTATAATTCAATTTCATTTGTGATGTCTCCAAAATTATTGACAAATTACAAATATTATTTTGTACCTGTTAATTCTGATAAAATTAAAACGAAATTTTGATCAAATTTGATAAATTCTTATATTGATTTTGATTATATTTGTCTATTAGACTTTTAAAATTAATTCAACAAATAAATTTAACCACTATCATTATCAGTTGTACACAAAATACAAGATAATTTATATTAAATTCTTTATCCTTATATCCAATCATTATTTATTTATATTGTCTAAACTTTCTCACATTCCCCAAATTCTAAATTGATATTATCCTTTTTCCATTACATTTCCAATTACATATCAATTACTATAATGTCCTTATTATATTCCCTCTTTTAATTATAATAGTCATTCCATTCTTATTACTACAACATCAAATTTGATTAAAAGTGAGTAGAATCAGTCAATTAATTTATATAAATTCTTGGCTACTCAAAATATAAATAACTATACACTTTTCCTTTATATATGAACTATATCACTGTATTATCAATCCCAGCAACACAATAATTTAATTCACTTTCAAAATAATCAAATGTGTCAATAACAGTCAATAGTGAATTTCTCTAATATTCATTTATTTAGTAAATTAAAATAACAGTTGTTTATGTATATACTGAATATGCAGTAACCAATATCAAATTCTTAAGAGGATTAGAAGCTAATTAAAGTTTTTAAGGCAATTAATAATAATATATAGGGAGTCTTCTTAAAAGTGTTACTGAGTTCAAATTATGAATCAAATATTGCAAAATACCTTATTCAGTAACTGTCTTGTATACAATTACTAAAGTGGATCTGAAGATAGATAGAATTAATTGAACACTTTATTAATCAGTAACTTAGATTTAAGATATGATATTAAATTCATTAACATAATGTCCAATTATGATTATATTATTACATTTGATAAATAATAGATTCTTATTGAAGGTATTACTAATATAAACTTTTTAAGCATTATCTAAATTTTATATAGTATCAATTTATTATTTTAGAGATATAGAATAGATTTGTATCTCATTCATTCCACTAATGAGCACAAATACAAAATATTCATTTATTGCAAAATCAGTGATTTGGGTTCTCTCATCTTATAATGAAGTTTTTATTTGAAATATTTGAACAATCTTTGAATCACCAACTCTATAAATTGTGATTACATGATTATTTTGAGTCTTAATACCAATATATGAATCATACATCCCTACTTCTGTCCATTCTATATTATCATCCATCAATTTTATTAATGGATAAAATGTACTCTTTTATTAACATTTCTATTCTAATTCATTTAATTAGCATACGTAAATGAAGGTACTCAAATTTTCTGTTTAAACTAAATATTAATTAAGACCCAAATTATTATTTATGATACTGAATATTAAATTGTTCTAATCAAATTAACTTATTCCTGTTATAATCAAAGGGGACAATGAGAGAAATTTAATATCTATCTTTTACATTTAATCATTTCTTATAATTATCTATTATTAAACATTTGGTCCATTAGTTATTCTAGGCCATATGTAATATTTTTGTGGATATGGAGGATAATAAACTATTCTTTCCTTATAAAAGTTATTGTTATAATTTGTATGTATTTAAGCATCTGACTTTTCATACACCTATAATACTATATCAACATAACAATTAGTATTTTTAATGTCAAATAATTTGAAATATTTCTAATTTTCTGATTTTTATATTTATTTTTGAAACGTCAATATACCTGAACTGATTTCATAAAATTCTGCTTTATTTGAATAAAAAAATACATAGAGATTAAAATTTGGATTTGCAATGAAAACTTCTTTTGATATTTGAATTCTATCTACTAATTGCAAATCATCAAATATCATAAGCTCTTTATTAGATTTGATCAAATAATAAGAAGGAGTTATTTGAACTCCACAATGACCTAAAGAAAAGTCTTCTTTTTCAAATGTTCTTACAATAGTATCATATCTTCCATTTTTTATAACCCTCATACTTATCTAATTTTTCTATAAAAATCCAAATACAATAATTTCCTCATTATTTCTGATTGAAAAACCATAAAATTCTATTATGTAAGAGGATGAAGTTATTAAATTTGCATTTGTGAAATTGCCCTTATTATCCATTATTAATTAAATTGGCCCCAATCTATAATCCAAAACAAATAATTTTTTTGAATAGACTTAAACATCAATCACAGAAAAATATTTAAGTTCATTTTAAAACAATTCTGACAGTTTTTTTTTATCTAAATAGTAAGGTGTTTCTTATATTTAGTATGAATCAATAGCAAATACATTAATTATTGATTATATACTTACAACTTCTTCTTCATATGCTGGGATATAGATTAACAGATATGAAATTCTAATTTTATAAATAGTTAAATTAATTCTACTTTTTTATTACATAAATTTGGAATAGGCATGTAGAATTGTTCCATTCTTATTTATAATCTCTATAATTAATTTTTGATTATCTTAACAAACAACAACAAAATTATTTTAATCCAAATAATCAAAATCTGTACAAGCTTATTAAAGTGACAATTATCTAAACACTTCATCCTATATTATATATATATGAAATCCTTATGAGTCTTGACCCAATAAACTATACTCATTCATCCAAAACTCTCCTTTTCTATATGATCTAGCCTTAATTATTTCTTAAATCTCTACAAGTATGCTTTAATTTGATACAATAAGGAAAATGTTTCTTATCATAAATATCGTTTGGCTATTACAATTTAAAGTAAGTCCCATTCTAATCACCATCTAATCTGAACTTTGTCATTTCTCCTTCAATTAATTCATCCTTTATTTCCCAATACATATTCTCATATGTAGATATACTTATTTCCAAATCATTTTTCAAAATATCTAATGAATATCTAAAATAATTACTGCATGCATCTATGTGTCTAAGGAATATTGAAATTAATAATAACATTATTAATTATTAATTTTTAAATATTTGAATAATGCACAATTTTTTTCATTATTTTTGTTCATTATAGCTTAATTAATGTTTAAAACTAATTGAATGATTATAAGTCTCTACTCTATTAAGCAAATTTTATAATATTATTATTAGTAATATTATAGTTAAAATCTGCAAAATAATTTAGACAGATTAAAGAAGAACATGCAGTAATTTAAAGTTGGTATTCAAATAGTGTTTAAAATGGATTCTCATGTAAGAGATTGATATCACTATAAAAACTATGCTTAATTAATAGAAGAGATGATTTAATAAAATTATAGATAAAAAGATAGTATTTGAAAGATGAGTGTAGATTTTTAGAAAAACAATTTAAAGGTTATTATGGGTTGATAAAATATAGTTAAAAAATCAGTATTAATAATGAATAATAAAGGAACATCTTACAAATGATAATTAGTAATAAAAAATAGATTATAATGATATCATTTTATAATATATACTCTGTTATTAATAAATCAATTATACTTTCGCTAAAAGACATCAACCAAATCTTCTAATAATTGTTTGTCCTTCTAAAGTTATTCATATTTATGTCAATACATAATCATTATTACATATTATTATATGCGTATACATTTACGAGGGAAATTTAAACATATTATTGAGTTAATTAACTTATTGAGGAGATGAAATTGATAAGTTGGATTCAAATAATACGTTCATAATTGGTTCTTATTAATAGCACAATTTTTAGAATATTAATTTAGAGAGTCCTGACTATAAATAATGAATAACATAAGATTTCGATATAGTTTAAGAATTTATACACATAAGAATATCCATAATTAGATTAAGTAATTAAATCTAATTTGATAAAATGTACTCCTTAAATTGAATATTTTGGTAACAGATATGATTCTACAATAGGTATTGAAAATAATTTTGGCTACTTGTAAGCGTTAATCTAATATTTCCTTTTGATGATATGAATTAAATTAAAGAATAATTACAATAAATAGGTGTAATTTTAATTGAACTTGTTAATTAAACATACTGAATTTGATGAATGCAAATAGATTCAATTATGAATATTCTTTTCATGTAATAACTCAAAAAATGCTCAAAGGTGTATCTATGATAAATAAATTTTATTTAGTATCCACATTAAGAATTTTAAGTAAATTTTTAATACCAATTTTTAAATGTGAGATCTTGAATAGCAAGATTAATTTTCAAAGTAATCCTTTACCAAATTTTGTTGTAAATAAAATCAGATTTATTGTAGACTGGTACATAATCTATAGATGTTAAGTAGTACTTTATAGTTTCTCGGTATTTCAGGATTAGAATTAAAAAAACTACATAATTGCGAATAATAACAACTTAGAAGACATTAAATAGTCCATCTATTGATTAGATGGTTTCGAATTAATGAGATTCAAAAAGTTTAGGGGTTGCACATTTAAAAACATGATAAACATTATTATAATTGAATTAGTAAGTAACAAAAATGTAGTCTCTATCTTTGGTAGTAGCAATGTGATCACATGTTTGGGATTGAGTAACTCATTTGTTTCAAAATCAGTATTCAAAACTCTGATGATTTACCAAAGAGTTATTTGAGTATTGAAAAGGTTGATAGCTTGATAAAATGTGATTAGAGTAATATTGTAAACATCACGCTTTATGAAATTCTTCTAAATTAATATAATTTCAATATTGATAAATTCTTATATTTCCATTCTTGTCAAAAAGAAACAATTTATTTGTGAATGGTAATTTCTGACTATCGATACAATCCAAAATGAATTGATCATTATTCAGACTATATATTAAATTGACTCGTTCAAAGAATGTATCTTTCAAATGTCATTCAATAATTTCACAATTTGAATGAACTCAGTCTTGTATCACATGATTGAGTATTATTAGGCTACAACAATAATGATAAAAATAAAGATATTTGAAGTTTAAAGCTGAAAATAATAAAATTAATATAGCTAAATGAGTATGAGAATATATAATCTTATATTTCTGATGTCATATTATATGTAGAAAAATTAAACATATTCTTCATTAATTAATAATTTATGATATCAGCACATATGTACCTATTGGCATTAATGCCAATTATGGTTATATCTACTTGCAGTATTAATTTCATTGTATTTTAGGGACGATTTAAGAATAAGATCATGTCTATCCAACTGTAAAGGAATATTATAAATGGGAAATCAAAAACTTTATTGAAGGTGATAATTTGATTTATTCATTGGATTCACCTACATCACTATTTCAACTTGAATAACCTTTACATAAAATAAGTGAGGCTAATCATTTTGCTCGTATATAGAATATTCATACTTTTTAGATTAGATTGATATTGTAGCTACAAGAGCCTTTGATATTCCTGAAACTGGTGCTTGGACTAATGATTTTGCATTTATGGGACAAGATTATGATGACTATTCTTGGTGGATATACTATTCAGAAGGGTAATGAAAAATAAATCATTATAGAAAATAAATCTAGATGAATATTGCTCCTTCATTTACAAAGGAAATTAATTTCTTAAGTAACAATATGCTTATGAAATGTTTGGATCTTGAATATATAGACAGAGATACATTTTTAGTTGATTGCATTGAACCAGGTGATGATACAAAGCCAGGAAAGAATTATGTTTATATAATAAAAAAGGGAGAACCTCCTATTATTACAGAGAAGACATTTGATTCTATAAAATATAAAATTGTTAATGACAGAAAGGTATAATATCATGTTTACAATGCTCAAAATATTGGTGATGGTTTTTCTGATGAGGAACCTCTTAGAATCTTATTGAGAGGTCAATATGCTTATGGAACTCCAGGAAGCAGTATAACAAATCTTGATGGTGATTGTATAATTGATTTATTAAAAAATAATGCTTAGAATGAAATTGTAGAAACTGATAAGCATTTGGATAAAAAACAATTGATACAAGATTTAGGTATTAAACCAGAAGATTAAGAAAATTTTAAATTTACATTGATAGATTTTAAAATAATGCCTAATGGTGATATTTATATATTGGATGCATATAATGGTATATATATATATTTTGTAAATTCAAAATTTGAATTCAAATTTAAGAGAAAGATTGATGTAGGAACAGATTTAGCTTATGCATTTGATGTTAATAATAAAATAGATTATGAAGGAATAAATCATGTTCATATTGCAGTAGTTCATTAGAAATCAGTAATTGAATATATTGATGGAATATAAAAAGGAGGTTGGTTGGATGCATTCGAAGCTAAACATCCTTCATTTATTTTTGCAAGTCAACAATTTTTAATTGTAAATCCAGGAGGAAATACTTTTTATATATATAATTCAGATCATCAATACTTAATTCATACAGAAACTTTACTAACTAAAATATATTTGACAAATCCCTATGAACCAGATTTGATTGCTATCACAAACTCATTTGCATATAGATATGAAGTTGGATATGCAAGATTAGCAGTTCATTCATATGATGCTACACTTGGAGATAATGAAGTTAAATTCTCAGCTATTGGATAAGATAAAAAAAAATGTGAAGCATCATTAAAATATTAAATTATTAAAGAAGGTGATACAAACATTTATCCTGTTGATCATGATCCATTCCCAAAAGTAATGTAACATCCTTCTGATCCTATTTTTGTTTAAGAATTAGCAGCTGGACCAAATTTGATATATACAAATGGAGATGATTCATAAAAAGATCATGTTAATGTTGACATTCATACAGTTTGGGAACTAAATGTGACTGGATTGACTTTTCCAACTGTAACTGATGTGGCATATGCAGATATACTCATAGATCCACATTGGTCTGGAGCACATAAATTTTGGTTCCTTTATTAATTGGAATCAAATAAATAAGTTGAAATTTTTGAATGTACAACCAAAACATAATTATCAAGAGATGTTCATTGTGAAGAACATGCTAAATTCAAAATTCCAAATTTATTAAATCCAAGTACATCTTAATTTGATTGGGATGCAGAAGAAGGGGATGTATTAACATTTTAATTTATTGAACATGATTATTAAATATCAGTCTATGAAAGTACTCATGATTAATCATCTCCATTATTTGCTATAAAATATGATGAATTACCAGAAAATAAGATTACATCATTTACTGTTTTAAGAAAAGCCATCTATGTTGTATTACCTAATAAAAAAGAAGTTGATGCTTGGTTTGGATTCTTTCCAACTCCAACAAAACATATAATTTCTAGTTAAACAATGAAAGAATAAGGAAGTGATAGAATATTTGAACCAAAAAGAGTATTTGGTAATCCTGCTCTCAAAAGTGAATTTGTATTAATTTAATCAAAAGATTGTATTTTCTTTGGAGACATGAGAAATACTTTTACTTTAATTTATATATTTGATATTATCCCTGGTGCTGATGTTAGAGTATATTTAGGAATGAAAACAATATTTATTGTTCAAAAAAGTGAAACATTAGGATTCAAGATCTAAGAATATAATTACGAGAAATTGAGTAATATATATTTGATGAAGGAGTTACCATTATATGATTATGTTATTCAAACACCATTAACAACAGATTATTGTTATTAAACTGGATTCTTATTTGTACGTGCCTTAGATCCATCTACATAAGAAACTGTAATATTAGTTTATGAATCAGATGTTTTATATTAATTATCATTACACAAAGTAGTTAAAACACATTTAAAAATTAATGATGGTTAAGTTATGAATATGGCTGCAGCTGGACATGATTAAATGTACATGTATGTCAATAATCAATAAAACATTTAAAAAATGATTGGATTTTTAAGGGATGCTATTGCTATATTATAACCATCACATCTATCTAATCAATATGTTACTTAATTAATGGCAACTGTTAATATTACTAATTAAGTAATTACAAAACCTATGTAAATTTCATATCCTATTAAATATATAAATACTTAAACTTACATTAGTATTGATTAAAATGAATTGTCTAAATAAAATGGATAATTTGTATTCACAAATCAAACTGCTGATTAATATTTAGAAATAAAAACAACTGGATGGTAATCTGGATAAGTAATTAAATATGATGCTGATTGTAATTCATGTGAATCACATTTAATCTAAATGATTAATACAATTTATCATATTACAGATGGATCATAATATTAATAACATTTTATTGATGGAGTTGCTGCAGGTACAGAAATGATCTTCTAAACAAGTGATTCAATAATTTTATAAGATGCTACTGGTAAATGGATAGGAACTCATAAATTACCTGTAGGAATTGGGGCTGATTGTAGATCTATAACAGCAACTGAAGATGGAAAAGTTGTATTTAGTGGATGTGAAGAAAGAGGTACTGTTAATATTTATTTAACATTTTGTGATGGTAAAACATGTACTGCTGCTACACCAACAATGTAATAGATTGGTTATAATGCAAAATATCCATCAAAATTATTATATAAAGATGGAATTCTTTTTGTTTTGGATAATAATAATAATGATCCTTAATAATATGATGGAACTGTTAGAGTTCATAAAGTTAATATAAATTAAGAAGAAAAAACTTGGAGTCTTGAACCTGGGAAAATTATTGATTCCAGATTTTTAAGTACTGAACCTACTATACCATTTTAACCAGCTGATTTTGATGTTATCAAATATGAAGTTGGCAATGTGAATTATTATAAGATATTATTATCCAGTGCTCTATATAGAGTTTGGTTTGTTGATCTTTATTTTGATAATGGTACCATTAAATTTGGATAGCATGATAAATTTGATCTATTTGCTCTTATAGACAAAAACTTTGCAATAAAAAGTCATACTCGTTTCTATTAAATTAGAGCAATTAAATCAACCAAAAAAGATAAGTAACTCTTAACAACTGCTTTAATATCTACAAATATTATGGCTACTTATGCTGTCACATTCACATATGATATTTCAGATCCATTTAAAGGAGCACCTGTATAAATTGATGCCACTGTTCCATTTTTGCTTGCAAATTACGGAACTTGGAAATAACTTAATAAACTTACACTTTTTGAAGATCATGTTGCTATTGCTTATACTAATTAAGAAAGTATTTTAGCTGCTGTTTATTTATTACCAACCATTGATCATAATGCTATATAAGATACTTAAACCAAAGTTGTCACACTTATAGGAGGTGAAGAAGATTAATAAATGACACAAATCTCTACTTAATTTGTTATGACTCTCTCTAAAGATGCTACATAATCAAGAGTAATATTATTAACTTAAGTTTTATTAGCCTGTACTCCATACTAATCTTGTTTTTAATATTGCATAAAAAGAAAATATGTTAATTAAATATGGAATCACTGATTATCCAAGATTATTCATTTAAAAGGGAGATTAAATCAAAGAATAGAGTGTGTATATCACTGCCAGAAATGATTATGGAACTGCCTAAGCTGTCATTCATTTAACAAAGAAAAATCCACCTGGTCCAAATCCTCCAGGACCAGATCCAGATGATGATGATTCGTAATTATAATATATATATTTTTTTTAGCAAATCAAGTAGTAATTGGTGGTGGATTACCTTAATTGTTGTTTTTGGAGTTGCTGTAATGGGTGTTGCTGGTTATTTTGTCTATGCCAAATACTTTAAAACTACAAACAGGCCATTACATGTTTAATCCTATTGATTTATCATAATAATAATTTAAAGTTTAAATTCTAATATAGTGTTTTAGATTTTAGTATTTAGAGAATTTTCATCATGAATAAATATTCAAATACTTCAAACCAGAAGATTTTTAATATTTCTTAAGGTATTTTTATAAATCTTATTTAGATTATTCCATAATAATCTTACAAGAAATTCTTGTAAAATTATATTTGTTACTTTATTAATAAGTTATTCTGAATGAAATAATTACTCGAATTAATAATTATTAATATTTATAAAACACTAAATTACGTTAGGTTAATTAGTTTATTAATTTAATATATTTGTAGATTAAATACGATAAAAAAAAGTAAAGCTAGAGTAATTATTTCAATCATCCATCGTTTTGTACTTAACTCTACTTTCTAAAACAAAGCTAAGAGTCTTTTTATTAAATTATTAAATATTATCTAATTATGATAAATGGAAATAATTCAAATCATTTCAGAATTTTTTCAGTAACAAACATCTTGTTTCAATACTCCAATAATAACTTGATTAATTATTATCTATTATTTCATTCGAATCACTGTACATATCTACTTCATATTATTCTTGTTATTAATGTTAGTGTTAACTATTTTCAGACTGCTCAACAACACTAGAAAATTCTTCCTTTTGATTTTCATCTAAAGGTTTTATTTTAAAGTACAAATTAGGTTAATTTAAGTATTTCTACTTAATAAAAGAGTAGAAGCGATTTTTGATCATATTTTCCTATCATTATAATTACAATATCATACCGATCTTCCTGGCATTTTTTCTGATATTTAACTCCATTAGGATCCATGCTTTAGATATTCTTTGTAAATCATTTCATCTTCTAATTCTGTCATAGGTCCATGATTAAGATTTGGATCAAGAAAATTTTTGTACCTCCTTCTGACTTATTTGCCTGTTTTGTTTTTCATTTGCTTAGCTATGGCATTCCAACATGGACCAAGCTATCGAAAGATTCTTAATAATGTTTAATCCTCTATTTAAGTCCATCGTTTGGCCTTATTTTGCTGGACTCCTTATCTCTATTTAAGCCTTTTCCACCTTTGGCAACATTGGGAAGTATTCCTTTATTCCATTTTCTATGCCACTCGAAGCCATCGATGCCCAAAAAGTGACACATTAGCTATTAATTTTTTATCTTCCTCTGGAGTCCATTTGGATCTCAAGATGATGTCAGATTCCATTATTTAACCATTATTTTGATCACTTTACCTTTTACGCTTAACAATTTATTTCCTACATTCGCTTTGATTGTTCATTTGTGATATTTTAAAGAAGATTTAATTTATTTGAGTTCTATCTTTTATTTGATAAAATATCCAACAACTTAAAAATTACTTAAAGAGAACAATATAAGAAATATACGAATAAACAATTCTATAGACTTTAGTATTGCTTAAACGTAAGTCTTCATGCCCAATTTATTTTTCTATTCTCAAAAATTATGAATTGGATAATAAACGATATAAAATTTATTAAACTTATAATCATACTAAAATTTTTATGCTTAACTTATTTAAAATTCATTTCCAACTTTAGTATCATAATTTTATTACAATTAATTATGTCTCATAATAAAACCAAAAAATATTACTTAAAGTTATACCCATATTATGATAGTGGATTACACCCTACTTTTAAAGCATTTTTGAGCAAGGAAGATTATTTAATAATGTTAACTACAACGTTTTCTATAAATAAATAAACAATAAAAACTTTAATAATTTTAATTAATAAATTATTATTAGACTATTTATAATATAAAATTTAATACTTTTATTCTAATTCTAAAAAAAATAGTTTTTAAAATCCTAATATAATTTATAGAGAGTCTGATTTTAACATTATAAAATATTTTTTCATCAAATATTAAATCTCATTTCATTCTTGAATAAATTTTTTAATTATAAATTATTACATAATTTTTCTTATTGGAAATCATTTTTTAAGGTTAATTCTTAAAATAGAAGTTAGAATTAAATCTCTTTATTTTTTTAAATACAAATATTTCCATCTCCTAACTTTAAATAAACTATTCTCATAAGTAAAATATGGATAAAATATTTATATTAAATATTGTATCCTTAAAAAATACCTACAAAATTTTAGTATCACTTCAATTTTGTCATCACAAAATGTTAAAATCAAAAAGGCATCCTATTTACATCATAATTTGTTATAAATTACAAATGGTTACAATTTTCATTATGTTTTGTATAAACGTAGTTTCATTAATTATTTAAATTATTTTTCAATCAGACGAATATTTTGAAACATTTTTTATTCTTTAAAGTATTTACTTTTAGATTGTAAGTATTTTTTGGTTATCTGTAAATTCATTAGCTTTCTTTGAGTTCACAACAAATTCTGTAGTAATTAATTGATTAAAATTTTATAAATAATCTCATATTATATTATATGAAATACAATAATAAATAATTAAATTAAATAAATATTAATAGTTATTATTATATATTAATATTATTTATGAAAACATTAATAACAATGAAATAAAATCATAATTGGATTACTTATAAAATTTGTTTTTGGTAATGTAAACTTAATAAAAAAGACAAAATAAAGGTAATTAGGAAAATGAGTTTATCCAATTTTCCAGATGTCCGTTTAACATTTGCTCTTTCTAACAAACTATTATTAAACTTTTAAACATCTTACTATCATATTATAGATAATAATTACTAATTCTTATTCTTTTTTAGTGACTTCTTATTATAATACTTCAAATTTATTGCAAAAGTATTCTGCTTCAATTTTAGCCTTATCAGCAGTAGGAATAGCAATGACACGTGTAGGTTCTACTTATCCAAATTATTTATTAACAGATTAGAACATCTGACTTTAGTTTCCTTAACTTTAAGCAACGATCTTTCTATCTTTGGTAAGAATAGCTATATTAATTCTTTATTTTTCAAATCTTCTCATTTTATCTAAGAATATAGGTCCAGCATCTTGAATTCCTTGAGGTGTGATGGTTGTTATCAATTACAATTTTTCATTGAAATCTTTGATTGAATTATTTTCAAGGACTTTGCTATGAAGTGTTATATTGACTAATTAACTTTATCTAGGTTAAACAACTCCCAAAGGTGGTCTGACCAAGAAAATATTGAGATTCGTAGCCTTAAACTAAAGATTACAATTTAATAAAAAGAAATACCTTATAGGCAATTGGATGTTAAGTATCATTATATAAAGTAATTGAGGAATGCATATTGTCTAACTTACTATATTCGAACTCGACTTAAGGTGCACTCAATCTTAGCGTGTCCATTTTATAAATAATTTAATTAAATCATATCACAATAACACAAGTAATCAATGGATTTATGAATACAAGTATTAATAGCTTTTATTAAACAAAACAGAACCTAAGATAGAATTTAGAAAACTATTCATAGTTATATTCAATTTATTAAAGATATTAAAAGATTATTAAGATTATACATTGAATTGAATAAATTCAAAAGATAATTGCCATATATCTTTATCGTTGTTTCTTATTGAATTTAATTACATTAATTAAAACTTCCAAATCTAACAATATATTTTAATCCACCTACGGATATGTAACTTGATTCATAACTCTTAAAATTAATAATCATATTAGTTCTAAATTTATTATAAATTTATGTTTATTAAAAAGATTATAATTTTCTATGATCAAAATGAAAAATACTGAAATAAATTCTCTACCTATATATCATCAATGTATAGAATAGATTTCATCATATTAATTATTTTATAGTAAATAATCAAAAACATTTAAAACATATTCACTAAAAAATAGGTTAAAAATATTAGTCTAATATCCTTTATTTTTGTTATGATTATATAATTATATTATTTTTTTTAATGATAAAATTTCATGTTTTGATTAATAAACTTGGTATTTGATCAATGTTAGCATAGGAATAAATGTGTTATACATAAGGTCCCTTAACAAAAATATCAGAATCAGTCAAATCCTCTGTTTACCATTTAATTAGAGGATGATCTATAATAGGGATTGAATAATGGTAGGTTTAAAATAATTTTGATTCTTTGGTTGAAATGGATATAGTATAAGTCTTATTAGGTAACAATTTAATTGGATTTCTGAATTCAATAAAATATAAATGTCCATCTACTACTTGTAATTTATCATGTTCTAAGACTTTGTGTTATTTGAAAATATATTTAGTTAAATTTGTGTCTTCATGTAATTTGTATATCAATTTAGGAGTTTTGACTTATGAATCATAATTAGTTGAATTATAACTTCCTTTATATAACATTGGTTAGAAAATTCCTATTAAATATAATTACTTTTCTCTAACTTGAAATACATTTGCTCTAATGGTAGTTTTGTCAAATATACTTGGTTTACTTTATCCATCATCAGCTATTTATATTATTAATAATATAGTTACATATCCAAACTTTTCTTAGTCTTTCCACTTTTTCAGTTTTTGTATAAAATGTACTATTAACACAATCTAATTGATCTAAGACTTACTTTTAAATATTTGGTATTTTATCTTATAAATAAGAAGTGAGTTATATTAATTATTGTTTACTTTCCTTTTCTTTTAAATTAATTTGATTATTTTAAATGTTTTATTGTTGATTAATCAAAAATAATCTTAATTCTTTTATATCTTATTCATTGAATTAGTTTAAACTCTATAGAAATTTATATCCTTAATCATTAATTTTTTAGTCATTCACTAATTTCAATACGATTAATCTTAATTCATCTTCTAATTGATTTAATCTATCTTCAATGGCATGTTTAAAACTTCTAAATACATTATAAGCTTCCAATCCTTATTTATCTTATATGATCTCATTAACATTTGAATGACGTTTAAGTAACTTATCTATTTATTTCATATATATAATTTGAGTAGAATGTGTTAGATGGAACTTAATACAATTTTAACAAAAGTATTATTCTTCTTTACACTCTTGATTCAGACATAGATTAGAAATTGGTGCTTCTGGATGTTTTGTACATTTAATTTTCTGAAATTATTCAATAAAATTCATTAATTTTAATTATTGAAGAATTATTCAAGTGTGCATAAATCTGATTCTTACATATCAATTTATGAACTTTCCATTATTCTCCAATTTGCAATGCTGAAATACTTTCCTGAATACAAATTCTTATTTATCAACTATAATTCCTTAAACCATTATTCTTTCCTTAAATTATATCTCCATCCTCTCATATAACTAAATAAATATTTTATTATTACAGATTTTCTACAGCCCATAATTATTATTCTTCATCCATAACATTATAAAAGATGTAGAAATTAGTTTCCTCTGAAAATTAACTAAACATCTCTTTCTTTCTATTCACACTATTCTAACGAGGCATTAACTTTTATTTAATCCAATCATGAGGCTTTGAAAGTGGATCTGGTTAAGTGGCATTATCATCAATAAATGGTGAAATAATCTTTGTAGGTTGTCCAGGTAATCTAATATAATTTAATTATACTTATTATCTTAAACAGACATTCCTAATTCATCTAAATTCATCCCATTCCACAATTTAAAAATTGCTTTATCTTTATCTTTTTCCTTTTCTGATACTTATTTTTAAAGTGCTGCAAAACTATACTTTTATTTAAATTCTTCCTCCATTTATTTAATTAATTATATATATTAATACCAAGAATATTATTTTTTTTAATATCTTAGAATATAATAAGAATAAATTTTTTAGTAAAAAAAAACTATTTATCTTATTACAATAATCTTTAACATATATCAAAATAAATTATAACTAATACATTGAAATTAATCTTCATTTAAATAAAATAAATATACTTTTATCATGCTTATTCATATACCATTTTAACTATTACAGTTGGAGGAATCTTATCTTCAAATATTAATTACTACAAAGTATCTTTAGTAATTATTTATGGTCTATGAATTTAATTTACAATATCCATTAAAATTTAATCACTTAAGACATGATCTTTTCCATCTATCCTTTATGCCAATAATCTTAATAAACCTTATATCTCTGTAAATTAAATTTCATTTCTCTCTGATCCCATAAAAAAATCAAATGTGAATTTTATATATTCTTCAAATGTCCCTTCCTAAAATACAATTAATTTATAAAAATGTTTAAATGAACTGAATGTCATTAAATCACTTTTACAAAATGCCCAAATTACTCTTTCCACTATTTCATCCTCCTTTCTTATTAAATCCCAAAATACTTAACAATAAGTTAAAAATGTATCTTTTCTTATTGAAATATCATCTTAAACTTACTCTACTTCTGAAACATCCAATTAAACTTAATTAGATTTACCAAAATCTATTGGATCACTTGAATTGCTCTATCTTGAATTTTTAATTACAAATTGAGGAGATATTTAAGAATTCGGAGTAGGTTAACTATTAGTCTATTTCAATTTCTTCTTATGAAAATCTTATATACTTTAATAATGACTGATAGATGATATAGTACCAAATTATTATAATCTTAATTCAGGCCTTTAAAAACCTGTATAAACTACTAATCTATCATAATTAATTAAGAAATTCCATTCTTTAACCAAATCTAATTCTTTAGTCGTATTATTTTTTATCATCCTTATTAAATTATCTCTATATAAATATTTTGGATTGCCTTTTTATCTTTCAAATACTGTGTTTTTATCATAATCTAAATAGGTTCTTAATCTTTATCCAAATCCTTTTAAATTTTCATTTAACATTACTGTATTTTAAGCATTCTATTCCATTTCTTATGATAAAGTCACATCATCAGTTCTTGAAGATTTAAATAATCTAGGTTATGATAAAAAGGGTGATTTCCAAGACTCTTATAAAGGATTTCTTTCATTAATAACTTAAACCTTCTTTTCCAATTTCTTTAATTCCTTACTCCTATATTCACTCTGTTAAAGAGGATGAAGACCTTTCAAAGCTTTCTCAAATAACAGAGTAGGTTTTGATGGTAATTGTTTATAATGTTTTAAGAGATCATTTTTTGAAAAATCAGGATTGACTATACTCTATTAAGCATCATCATGCAAAGGAATAACCAAATCAATTAATTGTTTTTGAAAATTCCTTTTTTCAACAATGGTTTCTAATTTTCTTTCATCATTAAATTTTGATCTCTGTGGTGAACTTAATAATTATTTTGATTGACTTGGAATTTTTAATTTTGGTAATATTGGCTTAAAGTTGTTTTTATTTGAATGCATAATAATTAAATGAGAAAGGTGCAATCTATTTTGATTATTATTAATATATATATATAATGAAAAAAAAATCTAAAAAAAAGTCAGAAATAATTTAACATATATGTGTTTATGATGGACATACTCCATATGGCATATGTATGTACAATCAATGTCAATATAAAGGATTTATCTGTATTTTATGTTGGTTATTGTATCATATGAATCATTTAAATTATACTTTTCCTTAGATTGAAGCTAGAGTGAAATTAATTATAAGATTAATTAAATAGATTGCATTTCAATTTAGTCTTAGTGGAAATGAAGATTATTCTGAATACTTGGATAATTTTACTTAAAAGTTATGGCTATTAGAATTAAATTAGACAGAATATAAATCAAATAAATTGTAAAAAGAAATAACATTAATATAAAACATACGAATGTTAAGATAAATAAAAAAATAAGTAACTCTTAGTCAAGAATATCATGAATACTATTTTAATTAAATGAAGTAACTTTTATTTAGTCATTCAAAAATTTAAAGAGATCATATATAGAAAAACAATATTTCAATTAATTTAATGACTAAAATACTTCTTTTTTGTATATTAATAGTTATTCTACTAAAAATTATATTAGTATTCAAACTCAAGGACATGTGATTTCTATAAATTATATTTTATTAGAATTATCTATTTAGATTATCTCTAATAATAGTGATAACTTAAAAGATCATTTAGTTTTCTTTTCTATTGTTATAAAACCAATATAATTTTAAATGATATTATTAATATATAATAATAATAATTTTACAATTATTGGAAGATGATTTTTAAATACTTTTTTCTTGGATTAATGTATATTGTCCCTGTATTGCAGGGATGTTCACTTTTAGAGGATAATTTCATTAATTTATATGGAATTGAAAATGAAATAATTTATTAAGATATTGGAGAATTATTTGCCCTAGAGCAAGAAAATTATCTTGTTTTAGAATCAACAGAAGATTCGAAGAATATTAGAATTATTCAAAAAATAGAATTAGAAACTGATATTCCATTGTAATTAGAAAATGATCCTTTAATAATAAAATTAGATATTTTAAACTAAAATAAAGAGAGTAATATTTTAATAATGGATGAGGATTAAAATTTTATAGAATATTCTTTATTGACTAATTAAATAACTAAAGTCAAATTATCTGAATACGATTAAACTTTCGATTTATAAGATGTGATCTAATTGACAGATTAAGATAAAAAATATTTAATATTAGATTTTAGTCTTATTGCATAAACTTATATTCTATTGTTTGAAGAAACCTTTAATGAATATAAACAAATTTCTGCGCTTTCATTAGAATTTTATTAAAATAGTGGAAACAATCAAATTGTTGGGTCTGGTAATACTTTTTATAGAATAAACTTTTAATTAATTGAAATATATTAAATTGAAGATAAAGTTATAAATGAAAAAGGTATAAAAGATAAAGTTATAAAGCAGAAAGGATAAATAATTAAATCTATAAATTAAGAAGAATGTGGTCCTTCTTAAGACATTATATAACATTAATTGCATTAAAATAGTATTAGTTTTATTGATCCTAATACTCTAGTAATAACATAATTAACAGAGGATCATAAAAATTAGAAGAATTAAAAATGTATTAAATTTACAGAAAGATTATATACCTATAATTATTATGAACCTCTTGATTAATATGTTGTTATATCTCAAACTAAATTAGTATTTGGTAATTTTTAAAGGAATTTGAATTTGAAAAATTATTACAGTGATTTTAAAGTCTATCTTACTTAAAATTATATTTTACTTGCTATAGGTCTTAATGTAGAACTTTATTCAAAAGAATTAATATTTTTGGATTAAATTCAAAATGAAAAGGAATTTCTTATTGAAGTATAACCTGAAGCTGATAAATTCATTTTGATTGACAAAAATCATGCCAAATAGTATCAATTAATTGAATCTCAATTTATTAAAATAACATAAGAGCATTAAGATATAGATTTTATTATAAAATAAATAACAGAAGAAAATACTTGTAATATAAATGTACACTTTTCCTTTGTATAAATAAATTATGATGATCTCTTTGTAAAATTAGAGAAAAGAAATTTTGTTCCTTCAAATTAATGGGCTATTAATGATTGTCAATAATAAGGCAATTTAGTCTCTATAATAGAATAGAGAAATTAATAAAAAAAGACTAGATTCATTAGAGAATTACCATCATTATCTAAATTATAGTATATATTATTAGAAAATGAGAATAATGAATTTTAATTAATTGTATAATCAAAACTATTAAACACTTATGAAGAGTTTACATTCAAATTAGATATAGAAGTTTTGTTAGAAACAGATTAAAAATTATGGTGGGTTTTTGAAGATGAGGTTTATTTTGCTTTTTATCAAGATGATACATGCAATATATTTAAATTGGATTATGGAATTCTAAGACTAATGTTTCATAAAGAGATTAAAATGAATAACAAAATATTGAAGATTGTATCAAGTGGAAATTATATCTTTATTCTCATTGAATAGAAAGTAAATCTCAATGTACTCTTTTATACTTCAGTATCAGAGGATATATAAGAATATAAAAAAATATAGCTTTCTACTATCAAAGATATCTTTGCATCACCTTTATTATAGGGTTATATAATAATTAAATAGGATAGATAATTAATCATATTTTGTATTTTATATATACCTGTATAAATATTTAATGAAATAGTCTAACCTTTATAAACAAATGTGATTATTTTTTAAAATTATTTTGTAGTATTGATGAAATCAAGTAATGAAAAAGAAAAGATTTGTGATATTTATTTTTTAAAAAGTACATTATCAATCGAAAAATTAGGAAGAAATCCACTTGAAAATTTTTCTTAGATTTAAATTGATGATGTTTTAGTTTCAACAAATGAAAATGTCTTTTATTTGAAATGTTAAGTTAAAATTTAATAAATGAAGAGATATGTACTTGTTGGTTTTAAAATTGGAAAATCCATTTATAAATCATTATTATTTATATTATTAAGAAATATCGATAGTGAATTTTAAGCAATTTCATAATTACTAATAAAATTAAATAAAAATTAATTAATGCCTTTAATTTATTTAAAAGATTCTTAAATATGTTTATTAAATGAAAATGATGAAATAATTAAAGATTTTGAACCATTAAATGAAAAAGAAATTGATTTGGTAGATGGTGATAATAAACCATCAATTATAGATAATAGTGATGATTAAAAAAATGATCAAGATAATTAGGATAATAATGATGATCAATCTGATGATAATACACTTGATTTAGATACTTCTAATTTCCAAATAGGTTCATTTTTAGTAATGAGTACAATTGAAGAGGCATTGATCTATTCACTTTTTAAGACATTTGGTAGAAGAAGAATTGAGCCTATTGATGTAGTATGATTTTTTAGATTGATGTAGAATAAAATCTGATATTTTATTTTGAAATTTATATGAGTTTTAAATTAATATATTTTAAATATTAGAAATGACAGAAGAGAAGAAGAATTTAATTTTTGAATATAAAGATGATATCAATGGAAAAGTGCCAGTTATATTTTAATGGAGTTTTGACTTTAATTTTTTAGTATGTGGTGGAGATAGATCAGTAGTTTATGTAATTGATAAGTAAATAATATGATAATAATATTAGACGAGGGAAGCGTTTAAAGGATATTTAATTACCAACAAATAATAAATTATTGTAATTAGAATGGGATAAAGATAGTGAATTTATTTGCATTGTATAAGTATGAAAGAATCAAAATTAAAAAAGGATGGTCTCAATTATGTTAATTTATGGGCTCCATTTACAAATAATCCAACACTTATTCAAATAGAATTAGATAATGTCAAAGCAAAAGTATCATATGCTAGATGGTCTAAAAGTCATGGAATATTGGCAATAGGATCAGATAAAGGTGGAGTATTGTTTTATACAAAAAAATAAGCGAAAAAATTACCTACAATGGGAAAACACAGTAAGAGAATTATTAGTGGGGATTGGAATAATGAAGGTTATTTAAGTATGTATTTTTAATAATATTATTATAGTAACAAGTGGAGAAGATAAATTTTTAACAGTTTCAAATTATAATGCAGAAACTATATTTGAATCTATTCCTGTTAAAGCTGAAGCTAAAAATGTACTTTGGTCTATATCAAAGACAGATTCAAGGGAATAGGTTTAAAGAACAGTAACAGCTATAATTCAATAAAAAACAATTATTATGTTTGAATTAGGAAAGAATCATAAAATGCCTGATGAATTAGTATTTGAGAATAAATATGGGAAAATTGTTGATTATACAATCTTTGATGATGGAAATTTGGTTATAGGATTCAGTGAAGGTTATGTTGCCCATGTTTCTATTCCCATAAAAGAAAATAGTAAACTCTATGTATATTTCATTAGAGGAGGACGTACGAAATAAGAAATTATTGAAGTAAGTAGATACTATCTGTACAAATGATAGTCTCTAAAAATTGGCAGTAGCAGGAGATGGTTTTATTAAAATGGTTAATCTTCAATCTTGGGAAGAAATAACTGCAGAATAAATTAAATTACCAAATGATTGTGGTCGTGTATCTAAAATGTAATATTTATATTATATCTATAAAGGGCTTGGAGTTCAAATGGATTAATCTTAATTGTCTCAACTGAAAAAGGGAATTTATTTGGATACTAAACATCAATACCAACATTAACAGCTACTTATAAATCTATGATTGCATTACAATAATCATTTACACAAATCAAAATCTATTCAACTTAAGACTAATCATTAACAGAAAAAGCTACTCTTTTTTTAGAGAATGAACCTAATTAAATTTCTATGAGTATGAAATATTTTGCTGCTGGTCTCAATAATATGGTTTATTATTATAACTATTTGGAATTAAAAAGTAAAAAAGATGATACTTCTCCATCATCTATTATTTTGAAAATGGATTATTTAGGATATGTAAATTAAATCATTTTAAATAATGAATTTGCTGCTATCTTAAGTAATAATGTTTGTACATTCCATAAAATTGAACAAGCAGGTGATTTTATTAAATAGTAATCTATCTATTATAATTAAATAGATAATTCCCTGCTAATGATTAAGAAAAACCTATCTTACATATTGGATTAACTAGACATTTTCTATTTTTATTAGATTCTTAATCTAAAATCAGAGTCTATAATGTCCTTGAAAAATAATTTATTATTGAATTCAAAAATGATTACAATTTAACCAAAATCTTTCCAAATCTTAGTGGAACAAGATCCATTTGCATTAATAATAAAGGTTAAGGCTTTTTATTTGAAACATCTCTTGAAATATTGACTTAAATATCTGTTTATCCAGAAAAAACAGAGAGAATCATTTGGGATCAATAGGATCCTAATTTATTTGTGACATAAGAAGATAATCAACTTACTACTTATATAGTTAATAAAAATAATTTAAAATAAGAAATGGTACATCCAGTATTTGAATATTTGTCTATTGAAGATTTACATAAGCCAACAGATCCATCAGTAACTAAAATAGAAAAAGGAGTTTAAGTCTTAAGTTTAACAAATGGTACTTTAAAATGTTTTACAATGACAAGAAATGTTATAGGTTAACCATTACTTAGTCATTCTTATTTGACTTAATACAAAGGATCCAGTGATACAATTGATGGTCATTTTAGATATTTTTTATAAAATCTAGCTCTATTTAAATTTGCTAATGCACATAAAGCAGCTGTGAATTTAAAGAATCTAAAATTATTTGATACTTTTGGTAGAAGATGTTTGGAAAATCTAGAATTTGATGTTGCTTAAAAAGCATTTCAATCTGCCAACAATATATCTATGGTTATGATGATATAAAGTTTTAAGCATGAAACTGAAAAGACTTTATTATTTGCATATGTAGCCATGATTTTGGGATAACATGATTTAGCATAAGATCTATTCTTAAAATCATCTTATAGATTAGGAGCTTTAGAATTAAGAAGTGATATCTAAGATTATGTGAATGCTTTATCTTTAGCTAAGAAAATAGCACCAGAATAAGAACCATTCATATGCAAAAGACTAGGAATCTAAATAGAAACATAAGGAAATAATCCAGAAGCAGTTAAAATGTATGAGATGGCTATGTTGGATGAGAAACTTCATGATTCTAAAACAGTTGAGATTCATAATTAATAATGTGTTGCTGGTATTGCTCGTTGTTCAATAAAAATGGGTGATATTTTAAGAGGATCAAGTCTTTCAAGACAAATTTCAGATCATTTAATTTTATAGGAAATTGCATTAGTGTGTGAGAATATGAAATTTCAAGTTGAAGCTGCTGAACTTTATGAATAAGCAGGTTGTATAGAGAAGGCAGCTACTATTTATATCACATAAAAGATGTTCAAATAGGCTGCACCTTTAATGAATAAAGTGAAATCTCCAAAGTTGTTGATTTTATATGCAAAGGCAAAAGAGAGTGAAGGAGCCTTTAAAGAAGCAGAGAATGTTTATGAGAAAGCTGAAGATTGGGAAAATGTTGTTAGGTTAAATTTAAATTAATTAAATAATATAGAAAGAGCAAAATTCATATTACGTAATAAATGTAAAACTGTGACACTTGCATTAATGGTTGCATAATATTGTGAAAGAAGAGGATCTAAAGCAGAAGCTGTTGAATTCTTGATTTTGGCAGAGAAAAAAGAGTAGGCGTTTGCTTTGGCTTAAAACTTCAATGAAATGGATTCTTATGTAGAACATATGAAGGCATTTTCATTAGAAGAACGTTTATAAGTTGCTTAATATTTTGAAGGCAAAAATTAATTAGATAAAGCTGCATTTCATTATGAGAAAGCATAGGATCCACTAAAAGCTTTAAGATTATATTAATAAGCAGGAGAAGAGTTTATTAATGATATGATAGATTTAGTTGCACGTAATAAATAGGATAATCTAATATAAAATTTATCAGATTATATTAATGGAGATACTGATGACATTCCTAAGGATCCCATTTATTCATTGAAATTATAAAAAGCTATTGGTAATTTATAAGCAGTTGGAAGGATTGCAATTACTATTGCAGCATCAGAATAGGAATGTGGTAAATATAAAGAAGCTCATCAATTTTTATATGAAACTTGTGATGACTTGAAATCTAGTGGAAATTAGATACCATTTGATTTATATTAAAAATTGATGACTTTACATTCATATACATTAGTTAAAAAGATTATGAAATTAGAAGAACATGAAGATTTAGCAAAATTATTAGATAGAGTATGTAAAAGTATTAGTTAATTTCCTAATGGTGCAACAAATATCTTAACAATGGCTGTAATAGAAGCCACAAAAGCTAATTATAAGTAATTATTTGAATTTAATTATAGATCATTAGCATATTAATGGGCTATTACGTTAATGAAATAAGAATATAGATCTTAGATTAATGAGAAATTTAAAACAAAAATAGAAAATATTGCAAGAAAACCAATAAAGGAAGAAATTCCAGATAAGAAAACACCTTGTCCATTTTGTGGAGTATAAATATATCTAAAAAGTATAGGAATTTGTATCTGAATTTTGTTTAGATTGTCCAAAATGTTCAAATAATATACCATTTTGTATTGCATCAGCAAAGTAATTAAATAGATAATCAATTTTAGACATATAGTAGCTGAACAATGTTGTTTCTGTCCTGAATGCAAATTTCCTGCTAATATCTAATACTTTAGGAGAATACTTGAAATTGAGCCTATTTGCCCACTTTGTCAAAAGTAAGTAAGACCTCAAGATTTAAAGGAAGTATGAAATATGATAGAAAATAATAGATTACAAAAGAAGAAGTACTTAAGTTAAAGAGGAAGGCTGTAGTTGATGAAAAAAAATAATGAAGATTATTATTATAAAGTTATTAAATTAATGTCTGATAGTAAAAATACTCCTCGAAATCATGGTAGATCAAAGACTAAAACAAGTATGATATCTTTTGAAATAGGTGAAAACTTATAAATATAATTTAAAAAACCATCAGTTGCAAATGAAAGATTGGTCGTTAATAAATTAGGTATGAAATTTGATCCTGTTTGTTGGAAGAAGAATCATGAAAAAGGAAAAATTCAATTTGTTTGTATTGTAAATCTTAGACATTATTAAAAAGGAATCTAATTGTAATGCTGATAGAAGATTGGCTTGTGCACATTGTATTATTGAAGAACATGATGAACATATTTCAAATAAGGTTACTGTTGAGTAATATTGTGATACTTTTGAAAATAATTTCAAGAGCTATCTTTTTTAAGTAATTTATAGAAAACTAAATAGGTAGCAAAATTAGAGGAATATTATAAAAAATGTAAAATGATGGATTTAATTGATTAAATAGATAAAGATATTAATACAGTTGTCGAAATTGTTAAATAATAACTAAAAGCTTTAAGAGATTACTATGTATAAGACATTTAATTACATGCTGAATAAAATAATTCCTCTTTATTTACATTTTATAATACAGAAAGATAAATTCTTTCTAAAATAAAGGATTATGCACACAAAAATCTATTTGAAATGACACCTGCTGAAATGGATCATAGTATGTTATTAATGGGTTAAAATCATTTGGATAAAATTCTAATCAAATTATCTGAATTCGATGATTAAACCTCAACTCTTTAAAGTACTATGAAATCTTAATGGAAATTAATATATGAATAATTAGAAGAATCATTAATTGATATTATAGCTTAAATTGGATAGAATAATCTAGATTTTATTTAACCAATAATTAAAGAGTCTTAATAAGAATAATATTAATCTACAAATTAATAATAAAATTTAGATATATAAAAATTAAATTTATAAAATGTTAAAACTTCTACTAAATAATAATAGATTAATTAATAATACTAATAATAATAATAGATTAATTAATAATAATAATAATAATAATAATAATAATAATAATAATAATAATAATAATAATAATAATAATAATAATAATAATAATAATAATAATAATAATAATAATAATAATAATAAAATAATTCACTATAAGCATATATAACTTAACAATTACCTCCTCAACCATAATAATATTCTTAGAATTCCTAATCTATAAAAAAAGAAGTTAGTAGACATAGTGGAAACACTGTACAATAATAATCAAGTAAATAATAGACAAGCAATTAACCATCATCTAGTAATTAGTAATTATCACATAAATAATTATAATCAAATAGCCCAAGAAATTCATCTGAAAATTAAAGTTTTAAATAGATTTAAGGTATATGTTAATATTAAGTGATTTCACCTTTAAAATGTGGAGTAAATACAGCTTCTTTTGGTAATTTAGGAAGTAGTAATTAGAAATCTCTTAAAAATATAACTCAAACTAACAATAATTAAGTGCCTATTCAATCATAAACAGAATAGAAAAATAATTCAAATGCTAAACCTAGTTCTCATATTAGGTAAACTAGTCCAAATGGTGTAAATTATTATTATTAAAGTGATGGTAAACAATATGAAAATAGAAAGAATATTAATCATGTTTAATCTTTAAATTCATCATCTTAATAATAATAATAATAATCATTTGAGAGAAGATTGTCAGCTCAAAAAGTCTAAAGTACTTAATTTCCCTGCAATTATAATAATATGAAATGCATTCATAATGAACTTATTAAAGCTAGTCCTATTTTTAGTTGCTGTAATTGGGTATATAATTAAATTTATATTTAAATTTAGGCATTTCCATGTTATGAATGTCATGACATGATTTCATCACATAAAGCACATATAACTGTTCCATCCTAAAGATTTTGTTAGAACTGTCATGAAATATTTTCTGTAAATTTAATGTCTACAGTAGATGTAAAATGTTATAAATGTTAATGAACAAAATTTATTATTATTAATAATTATCTAAACATACTTAAGATTTTATTATTATGCAACTAATTAATCATACTCTAAAAATTACTTTTTAGGATTTACTATAAATGTGAAAATTCATTTTTATTATGATTAATTTATTTTTATAATATCATATCTATAATAATTCATTTTTACATTAAGCAAAATGAGTTATTACTTAGAATTTATTGAAATCAAAATATAGAAATCCATAATATTGTCCTACCATTAATAAAGAGTGAACTTTTAGATCAGAATACTTCTTTGCATTCCTTTAAAGAGAAAATTCTAGTGCAATCTTCATTATTTGATTTTTCTATTTTCAACAAATGTTCTCTTATTGTGTTTTCAATTAATTTTTATTTATCTAAGTAGAGAATATTTTAAAATCTCTAATACATATTACAAAGTGATCAGGATACAAATTAATATTTTAGATACCTTTATATAATTCTAATCAATTATTGAAAACTAAACAGACATTATAATCAATAAGGATCTAATGATTTATTGAAAATCCATATGAATACACAATAAATAATTCATTTATCCATGAATCCTTTGCTTTATTCTTTAGTTCTATCGTATTATTTATCTATTTTTAATAATATAAAATAATGACCCATGGTATAATATTTTGTTTTATTTGATTAGTGCTTTATTTTGGTAAGACACTTGCCAATTTGCAAACTGAAAGTCTTCGAAATCAATAACAGATGTACAATTATCTAAAAAAGTTTTAGATTAACAAGAGTATGTTTCCCAGAAAATGTATTTTCTAGTGATCCAAAGAAATAGAATAAAGGTGGAGAACAATAGCTAACATTTATTAAAGTGGTTTGTTGCCAAAATATTATATTCTTACTTGATAGTATTTGATAATTCTTCAATTAGACAAATCTGAATTATGGGCATTTGGATCATCATAAGAAGGATAATTAGGAATCCGAATGAGTAGCCTTATGTATCCAGTAAACATATCATAAGTGTTAGACAATAAAATTAAATTAATGACTGCATCATAAAATTTTGTATCAGTACTTACAATAAAAAATCAATTATACATTTGGGGCAAGTATGAGGAACTAAATTTAGGAGATTACATTAAACCAAAGAAGATTGAATTCACAAAGTCACTTGATAGAAGGTATGAATTTAATTGTTCTGATATCACATACATTTTAAAATAACAATCAGTCTCTTTTATCAATGAAGAAATCTTACAATTACAATCAAACAATAACATATTATATATTTTGAGTAAAGAGCATTTAGATATTATCTCATAGCAACCACATATAATTGCATAAAAGTTTGTGGGTATAGCTTGCAATTAAAATCATGCATTGGCTTGGGATGTTGATGGAAGAGTATGGAGTTGGGGTTAATATATAGATGGCAAATTANTACATATTACAAAGTGATCAGGATACAAATTAATATTTTAGATACCTTTATATAATTCTAATCAATTATTGAAAACTAAACAGACATTATAATCAATAAGGATCTAATGATTTATTGAAAATCCATATGAATACACAATAAATAATTCATTTATCCATGAATCCTTTGCTTTATTCTTTAGTTCTATCGTATTATTTATCTATTTTTAATAATATAAAATAATGACCCATGGTATAATATTTTGTTTTATTTGATTAGTGCTTTATTTTGGTAAGACACTTGCCAATTTGCAAACTGAAAGTCTTCGAAATCAATAACAGATGTACAATTATCTAAAAAAGTTTTAGATTAACAAGAGTATGTTTCCCAGAAAATGTATTTTCTAGTGATCCAAAGAAATAGAATAAAGGTGGAGAACAATAGCTAACATTTATTAAAGTGGTTTGTTGCCAAAATATTATATTCTTACTTGATAGTATTTGATAATTCTTCAATTAGACAAATCTGAATTATGGGCATTTGGATCATCATAAGAAGGATAATTAGGAATCCGAATGAGTAGCCTTATGTATCCAGTAAACATATCATAAGTGTTAGACAATAAAATTAAATTAATGACTGCATCATAAAATTTTGTATCAGTACTTACAATAAAAAATCAATTATACATTTGGGGCAAGTATGAGGAACTAAATTTAGGAGATTACATTAAACCAAAGAAGATTGAATTCACAAAGTCACTTGATAGAAGGTATGAATTTAATTGTTCTGATATCACATACATTTTAAAATAACAATCAGTCTCTTTTATCAATGAAGAAATCTTACAATTACAATCAAACAATAACATATTATATATTTTGAGTAAAGAGCATTTAGATATTATCTCATAGCAACCACATATAATTGCATAAAAGTTTGTGGGTATAGCTTGCAATTAAAATCATGCATTGGCTTGGGATGTTGATGGAAGAGTATGGAGTTGGGGTTAATATATAGATGGCAAATTAGGTTACATGAGTTTTGAATAAACAGAATAAAACTATCCTAAAGTTATTGATACCTTCTAGAATAGAATTATATAATGTGCATGTGGGTTAAATTATAGTATAGCTTTGGATGTTAAAGGTGATATCTATGGATGGGGAAAGGGTCCTTTTAAAATGGAATTATTGAAAGCAACTATTCCAACTAAATTAATATAAAAGAATAAATCTTTTGTTAAAGTAGTTGCAGGTGATGAGCATTTTGGTGCTTTGGATATGATTGGTCAATTGTATGTATGGGGTTTAAATCATAAAAATTGTTTAGCTTAATTAGAAGAGGAGATTCTCACACCTACATTATTTTAATTGGCTGGAATAAAAATTATTGATGTAGCAATGGGCCCATTTTGTACAGTTTTAATTATACCAGCAGATCGTTTACAGAAATTGCCTAATCTAAATTTGGATTCATTTACTATACAATAAAAGAAATGTTTCCTTGAGGAAGCTAATCTTATTAGAGATTTTACTGAAAGAAGAAATAGGTAAACCTTATCATCTATGCTCACTCCAATTCAAACAAAAAATCTTATTTAAGATGATACAGAATTTGATAAGGCTAATGAATTAATACATTAAATGTAATTACATTTAGATTCTCCTCATTACAAACATACTTTTAATACTACTCATCATTCTCATTCCTTAATTAATAATTATAGTTCCCCTTATAAATCTCTGAAGTCCCCCATTTCTTTTGATAAAATTTAAAATAAATTAACTAAACTTGAACACAGTAATCCACTCTATTTACCAATTTTACCTCATTTGTAATATACTAAAGCATCCATTGATGAAGATGTAAATCTCGAAAATCTTATTAGAACAGATGATGATGAATTGAAATACAGATATATCTAATTAGTTAAGTAAAATAGTGAAGATTAAATATTAATGTAATTGTTGGATGATTAATTAAGTGAAAAACCTTAAAATGAACGTATCATTAATTAATAAACAATTAAAATTAAATAAAGGACAGAACCAAAAGAAATTAAATATAATGATAAATTTGATAGACTTGATCCTCATTTATTATCAAATGTAAGAAAAGAACTTGCTGATATCAGTAAAGATAGATGGAAATAATATTAAAAAAAAAAAAAAATTAAAGAGAATAAAATTAATTTTCTTAAAACTAAATTTTAAATGACAAAACTCGAATAAATATCAAAAGAAGAACAAATTGAATCCAATAGATTACAAGCAGTTGAAAAAAATATTAAGGCTTAATATACTGTTTTGAGAAAGGAAGAAAAATTGAAAACAAAATTGGAAGGGATTCAAGGTGAAACACATGAAAATCAATAAGATTTTTAAATTAAAAAAAGAGTCGAAATTAAAAAAGAAATAGCAAGATAATATGCATTATATGCATTATTAAAATATTTAAATTTTGAAAGTTTTTGTTAAATGTTTCAAGAAGCAGGTGAAAGAGGATTACAAAAAAAGAAATTAATGTTCTAAGCTAATAATAAAGCAAAAATTATACAAAAAGCTATTCGAAAAAGAAATATTATTAAAGTAATCAATAACAAGTTAGGATCTAAATCAAGGAAAATATTATTATCTTTTATTTTTAGAATAAGAATGTCAATTCGAATCAAAAAGAAAAGAATCATTTTTAGAAAAATTAATCTAAATTATTTAAAATCATCAATTTTTCTAAAAGTTCGAACAAATCTTAATGTAATGATTAAGGCTACTAAAAATATATAATAATTTTGTAGATATTTTAATCAGATGATGAAAATTTAATTAAGTTATTTAAATTATAAATGGGATGAATATATGAGATAAGAATTTAAAGGTATAATTATTGATAAAGAGAAAGAAGAATAAAAACTAAATCAATTACAAATTCTAAATGAAAAATAAATATAAATAATGAAATAATTATCATATCCTATAAAATCTCAAAAAGCTCTCTTAAAAGAAATTGTATTGTATAAAAAACCAAAATTAAAAATTGATATGTTAAGATATAATCTACTTAAGAAAATACCCAATAAAATTATTAATGAAGATGAGTAAAAAGAGAAGGAAATAAAATTAAATTATAATAATGTACTATTTCCTTATACAAAATATGTTGAAAATATTGTAATTCCATAAAATTTTAGAATAAGATTTGACTATTAAGAAATTTAACTTTTAAATGTTTTAGATAAAATTAATTTAGAAGAATCTAAATTAAAATTAGAAATTTTATAAAATTATTAGAAATTATAAATTAAGAATCACATCTAATAATGTATGAATGTAATATTTATTATATTAAGAATTAGTATTTCTAAGCACTTCTAGATTTTAAATAAAAGAACAAAGTCCTTATTGCAAATGAAAGAATGAAAATTATGTCAAAATTATCATCTGATGAAATTAAATAGATGAAATAAAAGGAAGAATAAGAATTTAGAATGATGATAGAAAAAAGAGAAATCAATATGAAAAGAAGTAAAATTGCATCTATTATATATTAGTTCGATTAAATGGTTCTTTGTCTAAAGAGAATATTTTCGATAAAATTAAATCATTTTCATCTGATAATTATCCATTCCAAATGCTTACTTATAAATTAGTTGTTTATCTAAGTCAAATAGAATAACCAAAATTATAAATAGAATTAACACATAAGGAATGGATTAGATTAATGAAAAATTATCATTCAGATTTTAAAATCAGATTATAATCTATAATGAGTGATGCCAGAAGTGCAGCTGCATATAAAGCAAGATAAATTAAAAGAGCTCCAACAATTTAATTAAAAAGATCCCCAACAATGGTATCAAAGTCAATTTAATCCAAAAAATAAATTGATTGAATTTGATAATTTTTTTAATGTATAACTCAATTTAGAGGTGCATATCCAGTGTCCTAATCTTCTTAATCCTCTTCTTAATCCTTTCTTTTTTTGTAGAAGAAAAATCCAAGTATACCTAACACAAGTGCAGCTCCAACAACAATTAGAGTTATCCACCAGGCTTTAGAACTTGTCTCTCCATCATCTCCACCATTATCTGGTTTAATACTCAATTTAATTTATTTAGAGACTTATCTGTAATCATTAGAAAAGGTTAAGGTTAAGGTTTAATTTTCAAGTTTGGCACTCTCTCCAAATCTTAGACTAATATCCTATCTGATTTCATATTGATATAAACCCTTAGTGACTTTGCTTGATATCAAAGAGGAATCCTAAAATATAAATAAAATTTACTTGTAAATAAAGAAGGAAATCAACTGGTTCTAGTTTTTGAACTCCTTGTGTAGTAAATGAAAATGAGCCATTTATGACAGATACAGCATTTTCTTTAATGTGATAAACACCAACAATAACTTTTGAATTATGCATATAGGCTACAACAACAGATTATTTATTAGCAGCAACAGTATTCAATGCTTTCCATGTTCCATATCTATTCAAAGCTACTTTAACATTAGTTTCTTATGTCAACTTATTTGATTAATTGTCTAAAATTGCAAATTAAAGATTGAAAACATAAGATGATGAGTTATCAGTAATAACTACTAATGTGATGCTCTTGATTTTATCTTTATTAGATTCTTCAATGATTTTATTAGAATAATAATGTGTATTATCATTAGCATATTATTTATGCTCATTCAACCAATTTTTAAGTAATAAATATTCCATAAATAAATATTTTGGTTCAAATGTATTCTTTTAAATACTGAAATCAATAAAAACTAAACCATTCACACTATCAGAAATAATGAATTAAACTGAAAGTGATTCCTCATCTGAATGAGTTAATGAATGTGAAAATGAAGATGGTCTAAATTATTTAGGTGCTTATGCTCCCATTTTTTATTGAATGAAATCATAATCAATAGTTAATAATATATTAGATGACCAAATTCCATCAATTTATACTAATTTTTGAATCGTAATATATCCATCATAATTTTCAGGATTTAATGAATCTGTATGAAGAATAACAACAACATCTTAAGCTAAAGCAACAATTTAAGTTGCAAATGGAGCTGAAATATAAGCATTCTCTCTTTAACATTTTTATTTATCATCACAACTAGCTACTTATATTTAATCTTCTACACCATTATTACAAAGTGAATAAATAGATTTATCAAAAGTTGTTAATCTGAAACAATCATATTCTTTAGGTAAATCATCTTTAAAAAGTGGTACACTTTCAACTAATTTGTTGTCTTTCATTAAAAGTATATTATTCATTGCTTAAAATACAACATTCTTTTAGAAAGCTGAAGCATCTTTGAATTAATAATTCTTAAGTGCCATATTTTAAGTCTCTTAGAGATATGATTATAAGACAATATCATTAGTTTTTTCTTATTTTAATGTACAATAAGCCTACTATCCACTAATCCATCCATTTGATAAACCAATAGTAGTTGAATTTAATTTAGCTTCAATTTCAATTTATTAAGTTGCCTTTGTATCATCAACAATTAAATTAGTGAATGTGTTGATTACTTTGACCTTTTAAGTAAATGGAACTATATTGTTATTTTTTGAATCAGCATTCTTAACATTAATAGAAATTTCATAGTCAGTAATATATTTTTGTTTCTATTTGTTAGGAATAAGAATCAATTCTGGATCAAGTACAATATATTCTAATTATTAAACTGCCTCACTATTAGCTAATGCAATTATATATGCTGATCCTTTTGGATCTGATCCACTTGCAGATAATTTAAATGTATCCTCTACCTTACAATTAATTTTAACAGCCAAATAAAATGTGTCATGTTGTAATTGATCTGGTTTGAAAATATTCAAATATACATTATCATCTTTTGTAGTTCTGATTACTAAAATACCTGTTTTAATATGAGAAGAAACACTTAAAGGCATTGTAATTTAATATCCATATAATTGTACAGTCTTCTATTTGAAAACAGAGTTAATATTTTCATAATTGTATTCACTCAATTCTTGGTTATTAACAAAGAAGAATGAATTAGTTGATTAAGCTATGTATAATTAGTTGTCTTTTGTGTAGTCCATCTTGGATCCATATATAAATTCTTAATTGCTATAATTGATAATCACAACATTATTTTCATTTTGAACAAATATAACATTTTATCTTAACACTCTATTTCCATATAATTTAATAGGTTTCCAGTCTCCTTAAAATCCAATCAAGTTTTCTCCTGTAATTTAATTTATTAATGTAAACTTCTCAGTAGAATATGATGATAATACTCCACTTTCCTATATTACAAATAGAAATTCTCCTTGATTCTAGAATGCTACTACTTTTAATTCATCTTTCTCTTCATTTTCATTTAATTTAATTTTTCCATATTCAATAGTTGTAAAAAGTGTAATTTTATAGAATTTAATTATAAATGATGTATCCAATATAATGAAATGAACTATATTTTCAGAGTCTTACCAAATATCGAAAATTTAATCAGATAATTATACCTAAACTTACAAATTTCCTATATCTTTACACTCATATTTTACATGATCAACCAATTCACAAGTTTAAATTAAAACTTTCTTATCTTCTTATTAGAAAACTTAGAATAAGGTTTCTTAATTGTTGCCAACTAATGATGCCTAATATAATGGTTTCTTTAACCATTTATTTACTTGAATTGTTCTTTAATGTGCAATTTGAGCAAATACATCTAAATCTGGTTCTGCATTTACACTTAAAAATTGATTTTTATTTAATTCAATTGGTAATTTTGGTTGAACAATTTCATAAATCAAATTAGGACCTGATACTAAATTTCCTAACTTAATTTATTCATCATTCTCATCTAAAATATTAGGGAAAGGTGTTTCAGTATCATCCTTCTTATAAATAGTCTCACTATTACTTGCTATTACTAGATAATAAAGTCTAGAATAACAGAGTTAGTTATGTTAAGATTTGGCTTAAATTGTCACAGCTTTGAAATTAGTACTTGCTTATGCATTTCCATTGAATTTTAATTATCCCAAACTAAAGGTCCAAGCAGATGAAGATGTTAATGAAACAGTTACAATTTCTTAACTATTTGGATTTATGATTCCTGCTCCATTAGACAAATTTACAATATCAATAAGACTACTATTATTATCATCAAAGTGGTATATGTAAAGATTTCCTTAATTCTTTGTAAACACATATTTTCCACTTAATCTAATAGATTAAGGATATGACACACTAGCAAAAGGAAGATCTTATATTTTAATAATAATTCCTTCTTAATTAATCACTCCATAGAAATTAAAACCTTTTATTACAAAAATTTCCTAGTTATTACTAAGTATAGCTCTATCAAATGCAAAAAATTAGCCAAAATTTAAATTCATTGCTTTAGAAAATTTCCAATCAGTATCAAAATAAACAACAAAAATTCCTAACTTAGCATCTAATAAATAAATTTATCCATTTAATCCAATATTGAAATCAATAATATTCAATTCATCTATTTATTTTCCAGATATTTTAGATAAAACACCTTTATCTAATGTTCCTTTACTAGCTAACCCATCGGCTTAAAGTTAAAACAATTCAACAAATGAATTTTAAGCTAATTATCCTTCGTTTGTGATAGATAAAGAAACTCTTACAACATACTAATCATCCTTGATTCTATATTATCCTAAAGCTCTTTTCATTAAAGTATTTTCAATAGTAATTATTCGTTTTTCATCAGTTCCGTTGATAAATAAGAAGAACTTATTATCTTTAAGTTAACAATCAACAACAAAAATAGTAGTAGATAATTATAAGAAATCTTAGCAATCTAAATTGTCTTCTGTGGTTTTAATATTAAGAACTTAATTAAATGATGGTGCAACATTAATTGCAGGACTATTATAATAAAAATAAATTACGTATTTGTATAGAAGATTGAATATTTGAATCCATCTTTATTTAAAAATCCAAATTAATTAGACCAGGCTCTATTCTAAGTCAATATAGCTTTAGCAGATAAAATTTATGTTGCAACTAATTTATTTATATTTTTATATAATTACCTTATTTATGATCTTTTGAATCTCCTATTTAAGTTAATGGTTAAACTACTGAAAATTCAGCTTAGTCTACACTATATTTTAGAGAAACACCATCAAAGAAGTTTTAGGTTAATGCCCATTACATAACTTCTCCTTGGGATGTGTAAATCTTTAGATCTGTCATCTTAGTTTGACATTCATCCTTATCTACAGGATTAATGGATAAATTAACTGTTCTGACTACTCTTCTAAAATCATTCTAAAATGTCAATGTCAACTTTTGAGAATGTAAATTTTTTGGTTCTCCGAATTTTAATATTTGCTGATATCTGACTAAATTTTAATAGACTCCAGCCTTTGAAGTACTTGTCAAGAATATACTATCTGTATTATAAAGTAAGAAATCTTGAGGGGTGATTTATTATTAAAAGTATGCAAATGTATGAGATCCTTATATTGTTTAAACTGCAGAATTTTCTTAATCGGTTGGGATCTTATAAACTCCTATAATCACCTCTAAGTTGTTAACATAGGGAATTGCTATTGAAGATGATGAAGCTGAAACATAGTTCAATGCCTTGAAATTACCATATCTATTTAATGTAACAATAGTTCTTATTGAACTTAGTTTAGATGAAACATTAGCTTAAATTGCAAAAACTAATTCAAAAACAAATGATGATGAAATATCAGTTACAAGAACTAATCTTACTGTTTTTTTAGTAGGATATTCAACTTATTAAGTTATTATTTAAGCTTAATAATAATGAGTAGCATCAGTTGCATATTAATCAATATTTAGCCAATCTTTCAACAATTAGTATTCTGAAAATTGATACTTCACTTCTGAAGTTGTCTTTGAAAGTGTTAAATCAATAAACAATAAACCATTTACACTATCAGTAATAATCAATTACAAATAAAAGACAGATACATTATTTCCTGTTGGTGAATGTGAAAATGAAGATGGTCTAAATTATTTAGGTGCTTATGCTCCCATTTTTTATTGAATGAAATCATAATCAATAGTTAATAATATATTAGATGACCAAATTCCATCAATTTATACTAATTTTTGAATTGTAATATATCCATCATAATTTTCAGGATTTAATGAATCTGTATGAAGAATAACAACAACATCTTAAGCTAAAGCAACAATTTAAGTTGCAAATGGTGCTGAAATATAAGCATTCTCTCTTTAACATTTTTATTTATCATCACAACTAGCTACTTATATTTAATCTTCTACACCATTATTACAAAGTGAATAAAGTCTTGTGGTATCGGCTTCTAATCTGTAACATTTATATTATTCAGATAATTTTGGTAATAAAGGTTGAGCATTTTTCAAGTCATCTCCCTTAAATGACAAAACAGTATTTGAAGCTTATAAAAATGTTACAGCTTATGGTTTAGCTACATCAAATATGGTGTAATCCATTAAAACTGGCTATTCTTAACTTACAAAAGGTAAAAGTGTTATATCATCATTAATTGCCTACAATGATAATTCTGTACTTATTATTTGACCTCCAATCCAATCAGATCTAATGGCTACTTCAGTTTTACCATCAGTTTCATTAATATCAATTGAATTTAAATATTCTTCATCATTAACAATCAAATTAGTGAATGTATTTGCTACTTTTACATTTTATTCATAATTTATTTTTTAAGTTTAATCATCCCCATTCATTATAGCCATTAAAATTTAAAAGTTTGTAACAAATTTCTAAAGTTTTTTGGTTGGTATAATTATTAATTCAGGATTTAATAAAATAAAGTTTAATTATTGAATCTTCTATCCATTTGCAAAAGTGATTATATATAAAGAACCTCCTAAAGATAATTAAATTTGATCATCTTATTTAATACCATTTAATTTAAATGCTAAATAGAATGTATCATGTTATGTTAAAGATGGTCTAAATATATTTAAATAAATATCTTATGCTTTAGTAGTTTTAATGATTAAATTACCAGTTGATAATTAAGATGTAACAGTTAATGGATTAACAATAGTATATCCAAATAATTCAACTGTTTTTGATTTGAAAATATTCAATAAGTTTTAATAATTATATTCCAATATTTCTTTATTATTAACTAAAAAGAATGAATCTTTTGCAGCTGAAATATATATTTCATTATTTTAAGTATATTCAATTAATTTTATGAAAATAAATTCTGTATTGATGTAATTAATTAAGACAATATTATTTTCATTTTGAACAAATACAATATTTGATTTTAACATTCTATTACCATATAATTTCAAAGGTTTCCATTATCCATTAAATCCAATTAAATCATTACCAGTTATACTATTAACAAAGCTAAATTATTCACTTGTATAACTACGTAACACTCCATTCTTTTACAAAATAAATAGATATTATCCTTAATTTAATATACTTACTATTTATTAACCTTCTTATTCTGTAAATTAAATTTATTTATCTTCAATAACAACACCATCAGGAGCCAAATAAGCTGTTACTTTATATGAAGATTAAATAGTAATAAATCTTACAATGTTATCGGTATCTTACCATATGCTGAATAATTAATCAGATACTCTTTCTTAAAGTTAAACATTTCCATAATCTCTGCAAACATATTTAATGTGATCAGTCAAAACACAAGATTAAATTGTTAATAACTTATCCTAAGTCTAGAAGATTTAGAATAAGGTTTCTCTATCATTTCCAACTAATTCAGTACTATATAAAGGTGTTTTAGGCCAATTAGTAACTTATATTTCTCTGTTTTATACAACTTATGCAGTGAAATCAAGTGGCATTTTTGGTAATGATAAGATGTATTCAAGATTTGGACCTGAAATAAGGTTGCCTAATTAGAATTATTCAAATATTTCATCAAAGACTTATGGGAATGGTTAATCAGATTTATTTTTCTTGATTGGAGCTTTACTGCTACTTTCAATTACTTGATATTAAATCTTGGTGGAGCAAGTTATTTTATGTTATGAAGTGGCTTTAATAGTTAAGTCTTAGAATGCTTAAGATGCTTGATTAACTCCATTGAATTTTAGTGATCCTAAGCTTATGTTCCATCTTGCTGATGATTGAAGAGAAAGAGTTACGATTTCTTAAATAAATGGATTGATAATAGCAGCACCATTAGTTGAATCAATTATGTCAATCAAACCAGTATTAATATCATCAGAATGATAAACATATAATATAGCTTAATTCTTAACAAAAATGAAATTGGAACTTGCTGAAATAGATTAGGGATATGTGATGGAATTGAATTACAAATCTTAAACCTTTTTAGTTTTTCCTTCAGAATCAATTATAATGTAGTAATTATATCCTTAAATTACAAATGCTTCTTCTTGATTTTTAAGTATAGTTCTATCAAATGCAAATGATTGTCCAAATTTAAATGTGATCAAATTTTTGAATCTCCATTCAGTATCAAAATTAACAACAAAGATTCCTATCTTAGCATCTAATAAATAAATTAATCCATTTAATCCAACCTTGAAATCTACAATATTCAATTCATTTATTTATTTTCCAGATATATTAGATAATTTAGCTTTATCTAATGTTTACATAGCTTATAATGAACCATTAGCATATTAAAATAATTCAACAAATGAATCATTTGTTAATTAACCTTCAGTTGTAAAAGAGAATGTCACTCTTAAGACAAATTACTAATCATTAATTTTGTAGGCACCTAAAGCTCTATTTACTTAAGTATTTGTAATTGTAGTTGTTTATGTTTCATCAGTATCCTTAATCAATAAAAAGAATTTATTATTTTGGATTTAGCAATCAACAACAAAAGTAGTAGTAGATAATTATACAAAATCTAAGCAATTAAGATTTGCATCAGTCTTTTTAATATTAAGAACTTAATTAAATGATGGAGCAGCATTAATTGCAGGACTATTATAATAAAAATAAATTACGTATTTGTATAGAAAATTGAATAAGTGGACCCCTATTTATTTAAAAATCCAAATTAATTAGACCAGGCTCTATTTTAAGTCAACATAGCTTTAGCAGATACAATTGATGTTGCAACTAATTTATTTATATTTTTATATAATTACCTTATTTATGATCTTTTGAATTTCCTATTTATGAAGTTGGTTATATTATTGTAAAATCATTAGTATCATCTTAAACGTATTTTAAAGAAACACCTTCAAAAATATTTTAGGATAAATTCCATGTCAAAATTTCACCAGTAGATGGATAAATTTGAAGATTTGTAATCTTTGCAATACATTCATTATTATCTACATCTTACACAATTAATTTGAATTTTAATGTTTCCTCAGAAAAGTCATTTTTTGCAATGAGTGTGATTTCTTAGCTTTTTAAAGTTTTATCTTAGTTTTTCAATATTAATAATGGAGATTTATAAATTCCATAACTTTATAGTGGTCCTTATAATTAAGATACAAAAAGAATTTTGTCATTCTTGGAGAAAAATACAGCCAGATTTAATGGACTTAGCCATTGACCTTATTCATAAAAAACTCTATAAGTTCCAACACTAATTGTTGGAACAACTGCAGAAGAATGATTTTCTGTAAGAATATCTATATTATACACAGCAACAACAATTTAATTTTATTATTTGTATGGTATAGCTAGTGTTAAATAATTATTCTGAATGGCTAACTTGTTCATAGGAACCCAATCTCCATACCTTACTATGATAGCAGATAAAGCTTTAGTAGTAAGTACTGTATTAAAAGTAGGCTAACCCTTGAATATCAATTTTAATCCATATTGTGAAGCATCAGAAGTCAAAATAATGAGATAGACTCTCACTTCGTCTGAACTCCAATCAAAAGTTGGTTCCCAAATGAATTAAAATGATAAGAATTTAGTTGTTGCAAGGGTGTATTGACCTACTTATTTATTTAAAAAATCATGAAGATTGAGGGTTTCTATTGATAAGAATTAATATGAAGGTAAGTCTGAAAATGAAAAATCTATAAAAATGAAACCACTATTAGAATCACTGATTAACAATTTATAAGAGTATTTATTATTCTATTAATATTTTTGTTTTACAACTGAAAAATCAGCTGGTCTAAAATCTTGTAAAGGAGTAGTTAATTTTGAATTAAGATAATTTGTATCAATGACTTCAATGATTTCTAATCTCCAATCTTCTAATCCCATAACAATTCTATAAAGAACTATTTTTCCATCTTAAAATAATTCAGGATTATTGGTATCAGTATGTAAAACAACTAAAAGTTCATTAGATACTACTTGAATTTTTGAAGCTGTTCCAAGTTTGAACTTCTCACCTAATGGAGAACAACCAGTGATAGAAAAACATCCAGTAGCATAAACTGTGAATTCAGTTCCATCATTACACAATGAGTAAACAACCATTTTGTCTTCAGAAACAGTAGCTTAATAACATTGATATTAAAAGTTAGGTAAATCAAAATCATAGACAGATGCTAATGTATTGTCAGGATTTACAAATATCAATCCTGTAGTTGCTTACATAATATTAAAATTTTCATTATATTTGATTTAATCTCTAATTTCATATCCATTAAATATTTTTGGGTTGATTAGATCAAAAGTACTTTACAATTCTATATTGGTTTCGCATTAATTACAATCAACTTCAAAATTTCCAATTTAACCAGAATACCAATCTTTACCTAAATCAAAAGTTTTAGAATCATCAGTTGATAATATCTATATACCTGATTATGAAAAAGGGAAGGCATTTTAATTCAATTTAATATTGGTTAAAGAAGAAATGGTATTAACTTATTAAGCGATATCAACTGTATTAAATTTTTCAGGTTTACCTTAGAAATTATAATTTCTGATTTAGAAATCTAATTGATATTTATTTGAATAAACATCTTATTAAATAATAGAATTAATAGTCATAGTTGTTTGATCATAAACTGCAAAAAGTGATTGTTCTCCTTCAACATTTAAGTATAAATAAGTTTAATGTAATCCATTGGCAGCAATTAAAATTGATTTTGAATCAGGAATAACAGTATCAGCAATATCCCAAGCTTATACTAAAGCCTCATGTTGAGGAGTGTTAGGTTTGAATACAATAACAAATGATTTACTACAATATAAGCAGACTCCTCTGACAAACATATGACCAGTTTCTTCACTAAAATCAACATTCAATGGAGTAGATATATCATACCAATATAAGTATAAATTCTTTTACAAATACACATTATTGATATCTGCAAAATTGTATTCATAAATTTTAGCATCTTTAACAGTATCAGCTGATTTTCCTTGAACAACAAAAAATGTTTCTTATCCTATAGCTATTGAATAATCTAAATTTGGAGTAATTTAAATTGTTTTAATGAATGAAAATAAACCATAATCTGTATCTAAAATTAAAATATGATTTTTATGTAAAATGAATACAATATTTGGATGTAATTTTTTATTTGTGAATAATGCTTTTGGTTCCCAATCTTCATTATAACCATATTAAGAAAATGAATTCTTGTTTAAAGTTGTGAGTACAAAGAGTTCAGGTCTATAAGTTAAATATGTTAGGATATCATTATTAGCTATGTGAACCAATAGATAATCTCCACAATTTAAAATACTTTAAATCTTATTAGCTGTATCTGTAGGATCTAATTGTATTATTTTAACTGGAGTTATTACACCATCGTGTATTGATCGAATAATAATATTGTACTCAGCATGAACATACATGAAATACATTATACCATGTTTGATCCAAATTGAAAAGTTTTATTTATTAATTTTTGTTGTAATTTTTAAATCATCAATAAAGACTTCACAGAATGTAGCATCATTATATATGGAATCATGAACACAACTTAAGATTTTAATTTACTAATTTTCAGTTTATAAAACTTAATAGAATTAAGTATGGTCTTCAGATGATACAATCTCTGCATAAATTACATTTGTAGGTTATTCTTAATTTAAAGTTAATTCAACTCTTGATCTAATTGTAGCTGTAATTTCTGTAGCTTCTAATTAAACTGGTTTAAGTAATCTATATTATAGATTTGGTCCAGAAGCTAATTTTTTCAAAATAGATTGAGTTTAACCTTCTGCAATAGTATTTGGAAGAGGCATAGGTTAATCAAATAATTAATAAATCCAATTTTCATTATCTTCAATAATTTAATATGAAAGGAAAACTGTGCATTCCTATTTATTGGAAGCTTTTGCCTTTATAGAAACTACTTTCTTCTCTTATATTTTATCACTTCCATAATATGCCAAATAACCATTAGAAATAGTATATCTATAAGAATTTCTAGTACTAATTTGGATAACATCTGGCTCTTATGGATTTACCAATAAAATATCAGTTTAAGGTATGTCTAATTTATAATTGAGATAGATTTTATCAGTATCAACATCAAGTTTATAAAAGAAAGCCTATTTTTCATTTCTTACAATGATATTATCTTATGATATTTTAATAGTTGCTGGATAATCCAATTATAAAAATGGAAGATCATGGACATATGATTTTTCAGCATCAAAAATAGCAAAGAAATTATATCCAAGAACTGCAACAATACCAAGTTCTGAACCATCCTTTTTATGTTCATAATCAATATCAAAAGCAAATGATCTACCTAATTAAAAGTCAGCTTATGCAAATAATTCCCATTTTCCAGTTGGTTAAAATCTGACTACAAAGAGACCATATTGGGCATCTAATAAGAAAATAAATCCATTAAATGAAATTTCGAAGTCCACAATTGAAAATTCAAAATCAGGTTTTCCTAATAAAAATGCCATAGTAACATTGTCTAAAATATAATTTCTAGGTAAAGGTTAATAATTGTCACTCAATGCATAAACTTAGACAATTGAATTTCCAGAAAGTTATTAATTTGGATCTAATGAATAAGTAGGTGTAACTCTAACAATATAAGTAGTTTCTTTTCCTAATGCACTTGTTGAGTAGAACAAACCTATACGTCTTTAATTGTATATTTTGACAGATGCTTCATCATCAAACTATGTTACTTATTTTGTTTATTTTGAGTAAATATAGAATACATCAATTTATTTTTTGATTTATTTCTCTAATACTTCCTTTTGACAATCTATAATAAATTTATCGTTATCAATGTATTCTACATCATAACATTATAGACTATCTGTCACAGTTGCAATTTTCACTTTATTTTTGAAATCTGGAGTTGGTAATTTATCTAAGGAAGTTCTAATTTCTAAATTGATAAATACCCTTCAGAAAAATAAATGGACACATCATTTGCATTTTAATCCAAGAATACAAATGAATTCAACCAAGATTACATTTTTTTTGTATGATATGGTTTTGCTGCTCTGATGTTAGATGCGGCTAATTAAATAAAATGTGAATATACTTATTATATGACTTGAGCTGCCTCCTGTATTTGCAACTGGATTAATTATTTTAAAATATGTGTCTTATAAGTCATATGTAAGATCTTCTCCATCAAATAGATTATCATGTAGATTAATTTACAATTTTTCACCTTTTGTTGGAAACAGTTATAATTGCTCCACTTTTGAAGCTAAAAATATAAAGATGTTTTATTACAGCATCCTGTTGACTTGGTATTCACAGTCAAAAGACAAATTAAGAATACTATCAGCGATGATGTAATCTTTTATTTCATTAATTAAATTAATTTATTAAATGGATATAGATTAGGCATTTTAAATTACATTTTTTTTATTATTTTATATTAATATTTCATACTAATTGACCTTCTTCTTCTTAATTTGGGTCTTTTTATTTATAATAACAAAAACCCATTAAGGCTAGACAAACAAGACTACCAAGCACAATTAATACTATCCAAACTGCTCCTAAGCCTTTACTAGAATCATCATCATTATTTGGTATGATTTCTAATTCAATTTTATATTCAGCCTTTGAGAAATCATTTTCAAAAGTCAAACTCAAATTTTAGCTCTTTAAATTTTAAGGCTCCTTTATCTCAATTGAATTATTTTTATTCAATTTGTATTTAATTAATCCCTTTTCATTTGGATTACCACTAAAGAAATAGTTTTCCTTAAAAATAAATATAAAATAATTACTGATAATAACATTAAAAAGTTTAATGGACTTAAATCTTCTTATTTAGATACTACGTATTTATATCCTCCAGATGTTACTAAATATGGACTATCATTAAGTATTTTATATATGCCCACAGTCACTTATTTTTCTTAGTAATAAGCAACTCCTATTGATGAAGAATCAACTGCCAAATAATTGAGAACTTTCCAATCATTATATTTAATGAATGTTCTTATTATATCTGATTATTGATTTTCAAACTTCATTTTATCCTTAATATATTTAAATTTCATCTTAATCTAGAATGAACCTGAATCTGAAGTTAAAATTACTACATCAATTGTTAAGATATCTTTATCAAATGCTTAAGACATTATCTATGTTGATAAAAATAGAGTCTAATCTGTAATTTACTGATTCAACAATTTCTTAAGTGAAATTGAACTTATTCCTGAAGAATAGATATCCTCTTAGAATAATACCAAATTATTAAACATCAATTCATCAATACAATTTGTTACCAATAATAAATAAATATAAGTATCCTTATTGATTTCAACTCCAACTCCTGTCATACTTGAAGGTCTATAATTAGTTGCATTATTATTAATATTATTTTTTATGTATTCCAAATTCATTACCATTACTTCTTTTGATACATGGAAACCATTATTACTTATAATTTGATATATTCTATACTCTCCATCCTAATCTTATGGATTTAATGGATTATAGAATAAAACAATAATGAAATTATCATAAGGAGCTAATACCTAATGTCCATTTGGTATTGAAATATAAGAATTAATCAATTAACATTTTTTGTTTATACAATTAGTCAGCACCAATTCATTCTCAACTCCATTATTACATATAGAATAAAATCTATCTTTATAATTGTCTACTCTAAAACAATTATATTAATCAGGAAGTGTATATTCTGCTGGTACATATGATAGTTCTTCACCCTAATTTGTACCAATTAGTAAAGTATTCTTAGCTTGTAAATACACTGTAAATTATTCGGGATTTTTCTTATCCTTAGAATACCCATAATTTATATGATAATCCATTTTTTTAGAATTATTGATTTGTTAAATCATAGATTTTAAGATAATGTTATCTTTTGTATCATTTTATTTTTTAAGGGTTGTGAAAATATTCTATCCTTAAGCAGATTCAAATGGAAATTCAACTGTATTTGTTGAATTAATCTTAATACTAGAATTTGAATTTTTGACACTCAAAGTTGAAAATGAATTTACAATTCTTACATTTTATTCAAATATAAGTTAATTACTCTATTCATCTTGATTTTTCACAATTACAGCCAACTTTACAAGTTTATAGTAATTTTTATCATCATATTTTGGATCAAATACTAACAATGGAGATTATTCAATTATATCAATTGTTTGATTATATGCATGATTAATACTAAGTATCATTTACTCATCATCTGCTATAGATATTGTAAATTTAAGAGTATCTTTAAAACCATTTAATAAATATGCTAAATAGAATGTTTCATGTTATGTTAATGATGGTCTAAATATATTTAAATAAATATCTTATGCTTTAGTAGTTTTAATGATTAAATTACCAGTTGATAATTAAGATGTAACAGTTAATGGAATATCAATAGTATATCCAAATAATTCAACTGTTTTTGATTTGAAAATATTCAATAAGTTTTAATAATTATATTCTAATATTTCTTAATTATTAACTAAAAAGAATGAATCTTTTGCAGCTGAAATATATATTTAATTATATTAAGTATATTCAATTAATTTTATGAATATAAATTCTGATTTGATGTAATTAAGTAAGACAATTTTATCTTCATATTATATAAATACAATATTTGATTTTAATATTCTATTACCATATAATTTCAAAGGTTCCCATGATCCATTAAATCCAATTAAATCATTACTATTTATACTATTAACAAAGCTAAATTATTCACTTGTATAACTAAGTAATACTCCATTCTTTTACAAAATAAATAGATATTAACCTTAATTTAATATACTTACTATTTATTAACCTTCCTCTTGAGGGAATGTTATTTTTTCAACAGATTATTGCCCAAATATAGTAAATTTATAAATATTAATTTGATATTCATTGATTAGAGTTACAAATTTTATATAAAGAGCTCCTGCATCCCACATATTGAATACTTAATCATTTAATTCTACTTTAATATCATTTATAGTAGAAATTTATTTAAATTCGTAAGTATCTGAATCAGAAATAGTAGAATATTGAATAATTAATTCCTTACTTTACAATTAAAATGCTGTGATGATAAAGTTTGATTGCTTTTAGACAATAGAAGCCTAATATATAATATTTTAGGGCTAGCCTTTTGTTTAATATTGTCTCTTCTATATAATTCTAATTTAATCTTATTATTCTTATTCTTTGATTAAACTATTATTATTTTCAGACATTTCATATACTACTTAATATTTTTGATTTGGACCTAAAGTCAATTCTCCCAAATCGATAATAGTGTTTTCATCTACAACAGGTTGGAAAGGTGTTTCTGATTCAGTTTTCTTATAGATTTTTGTATCATCACTCTTAATAATAGAATATTTAATATTTGATTGGCATTATTAATTATTTAATGATTTAGCAATTATTTTTACTTCTCCATCCTTAATTTTACCAGATTTAAATTCATATTTCAAAGCACCTTAACTAAAGAAGAATAAATTTGATTCTTTCTAACCAATAGCTATAAATTCTTCTTTTTTTTTATCAACAGAAAATCCTCCTGTTATTAATTATTTATCTAATAAAGTAATTGATTAATCATTGAAACCATAAATATATACAGCATCATTATGTGGAATAAAAATATTCCTTTAACTTAATGATATTTATTATGGATAGGTTGAAGTGAAATAATCTAAATCTCTTACTTTAATAATTTCTTTATTTTCCAATAAGAAAAAGTAATTGTAACTTAATAATACTATATGTTAAACAATCTATCCTTTTTCATTAATAAAATCATCTATGTCAAAAGCTACAAATTATTACAGATTAAAATTAATATGATCTAAGAGTTTCCAATCTTTAGTCTTATAATCGAATTACAATGATATTATTCCTAATTTTTAGTCTAATAAATAGAGAATGGCATCATCATAGAAATGTTCATGATTAAAAACCTTATAATCAACCAACATAAAATCTATCTTATCTTTTTTCAACAATTTAGCTAACATAGCATTATCAATTATAGATAATAAGACTATATTTTGACCATCTAAATAGAAGAGTTCTATTAATGAAACATTGCCAACAGAACCATCTTCTGTATTCGAAAAAGCAGGTGTTATTCTCAAATAAAAATTAGAACCTATATAAGGCAATCTATTGAACCATCTCAATTTATTAGTTGTAAACTCTGATTATATTGTGGATATAGCTTTGATTGTCTTTGCCTTAATGATGTAGATAATTTTTTGTTGATCTAATTAACAATCAATTAAGAAATTATCTGATGATTCTGAATCGACATAATCAAAATCAAAGCATTTTGTTGTTGGTGCTTCTGGATCTACATAAACTACTTCAGAGAAATTAGGTGCTTCATTCTACTGAGCTGCAACTTTTGTGTAATATAAACCATTAGTAGCTGTACTATAGTCTATGAATGCGAAATGACCATTCCATTCACTTAGTATCCATTATGATTTGATTGCTTATACTTTTCCAATTACTAAATATAAAAACTTTATATTATACCTTATGTACAATGTTATGATGAATTAATTTATATGATAGGTTGAATGATAGTAAAATCTTAATTATCTTCAATGCTATATTTCAAACCAACTCCTTCAAATATTCCATTTGATAATTGCCATTACATAATCTCAGTAGTAGAAGGATAAATCTAAATATTGGTTATTTTGGTCTGACATTCATTTAAATCTATTGGTCTGACTTCTAATTTGAATTTTGTCTTTTCAATATTGAAATCATTTTGAAGAATAACTGTAATTGTTTAGTTTTTCAAATCTCCATCTTTATTATTGAAAGTGATCATTGGAGAATCTAATACTGAATAGCTTTTTAATGGACCTTATAATTCACTTGCAAAAAGCAATTTCTCTTATGAAAGATCAAAGAATAAGGCCATATTCAATGGAGATATGTATTATCCTTAAATATATTCTAAGTATGTTCCACTAATAATAGTTGCAGGAATGGAAGCAGATTTCTTATATAGACCTATAAGTAGAGAATTATCATTGAAATAAGGGATGGCAATATAGTTTCCATTTGTAGCAATTTTATTAATGGATGGCCAATTTGAATATCTATTTAATACAAAATCTAATTATTTTGAATCAATTTTAGTAGATAATTAATTAAGTGACTTTTTAAAATTAAATGTAATTCCATAATGTGCTGCATTATTTGTTTAGATTAATAATTAAAACTGAATAGATTATTGAATTACATTATATGTTGGATTTTCAGTTAATCTTATTTATAAAAAGTGAGTATTCTAAAATGCATATTGATTAACTTCATAATTTAAATAATTGTATAAATCGAATGATTCAACAGATTAAAATTAATATCTTAAATTATTTAAAGTAAAATCATAGAATACAATTCCATTCTTTGAATTACTAATAATCATTTTATATACTGTTTAATCTTAATTTGAATATTGTTTAATTACAATAAAATCACTAGGTCTAAAGTATTCTAAAGGTTTTTCTAATTAAGAATTTAAAGTTTATGTTGCAATCACATCTAAAACTTCCAAATTCCAAGTTGTTAATCCCTTCTTCAATTAATAAATAACAATTCTACCATCAATTTCACTATATTAGAAATTATCTGTATGTAAAACAACCATTATATCATTATCAATTAATTGTATTTTTGAAGCTTGCTCTAATTTATATTTCTCACCTAATGGAGAACATCCAGTAACTGAAATACATCCAGTGACATAAATGGAAAATTAACCTTTATCTTCACAAAGTGTATAAATAAGAAGTTTATCTGCAGATACTTATGCTTAGTAACATCTATAAGTAGGAGATGGTAAATCAAAATGATACGAAGCTTAAAAGGTATTATCAAGTGATGTAAATATTAAACCTTTTGTGGCAACAAATATATTAGTATTATCATTATATTTAATCAAGTCTCTAATTTCAAATCCATTGAAAAATTTAGGATTATTTATTTCCAAAATATTTTATATTAATACATGATATTCACATTGTTCACATTCTAAATCAATTCCAATTAATTAACCAGAGAACCATTATGTACCCAATTCAACATTTTTTTATTAAACATTAGAATTCATAATCACACCAGATTTTGATAATTCAAACTTAGAATTATCTATTTGAATAGATGATTAAGTATTAATGAATTAAACTTATTATTATATTTTGATTGTATTAAAGGTTTCATCTGGATAATCATAATTAGAAACTATTAGATCCAAATTCATATTTGAATTATACATAGAATTATCCAAATTAACTTTAATTGTCATTACAGAATTTTTGAGTTCTGAAATTAAAGTTGTCTAACCTTTTACATATGTATACAAGAACATTTATTAATCTCCATCTACAGCCATTACAATTTTATCATCATCTGCAATATTTTCATTTGATATACTCCAAGCATCATAAAGACTATCATGTTATAGAGTATCAGGAGTGAATACTAAGATATGTACTTTTTTAGAATATTTACAATAAGCTCTTACAAATAATCTACCATTTTCTTCACTTTAATCAATAGTCAATGGTGAAGTTATTTAATACCAATACAATTAGATAGTCTTGATTTTGAAAATATTATTTAATCTAGAGAAATCATATTCTTCAATAAAACCATCTTTTGCTCCTTATTTTGATTATCCATAAACAATAAAGAAAGTATCTTCTGCAATAGCCAATTCTACTTCAAGATTATTTTTGAATGCAAATTATTGAAGAAAAGTGAATTTATTATGAAAATCAATAAGTACAATATTATCTTGATTAACAACAAATAAGAGATTAGGATGAAGTTTTCTATTTCCAAATAATCTTTATGGTTTCCAATTCAAGGAATAACCATAAGGTTTAAAAGTATTAGCATCAGCTATAGCTAAGAGTTGATTTTCATGATCATAAGTAGAATATGCTAATATTGTATCATCTGCTTTAATAATAAAGAAATAATTGTCAGCAAAGAATAATGATTATATTTTATTCAAAGGATTTGATTTATCATAAGTTAATTATTTAAAGATTTTCTATTCTCCTGCATAATAATATTTCATTATTACACTATAATCAGTATCTCTATACATAAAGAAAATATTATTTAAATCATGTCTCCACAAAGTAAATGTTTATTTATTAACAATAACTTTTAAATTTATATCAGATGCAATTTTAAAACAAGTAAATTCTTATTCAAATATTGATAAATGTTCACAAAGCCATATTTACATTTTTAAATCATCAGTTTAAATAATCTAATAAAATTATGTCTACTTTTCTAATACTAAAACATCAGCATAAACTACATTGTTAGGCCATACAATAGAATCCTTTTTCAAAATCCATCTCTTATTTATGATACCCTAAATTTAAGTATCTTCCTCTTGATTATCACTTAAATGATATTATTGATTTGGTCCAGATGCTTAAGTTTATAATTATTGATAAGTATCTCCTTCAATCAAAGTTTTAGGAAATGGATTTACACTATTAACTAATTTATAAATTTAAGGATCTCTGTCATTTAATATTTAATAAGATATAGTAATTGAGCATTTTTAATCATTTGGAGCATTGGCTGTTAATATAATATCCTTTTAAGTTTTAGCTTCTGTACTTCCCATATATTTCAAATAACCCATTGATAATGTATATCTTTTAGATAATAAATTTGATATGACTACTAAATCAGGTAAATAGGGATTCAATAAAATAATATCCTTCTAACTTAAAGTAAATTTAGAATTTAATTGAACATTTTCTGTGTCTATATTATATAAATAAAGTGTATGTTCATTTCTAATAATAACATTTTCTTAAGATAATTTAATATAAGCAGGATATTCTAATTGAATGAATGGTAAATCATATATATATTTTAATTCCATATTTTCAATTTAAATGAAATAATTATATCCCTATACTACAATCACATGTGCTAGTGATTCATCCTCTTTTATGAATGAATTTACACTAAATGCAAAAGCTTATCCTGTTCTTGGATATACAATATTTTGTATTTTCCATTCACCATTTGGTAAATAATTTACTATATATAAACCATTATAAGCATCTAATAAATAAATATCTCCATTTGGTTAAACAGAAAAATCAACCAAAGAAAAACTAACATTAGGAACTCCTAATGTTTCTGCCAATACTGCTCTGTCCAATACAAAGTTTGTATTCTAAGGTTCACCAGAAGCAGACATTAAATATACTTCTACTAAAGAGTCTAAAGCTAATTCAGAATCTAAACTAATAGCATATGCTGGTGTCACTCTAAAAAGATATTAATGTGTGACACCAAGGGCATTAGTAATTGTATATTAACCTAGAAACCTTTATTTATAAGTTTAAAAGAAAGCTTTTTCAGTAAACATTTAAGTTTTATTTCCATCTTTAGATAGTACAAAGAATATATTTTCTAATTAAATTTTTTCATCTTGAATTACTTACTTTTAACAATCCACAATGTATTATTGAGTGTTTGTAAAATCAACATCAAAACATGTTATTTCAGTGTTATTTCTTTTTGTTATAAAGTAACGTTAATTGAAATTAGGAGATGCTCTAATATCTGTACTATTATATATATAGAATTATTATTGTACCCTTCAGCAATATTTAAGTATACATCTTCTTCAGATTAATCTAGAAATGCAAAGATGTTGAGCCAAAATCCACTAGATGATATTCTTGCTGCTTTGGCTGTAATTATATTTGAAGCAACTTTTAATATAGAATTTTTTAATAATTACCATTTTTATGTGAAGTATCTCTTCCAGTTTATTCTATTGGATGTATAATCTAAAATTCTTTCTATTGAGAATCACTTAATGTATATGTTAAATCAGCACCATCAAAAAATTCTGATTTTATTTACCATGTTAAAATCTCATTTGTAGTTGGATAGATTGATATTTTATTTAATTTTGATGCTAATATATTATATAGTAATGATTATTACTGCAACCATTCTAGGTCATATTTGTATTAACTGTCCATAAGCTCAAAATGATAATGAGCAAAGAAGATTTCATTTTTAATATAAATATTAATTTAAATCTTTCATCATCGTATAAATGAATCTAATATACTCATAATTTATATTCTAGAATTTTTATTACATCTCTTTTAACTTTTAGTCTATCATTTTAATGTTTATCTTGTATACATATACTAATTAACAAAATGAAAATTAATATTTTGTTATTATTACTATATATATATATGCATATGATATTAATCATGCCAATGGAGCAGAATTATTTTCCACTTTATATTGCTCAACTTATTTTATGTAATTAACATAATGTCTCACCTTATTCAACACTGGCAAGGTTTCAGCTGAAATCACATATCCCAAATCTTCTTCAATCTAATTTATTCAATATGTCTTTACTTGCATAGACAATTCAATTGAATCCAAACTATCTAATCCATGCTATTCTAATTCAGAATCTAATGTTAAAGCTGACTAAACATTATTATTATCATTCATTACTTTATTTGTTGTTCTATAATAATTCTTAACCAATGTGAGTACATATCCTTCAATATCTTATTACTTTTTCAATTACACATAATTCTTTGTTATTAATTATCCATCTTTATAAACTTGAATTGGCTTTGCTTATTATTGTTTCCCTTAAGTAGTTGCAGGAGTCTTATCAGCAGCAAAACAAAAGATTGGTCTCATCTACAACAATCTTAATCCTCTGATCATATTATTTAAATAATATATTTGAAAATAAATATTAATGTTTCTCTCCTTCTCTTTTATATATTCACGATCCTCTTTTACATTTCTACCTCTTCATCAATGGCAACAACTTCCTCATCCTTGGCATATCAACATCACTTATATATCTAGTCCTTCTCTTCCTCCTCAAATTTGCTTTTGAACAATTTCGATTCAGATGTCTAGATCCAGGAGACTTGAACTTAAGTCTTCTAGCTCTCCTTGGACCCACAATCTTCACTCTCTTCATCAATCCCTTATGATTTCCAATCTTATATAATCTATTCTAACTCCTAATTCTCTTCTTCCAACTTGAACATGATGATTTTGTTTTAGATCTAGCCTACCCACTTATACGAGTTTATTTAAATAATCTTGCCAACCCAAAGAATTACATAGGCTTCTAACAAATTTAAATAGGTCTAATAACTGGCATAATTTGCACCATACTTTTTATTGCCTAAGTGGCTAATCTCAACATAAACACTTAATTTTATATAAATATATATAATAAAATCAACATCTATTTATAAAATTATGAAACATTCTGAATTATTATTGACACTATCTATAATCATATATCTATAGATAAAACTATAATAATAATAATAATCATAATCAGTCTTGAATCTTTAATTTTTTATTCATTTTATTATTATTATTATTATTTCCAATTTTAATTGATCTCTCAATTTATAAATATCATATCTCTAAAATATTCTTTATTGTAATTAAATTCTTATTTTAATTAATAAATCCTTCTTCTTACAAAATTATTTTGTTATTACTCTTTATTTTATCATCTTAATTAACAACTACTATTATTTAGATTTTTCTTTCGAATACATCCATTGTAATCTCTTTAGTTCGATTTCCTTATATTTTTTAATTTATCTAAATATACTCTTTATGAATAAGTATTTATTATAAAACTACTCTTCCTTATTCTATTTATTTTCTCAATGCATCATTTCAAATATTAAATCATTCTTATCTTTATANCTTTGCTTATTATTGTTTCCCTTAAGTAGTTGCAGGAGTCTTATCAGCAGCAAAACAAAAGATTGGTCTCATCTACAACAATCTTAATCCTCTGATCATATTATTTAAATAATATATTTGAAAATAAATATTAATGTTTCTCTCCTTCTCTTTTATATATTCACGATCCTCTTTTACATTTCTACCTCTTCATCAATGGCAACAACTTCCTCATCCTTGGCATATCAACATCACTTATATATCTAGTCCTTCTCTTCCTCCTCAAATTTGCTTTTGAACAATTTCGATTCAGATGTCTAGATCCAGGAGACTTGAACTTAAGTCTTCTAGCTCTCCTTGGACCCACAATCTTCACTCTCTTCATCAATCCCTTATGATTTCCAATCTTATATAATCTATTCTAACTCCTAATTCTCTTCTTCCAACTTGAACATGATGATTTTGTTTTAGATCTAGCCTACCCACTTATACGAGTTTATTTAAATAATCTTGCCAACCCAAAGAATTACATAGGCTTCTAACAAATTTAAATAGGTCTAATAACTGGCATAATTTGCACCATACTTTTTATTGCCTAAGTGGCTAATCTCAACATAAACACTTAATTTTATATAAATATATATAATAAAATCAACATCTATTTATAAAATTATGAAACATTCTGAATTATTATTGACACTATCTATAATCATATATCTATAGATAAAACTATAATAATAATAATAATCATAATCAGTCTTGAATCTTTAATTTTTTATTCATTTTATTATTATTATTATTATTTCCAATTTTAATTGATCTCTCAATTTATAAATATCATATCTCTAAAATATTCTTTATTGTAATTAAATTCTTATTTTAATTAATAAATCCTTCTTCTTACAAAATTATTTTGTTATTACTCTTTATTTTATCATCTTAATTAACAACTACTATTATTTAGATTTTTCTTTCGAATACATCCATTGTAATCTCTTTAGTTCGATTTCCTTATATTTTTTAATTTATCTAAATATACTCTTTATGAATAAGTATTTATTATAAAACTACTCTTCCTTATTCTATTTATTTTCTCAATGCATCATTTCAAATATTAAATCATTCTTATCTTTATACAATTAAATTCAATTATATATGATTTATATTGGATTCATGAAATTTAATTTTGGTTTATTACAAACCTCAATTAGTTATTAAATAGAATTTATAAACCATTACTTTCTTAAAAGTATGAATTCTATAAAAGAATAGTTATTAAATTGTTTTATTCTAATATTCTCGATCCACTATTTTACTTTTGATGATTCTTAAAAAGTTTAATAAATTTATATAAATTCATATTTATTTTTTTAATAATACAGAACTGTTATTTAGTTTGAAAATCTCTATAAACACCATATATTAAATTACCTATTCTTTACTTTAGCATATATTGATGATCATTTGAAATTAAAGATGAAATGATACTTATACTATTTAGAATGTATTAAAAGTAATTGCTGATAAGTATTATTTAAATAAATAATTATAGAATTACATGGATTGAAGTGAAATACTTTAATTAGAAAATAAGATCTTAATAAATAATATTCATACATTATTTAAATTGTATATATTATTATGATGGATCTTTATTTACATATTTTAATATATCTTAAATTTCTTTGATATTATTATAATATAGATACAGTACACTTTAAATATAGGGATGAAGATTTGAAATAGACAGTTAGTATGATGGATATTAATGAGTTAAGAAAACAAAGATAAATATTTTAAATAATTTCAAATATATATATATATATATTTTATTTATAAAATAAAGGAGGGTCATTAAAATCTTGAGGTATTAAAGCCATTTTTTTGAATGAAGATTATTAAAAATTAATATAAATTACATTTTTCTTAATGTCCGAACCTAAAAAGAAGTTATGGATTGGCAATCTTGCTTACAAAGTAATATGATTATTTAAAAATCATTAGGTTCAAAAGGATGATTTAGAGGAGCTGTTTAAACAGTATGGTTAAATCACCGAGATTAAAGTGTTGGACAAGGGTCCTCATGTATACGCATTTGTTGAATTTGAAAAGGTAGAAAAAGCGATTGAGGCCTTTAATAGGTAATGGAGTGAAAAATATCTATATATTAGTTTACAAGGTCGTGAGTTGAAAGGGTAAGCAATGAAGATTGAGTATGCAAGTGGAAGGAAGAGGTAATAGTTAATTTAATTAGTTTTTAGGAGTACAAATGATCGTGATAAAGAGAGAGGTAGAGGAGGCAATGATAAGTACAGGAAGAGAGATAGTAACTATAAGAGACGTTCCAGAAGTCGAAGCATTGACAGACATAAAAAGAAATCTAAAAGTTTAACTAACTCACTTACTTTACTTCTAATTAGGCCACAAAAGACACTCATCCAGCTCTGAGTCTTCCCGTCGTGACAAATAGTATAACAACAAAAAATAGCCCGTGCGTTCCCCTTCGGATGATCTTTCAAACTGAGTATCATTAATAAAAGAAAAAATATTTTAATACATCAAATTATGATATTACAAAAAATCTTGTCTTAATTAATCACTTCTTAGTGAATGTTGTAATTATTGTAGCAACCAAACCCAATAATAATAATATAAATGCAATATCCAGAACAAATTTATTAGGTCTTCTATAAACTTGAGTTAGTTTTTTCAAAGCTTAATTAGCATTATTTAAATTTTTATTAGTTTTATCAACTTCTTTAATTAACTTATTAACTTATCCATCAGTTTAATCAATTTTCTATACAACAATTAATTCAAAATAAATACCTAACTCATTGATTAAACTTTATAATGCAGTTAATCCAATCCTGATATAATTTCATCTAATTATTTATCCATTTATTCATCATTCAAATTCCATCTTTACATAGCCTCTTATTCTTCTAAACTTAAATGATCCTAATACTCCAATTAATTCTATTGAGAATGTGTACCCCCTTCAAAAACTTAATTCTTTAATTCATTAAGTGTCACTCCTTTAAATTCTTATTCTTCTACTCCAAACTCTTTCATTTTGGTTCCCTTTAAAGCAAACTTTAATACTTTAAATGATGTAACTCTTAACTCCAAATCTTATTAATTATATTTCTATATTAGAAATAAATGAAGATGATTACTTAAGGCTTCTTTAATTATCTTAATAGAGATTTCTCTAATGATTTATATTACTATTCGCATTTTTAAATAGATTCTCTTATTTCTACTCCTAAACGAATAGCTTCCTCATCATTTCCATACTTTTGATTTCTCTTATCTCTGTCTTTCTATTTTGCAGAAATCATTTCAATTTCCTCTTTTAAATCATCAATCATTTAATCAAATTCTTTCTAAGGATTCTTTACATTCTTCTTTCTTTCATTACCTCCTAATTTCTCATCCATACTATACAATCTCTCTAATAAAAGTACTATTCTTTAAGATCTCATTTAATTATTAATTATTATACATATGTTAATTTACACAATCTAATCAACCTATTCTTATATTTTAATGTTATCAAACACTAATTTCAAATAACCAATTCATTTAAAATTTTAATCAAATACCAATAGAAAATTAATCGAAAAAAGTATTATGTAAGTAAATAATAGAAATATACTTTATAATAATATTTATTAAATATATTTTGTTATATTCAATTAAAATAAATAATATTATTTACTTTATAATTTAGAGTATTATATAAAATATTTTTATTAATTATTTTTCTCTCTATATATATATTTGTCATCAAATAGGTTAAGAATTATATAATATAATTTAAATATCTTTGTATATAATAATCAAAATACAAGGGTAATTATTAATAAAGTATAAATTTAGTTATTTATATATATTTATTCAATCAAATTTCCAAAATGAGTTTGAGTTGGTTGGTGTCTCCTTAATTACATAAAACTACTAATGGCTATTTTATAAATCATGATAATATCATGCTTGGTAATTCAAATAATAATTATTTAATCAGCTGGCCCTCAAGATAAGAGAAGATTAATATTTTATTATATTGCAAACTAGACACCAGAAAAAATTACAAAAGAAGATCATTAGAAATTTATAAGAGAAAAATTCATAGATGTAGATGCAAGATCTGGAGTATTTTCATTTGGTGGTATTTTCTTGGCTCTAGCAACAATAAGGGAATAATAATTAATAACCTCTAGAATTACTAGTCGCCCAATCTTAAATGGAATATTAGTTTTGGGAATTGGTAATTTGATATAATATAATACATATAGGATTGGTTTCTGCAGCATTTTCATACAATTTATCATAAATTTTATTTGAACCCCTTTTTGTATAAAGAAATTAGGTGATATCTGATTTGGCTGAAAAATATAACTTTTCAGTGTTTGATTTCGCAATAGCAAAGAAAGAAGCCAGATTAAAACAATTAAGAGCAGAGTTAACAAGTGACAGTAGTAATGCAGCACATTTCTGAATCAATATTACAACATCAATAAAAATATTAATATTATTATGAATATGAAAATTAATCTCAATATCCTTATTAATAGCTGACTTATTATATATTATTATAAGTTAAATGTATAATTTATAAGAAAAAATAAGTATATAATAACATAACTTGATAGTCTTTAAATGTATTGCTTTAATTTTTAGACTATCAAGTTATAAAAACATGAGTAATAATTTTGAGAATAAACTTAAAATCATGAATGATAATAAGTTATATTAATTAAGATTATGAATTATATAATAATCATGATAAGAATTTAAATGATTTAAATAATTAAGTGTTTAATAAAATAACATGTATTAATAAATATAATTTAATTAGCTTCGATTATAGTGTTTATAAGGCATTATTAAATATTTATTAATATTATTAATATATATTTACAAATGTTGGTTGGAAAGAGAAAGTATTTTGAAGATGAGCCAAATGAAGTACTTTATAAATTTATTAATTTAGACTAGAAATCCTACATTTGCTCTTAGAAGACGTATTACTTAGGATAAAAATTTAGAAACTTTATGTTAAGCACGCAAAAGACTTACTTAGTATATGATTTTAATTTATTTATTTAGATAAAATTTGGCTATTATTTAAGAGAAATACCCTCAGATTCAATAATCAGATATTTTAAGATTATTAGAAGATTTCGACAACAATGTTGAAATGGTATTTGAGATTCTTGGCTAAAAGGCATCTATTCCTTAGAAATTTGAGATTAGTGATGCAGATGTATTGATTTAAACATATATATATAGTTTGATAATTACAAAAAGGCTTTAAAAGAGGAATTACTAAAAAGACTTTAATAATCATAAAATATTCAGTCAGCTCAATAAGTGATTTAATTGTGTTTTGATGCTTTTGAATAAAAATTAGGAGAGAAATTTTAATCAAATGTAAAGTTTTAATTTATAATATAGACTTAGAGATTGGAGGATGAAAATAAATTATTGAAATAAGCATTTTTAAAGTAACATAAGAGATTGGAAAAGATAAGAGTAGAAGCAGAAAATAAAGAGAAATAAAATTAAAATTTAATTAAATCACTCACTGAAGAAAATAAACAATAATAATAAATTAATAATAACCTCACAATATTATTAATATAAGCATAACAAAATAACACTGTTTCAACTATTAATAATATTAACAATGATATATATTGAACAATATTTCTAATTTATTTGTTATAATTATAATTCTTATATGATATAATATATTTATTTCATAATGATTAATAATAATTGTTTGGGAGTTAAAGAGATTAGATAGAAATGCAAATCATTTTTTGAACAATACTCTAATAGATTACAACAATAGATATCTAAATAAAGAGATTCCCAATAATATTAATCACTATGTTAATAAGAGGTTAGAAAATTTGAAAAGATTTATATTAAACCAAAACGATCTGTATAATATAATTCTATTCAAACTGAATCAAATTAAATTGATAATTATATCTCTTGTCAAAGAAGATAAAGTACAGAACCTAAAGCTAACTCTAAAAGAAGAAATCACATAATTAAAACTGTATAAAATTTAGAATTAATTAGTTTTGATAGAAAATATTAAGTTAATAGGATTTACATAAATCTTGTGAAATTGATACATTCAATAATCAAGAAATTCCTATAGGAGATGTTACAATTTAATATCATTAGAATTCTGAAAATCATAAAACTAGTATAATTAATAATAATAAAGAAAATTAAAAGGAGAATAATTTAAGATTACCTATCTTAAAGAAATGTTTATTTTGTAAATTATACAAATATAGTAGAATTTGACAAATCAGATAACAAAAATAATTAAACTAAAATATCAAAATTTGGTGAAAGTTTTGTTACACCATTTTTTGGAACTAAAAAACCTATATCTTTAGATAAAAGACCTTGTGAATTTTAAGGGTTAGTATATAAAAGAAAAAAATGATTTTGATTCAATAATTTATTACTAAAATTTTCTCTATTTAAAAGAAAAGAAATAATTTTTATTAGATGATTTAATTAATAAATTCTTCAATGAATAGCATCATTATGTCAAGTAATGGAACTGCTTATGCCTTGAAAACTTAATTAGGTAGTGGCTCATTTGGAACAGTATATCAAGTCTTAGATTTAAAAACTAATAAATATTATGCCTGCAAAATTGTAATCCAATTTAATAAAATAATAGATTTCAAAAGCTTTGTTATATCAATATAATGCAGAATCAATGATAAGACAAGAGATTTAAATATAATCAACATTAAATCATAAAAACATACTCAAAGTCTATCATTCTTTTGAAGACAATCAAAATATTTATATTATTTCTGAATACTGTTCTAAAGGTTCATTATAATTTCCAAAGACCCCTTATTAAGAAAAAGATGTCTTTAATATTTGTATTTCCTTATTAGGAGCATTGGATTGTTTACATTCAAATAAAATAATCCATCGAGATTTGAAAGTAATATCTTAAATTATATCGTCTAAATTAGTTAGATAATGTGTTTCTTCATGAAGATGGTACTTATAAATTGGGAGACTTTGGTTGGGCAACTTATATCGATAAAGTGGAACCTATTCTTTGTGGAACAACTGAATATATGCCACCAGAAGTTGTGTTAAAATAACAACATGATTATAAAGTTGATTGCTATTCACTTGGAGCATTAATTTATGTAATACATTATTATTTTATTATAATAGATTTTACTTCATACTCATTTTCCATTTTAAGCAAATTCATAAAGTGACTTAATTGGGAAAATAAAGAATCAAGATATTATTGTTAATAGTCATATAAATGAGGATTTATAAATTCTAATTCAAGCATTATTAACTAAAAATCCTATTGATAGACCTACTGTTTAATAATTGTATTTGAGTAAATGGATAAAAAAATAAATGAAGTTAAATAATATTTTCAATAAATATGAAAATGAATAACTCAAAAATAAATTCAGATAAAAAAAAATTACAATAAAAACTTTAGATGTGAAGTAAATAATTATTTTAATTTTTTAATAGTGGATCAGTAAAAACTAGTCTATCTGATAGTCAAAAAAACTCATTAACTCATAGTTCTAGTACTCAAATTAGTTCTTCCAATAATCTTTATTCACCTGTTGCTAATAGGGGCAACATTGATTAGATATTTAATTTCAAGGATTTTGATAATATCAACTCTGTTCCATAACCTAAACTTTACTGATACTAAAATCTAACTAAATGAATAGATTTGTAAATAAATATATTTGTATGTTTTTTCAATATATTAAATTTTCTTTAATCAATATTTAAATATTTTAATTGCTTATAAAATTCATATAACATTTCAAATAAATATATAGAGTTCTTAATTTATATATAAATTATAAGTAACTTTGTTGCATTATATTATCTATAATAAGATGAACATTCTTTAATTTGTATTATTTTGACATAAACCCATATACTTTGTTTGATTATTATCAAATATTATGTTATTATTTATAATAATGACGGAACAATATATTTTTGATTCAGAAATTGTGGAAGATGAAGTAGATCGTCCAGTCTCTGTTTACAACCTAAATGTTTGCTTCAAGGAGGACATTGATTTTAGACTATAAGATTGCTAATTGAATGAACCTGATATTTAAGATTTAGAGTAAAAAATGAATAATCTAATTTATAATTCTTGTGGTTTTAAAAAAGGATTGATAAAACATAACAAATAATAAAAATAACAATCAGCAATAGACTTAACAGAGAATAGAACTAAGAATGAATAACTATCTTTTAAAAAGCCTATTTAACCTATTTAATAATTATCCATTGTTTCTAATGGAGATCAATCCTCATTGTTTTCAAGAAAAGAAACAGTTCCAAAAATTAATTTTGTAGGTGAAATGAAAGATAGTGTAAACTAAAATACAACAGTAGATTTTAGAAAGAGTCTAAAATTACATACACATGGACCATTTGATATAACTAAATTAAAAGATGGATTATCGCCTGCTGTAAATAATCAATTTTCTTCAAAAAAGCAATCCCAATTCTCATAAAGATCACATGAAACTTACAATTCATATTTGGAATTATCTTATAATTAAACTTAACAGATACCCAAATAACATTCAATCAATAATTTAGATAAAAGAAAAGAGAGATCAAAAATTGCAAAGACAACTATTAAATTCATTTCAAATTAACAAAATTAGAAACTGAGAATTTCATAATAAGCCAATTCATAAAGAACATCTCAGTTATCTTTATTATAATTAGAATAAGATGGTATAAGAGGTAGATCATAAAGTTCAGTTTCAACACCAAAAAGTATTTTAAAAAATCCTTCATTATAAAACTCTTAATTAGAAATTGTAAGCAGATTAAGTTTCTAAAGTAGGCTTAGTTTTTCAAGTTTAAATATTACTTGTTAATCTCCTAAAAAATAACAAGCAAACTCTTAATCTCCTGCAAAAAAAGTTAAATTTTGTTTAACTAAAAAGTAAGCAAGAAGAGAAAACATTCCATGTTGAAAATTGTTATTGATTATAGTAAAGTAAGAGTATTACTGTATTTTAAATTGTATTTATATAATAATTAAAAATATCTAATTACAAAAACATCAAAAATAAACATCAAAATCTTAGATTAATCTATCATCAATCTTACTTTCCTTTACTTTGTTAACAATTCCACTTATTTCAATCATCTTTAATACTGCTTAAAATGGTAAAATTAATTCATTATTAACATCTTAAGTATCACATAACTTATGTATAATATTAAGTAATGCTTTTAAAGTATGTTCTTCTATTTTTATAGATCGTGTTTCCATTGAAAATAAATTATTACATATATTAAACAATCCTATTTTTATTAATTTTGATATTTATTCTTCATTACACTTAATATAATATATTGATTAATACCAAAATAGAGAAATTCAAAATCACATAAGAAAATTCAAGAGCTTCATTATCTGAGAATTCAAAACTCTATCCAAAAATCTAATCCAGTAATTAAGAGTCTAATAATCTAAGCATAAATTCCTTATTATGAATTTTATTCGAAATAGCCCAAAATAATTAGATTCTTAAAGCTCTATTAAGGTCTTGTGATTGAAGATTAGAGTTTATTACTTTCTTATAGATAACAAGTTCCTTTTCATAAAATTATTCACTAATTCCAAAATATATAAGCACAACTTTCAAAGATAAAAAATCATAATTTGTTCTTAAAGCTATATCATATAATTTTAAGAACATTGGAGATGATAGTATTTCATCTGCATAAGTATAATTATTTTCAAATGATAATTTTGAAGGAATTTCCTCAAGAATTTCCAAGGCTAATCTTCTTATGGCTTAACTTTCATCAAAGTAAGACTTTATTACATATTCTTTAATTGATTTAATTTTCTCAATGTTTATTTCCAAACTAAAAGTAAAAGCTGAACCTATTAAAGCTAAAATAACTTCAGAAAATTGTCTATAAGGATCAAGTACCATTAATTAAGTTAAAAATTCAAAATCATTTTAGATTAAGAAATCTCTATATGTCTATTTTTCTTAGGCTAAAAAATATATACAATTTAAAGTCTAATATGATTTTAAACACTTACTTATGGAAATATTTCAAATAACTCTTCTTTTATATTATTCTACAAGTATTAAAATAATAAGATATCATCTAATTCTGCAAATTTTTAATAATCTTCTCTGTTTAAATAATAAAAAACACTTTAAATTAAAGTAGCATTAATTTCTTGAAATTCACTATCCATTTTAGATAGATTAATAAGAAATCTGACATTATATAATTTATTACCTAATTTTTTTTACTATATTTTCAGTCACCCAATAATCAACATTTTATTCATCTTCTAAGGCTTTTTATAGTACTTTTAGTAATAACTTAATATTATTAAGGTCTTCCTCAATTAACTACTCTTAAAATTAGTAATGAACTAATTCATCACAAACTTTATGTAAAAAATCATTTTTTGTTTATTCATAATTATAGAACCTTCTTTTTTTTTTAAATTCTTCTGTTAATTTTTAATGTCTTATTTAGATTCTAAATTTTTCTCTTTTCATTGTTAATAAATCATTTGATTCACTTTAATTCATTTTTAAATTAAAAATTATATTATATTATTTATAATCAACATATAGGTAGAATTGTATGTGAACCCATCTTACTAGCAGATCTAGGAGTTATTGTTGATAAAATTGCTGTCATTCTCTTTTGATTTGGATTATTTCTGGGTACTTCTAATAAAGATTTCAATGAATTAAGTTTTTTTGAATTACTAATTTAATCAGTTGTATGGGCTAAACTATCATTTTTTAATATTAGTTTTTCAAATAAAAAATTGTTTCTATTTTAATTATTATTAATATATTACTTAATAGTATTATTTTAAGATGATCTTCTTGTTGAAAATGGTTTTGATTAGATTAAACTTTCTTTCTCATCCATCATTTATTTAATAGTTTCTTTAGTATTAATATTTATTTCTCTAATCAATTGATCTTCATCTTATGTCTTATGATGACTACTCATATCTTTACTAAATTCTTTATTAGTAATAACTGATTCTATTCTTACAGTTTTATTTTATCGATGTATATTATGTACTTTTTAAAATATATTTGGTTATGATGAACAATTTACTTTTCTTTATTTATTATATTATTCTAATAATTGAGATTATTCAGTTTTAGTTTTGATTTAAAGTTATATACTTAATAATTATTATAATTGATTTATGCTTTTAGCTTATTATTTCCTTTGTCTCTTTCTAGATTCTCTTGTTTCATGTTCAAAAGGACCTTTATTCAAATTAATACAACCAAACATTTTTTTAAATTCTAAATATAATATTTAACTATTTACAAATCTATTGTTTTGATTATTTCAATTTTTTATCAAATGAAATTGTATCAATTTATTATTATGCTAAATCTTAATTATGTTATTCTGCCAAATTCTCTAATTCTTATAATTTAACTGATTTTTCTATTGCATTTCCATAATACATTTATAATGTGATATCTTCTTTGTTTAATTATTTCTTTTTTTTCTTATTTGTCTATTAATTATGAATTAATGGTTATGAAAATCCTTCTGATTCTGTTTAAAATCTAGTAGATAATCCATTATCTGAATATTTAGTTTTCATTAATGCAGATCTGCACATGGTTGTAGATTCATTTTCATTTGTTTACTATTTATAAATCATTTAAACACTAGCATTAGTTTTAAGAGTTTTTTATTTCTCTAAATAAGTTTCACTATCTATTGTTTCATTACTATATGGAATTTATGATTTATCATAATAATAATATTATTTTCTGATTTTTGGAAAGTCACTGAATTCATAAAGCAAATTATTATAATAATTTAATTAATCTTCTCCTAAAGGTACTTTAGATGTTTCTTCTTCTGGTAATGCTTACTTTAATACTTTTGATATTTCAGCTTTTTCTAGTGCATATTCTAAATATCTTGTATTATCCACATATTATTAGAAATATAACTTTCCTATTGAGTCTTCTGGCTAATAATTTGAATCAACCCAAGTCATCATTTTAATGGTTTCTTGATATTTTAAAAAATCATTTAATTATTCATAAACTAATGCTATTAAAAACAATGACAATATGATCTCCTTAGTCTATTGATATTATTATCATTATTGATTACATAATAATTAAGAGTCATCTTTATTTCTTCTAAAGATGTAAGTGTGATTTCCTTATAAATGATAATTAAATTCCTTTGGTAGAAATCTAGTCCTTTAAGATAATATTTCAAAGCAACTTAATAGTTTTACAATTAAAAGTAACTATTTCCAGTAATCAAATGATATTTTCTAATTTATTTGAACATTATCTTACCCTTACAAACTTAAGAAAAACGTTATTTTATCAATCAATGCTTATTCAATTATTGTACCATTAAAATGATGAAAATACAATAGACCTTTGGCTACCATTTAATTTTTTTGATAATATTAAGATCTAAATAGTAATGCCTTAATCATTATGGATATCAGTTCTTGAGTGTAAAACTTTTCTAATTAAGAATTTCAATATCACTTACTCTTATACTAGATCTTCAAGAGTGAAATGTTATCATGGAAATCTCTCATATAGAGTTAGAATCTTGTCCAAAGAGTGAACTAATTTTTGCCTTAATTAATTTCAGCCTTGTTGATTTTGAGTTTGAAATACATTAACGTACAATAACATAATCTTCTCAAAACTTTTATTCTTAACAGTAAAGGTGATTCAATTGGTAGCAGTTTTTTATATTGGCCATCCAAATGTATAATACATTTACGATAATATCCCTAAATTAGAGATCACTTACATTTCTAATCAAAGTATTGGAATCAATCAAAAATTATTCAACTTAGTTGATTAAATATGGATTTTATGGTAATGATGATGAAACCTTTATTTATAACATATATATATATATATATAAATTTATAATAGTAATGTATAAAAAATATATATATACCATTTTTACCTATTAACATTATCATTAATCTACTCTTGGAACTTCAATTGCATCTACATAATTGTATTTCTTAAATTCTCCTATAACTGCTTTTACAGATGTTGCTGGTATCAATCCAACTTCTGTTACTATCTAATAAATAACATATTATCAATTATACCATATTAATATAATTAGATTATGTTATATCATATCTAAGACTTAAAGAAGTATATTATTAATTTTCATTTCCATATTCTAATTATGCTATTTCATTCCATGATAATGAATCAATCTGACTCTTTTCTGAGAATTTGTAACTTTCACAAAATACTAAAAATGGTATTTTATGAGTTGATGCTAAACATGCTAATAAAGCAGTTCCTACTCTAGATACCAAGGCTCCATTACATAACATAGATGATGCTCCTACTAAAATTTTATCAACCTAAATAATATTCAATTATTTCTACTTTTGATAGAATGTAGCTGACATGAGATAACAATATTTAATAACAAGAGATTCCTTATTATAATAATCGATTCACTAATTATGATCCTTCTCCAAATTATGGATTATCAACAACAAAAATTGTCAATTATTTACCTTACTTAAAATAATTAATAATGAAATTCTCAATCAAATAGGATCTAGCATATACTAAAATTGTTGTTCCTTCTTAAATCAATTAAGTAGCCTTTTAAATAGGTATTCCAATAAAATACATTTTTAATAATCAATTCTGATGCTGAGATAATTTTTGATTGAATGAATTAATCAATCTGATTACATAGCCAAATTTTTGATTCATTTTCATCAAGTTTTGTTTTTCTTAAAATCATTAAACACTCACTTATAAATAAATATGATGTGCTCATTCCTTCATTTACTGTTCTAAAGTTTTCCATTAAATTAAAGATATTCTTTAATTCAGTTAAAAATGCCATAGCAAAGTAATTTGATTGTTTTGGTAACTTATAATCCTTAATAAATTATTTTAAAGCATTTAAAAATTCTACACATCTATGAGTAGATCCTATACATTATCCATTTTAATATTAAATGCAAAGTTCTATAAAAGAATGATGTAATGTTTAAGGCTAAAATAAAAAACAATAAATTACATCTATTTATTTTACAGATTTTATACTTACAGAAGTATAATCTTAAAATATTGGAAGATGTGAAAGAAAATCTTTTCTCTTATTTGATGTATCTGTCTAAACAATTTATTTATCATTAATAGGCTACAATTATTGTGATGGTTATTATTCAATAGATTATTTACTTTATTATTATTATTATTATTATTATTATTATGTTGTCTTATTTGATTCTTACTTTGTTTCAGCTTAATCTTATTCCTATTTTAACTTCTCTTTATTTGCTTTCTTATCAAATTTTTCTTTAGGTTTCCAAGCTTCTCCTTTTTTAGGATTTGGTTTTTCAGACATTAATTCTTTAATATTTATTATAATAATTAAAAAATATAAATATGGACATCGAAAATTATGATGATTGGGATCCTGATCCTCATAAATAAGATAGCATTCTCCACTTTTCAAATATTAATTTTTCTGGTATTGTATAATATTATGTCTTAGATAATGTGATTAAGAAAAATAAAAAAAAGTTAGAGAATCAAGTTTATGATTCATAACATGTTATTGATTATGCATAATAAAATTGGATTGATGATGATGAAGATGAAGAAATGAAAAATAATACATAAATAGAATTTGATTTTGAATAAACTAAAAAATAATTAATGATGGAACAAGTATTTTATAATCCATTAGAGGATTTATTAAATGAAAAATATGTTTAATCGAAATATGAAACTCATCTAAAAAATAGCGAAAATAATACTGTGATTAGTTGTTCAAATTGTTTTATTTAAATTAGTTATCATTGTCAATAACATGAAATTTATAAAAAATAATATAGAGCAATGGTAACAATTAATACAAAAATCATAGAAAATAAATTTGTCAAACCATTAGAAAATGAAAAAGTGAAAAATGATGATATATTGTTATCAGTCTAATGTAAAATGTGTCAAGAAGAAATTGGAGTATACGATGTTAAAGCCAAAATATATCACTTCTTTAATGTAATTTAAGGTTTAGGTTGATTTATTTTTAATATTTCATAAATATTATATATTTTTAATATTTCATAAATATTATATTAGATTTTATATTTTTCATAACTAAATTCTCATAGAACCATATAGATTTATAATTGATTTTGAAATAACCTAAAGTGGTTGTCTATTAAATCTATATAATACTACCTCTTATTAGAGTATTAGTTCAATTTTAATTAATTATTTTTTTATTTGATAAAAAACTTAAAAATAATAGACTTAGAGAATTTTATTTAATAGAGAATTTTAACATTTCTATTAAAAAATATTATTTTAATGGATAATCCTCTTACCTTTGTTTGCATTAGTGATACACATTCATAATATATTGATTTACCTTAAGGTGATGTATTTATTCATTGTGGGGATTTCTCAACACATGGAGAATATTTTGAAGTACTTTAATTCATTGATTGGCTAAGATAATTACCTTTTAAATATAAGGTTGTGATAGGAGGAAACCATGATATTTTTTTAGACACTGAAAAATATGAAAAATTACTTAAAAACCGATTCCACAAATATACATAATCAGATCACAAGAAATTGTAATAAGAATTAAAGTAGAATTGTATATACTTGGAGAATTCTTCTGTAGTTATAGAAGGGTATAAGATTTGGGGGAGCCCATATTCTCCAACAATACCTTTAAATCCATGGGCATTTTAAGTTGAACCTGAAGATGGAGAAGAATTTTGGAAAATTATGGAGGAAGGATCTGATATTGTTTTAACTCATGGAGCTCCATTAGGTCATAGTTCATACGTTCATACTTATAAACCAACTTAGGGAGAATGGGGAGATGAAGCATTAGCAAAAAGAATTAAAGAAGTTAAGCCACTTTATCATATTTTTGGACATGTGCATGAAGGATATGGAATGACAGAAGAAGATGGTATTAAGTATGTTAATTGTGCAATTCTTGATGAAGAATATGAATTGGCTGAAAAAGCCTATGTTTTTCAATTACCTAGAAGGGTTGTATAAGAGAAAGAAGGCTTAGAATAAAGTTGATGAATAATAATATAAACAAAATAGTAAAATAGATAAAATATGTTTTATTAATGCAAAATATTATAATTGCATAATTTTCAATAATGAAGGTAATTATTTATCAATATCTATTTTTCTTAATAAATTCATTATATTAACTTTTTACACAAGGATAGATTAGAATATGATTTACAAAATATTTATTATAGTAATCTATTGATTTATGCAAACATTAATTATAAGAACTTTATTGTTATGTTTCTCCTATTGTAAGCTAAATTTTAATTATATTTGTCAAGGAAACTGATAATAATCAACATAACTTGATAAAATTTTTATTTTTTATATTGATTATAATCGAAAATTATATTTATAAATTAATATTGATATTTGATGGATACATAATTATCATATTAGAATCATTTTTTGCTGATTTTATTTTACTATTCTTTTGGTTGATTTGATTTTACAGTTACTTAATTACTTTTTGTACTTTGAACTTTAGGAGCTGGCTTAATAGTATTTTATTTGATTTAAGGAGATTAAACAATTTGTTATTTTTAATCTTGAATTGGTTTTTAAATTTGCTTAGTTGGTTGACTTTTTTATTAAATTTAAAGAGGCTTTTCAATTTTTTATTTAGGAAGTAATTATTGTTTCTAAGTATTTTTGGTTTATTTTTCTTTAGATTAGTTAAGTTACATTATAGCCCATCCTAATTGAGGTTTCAAAAATTCATTATCAACTAGGGTAATCCCAAAATATCCTGAAGAAAATTAAATTGGTATTTCTTGACGGCGCCATTCAAGAGTTACAGGTGCCTTAGATACTCCTGAAGGGAATTATTCTGGATAAATATGTTAAAATTTATCCCAAGTTTTAGAAAATTCATTTTTAACAAAAGGTTCTTTATCATTAATACTTGCATTTTCATTTACTCTATAAGGGAAAAAGTAGGTAATCCATCCGGTTGCAAATCCTGGTCTTATATCATATATTTTTGGATCTGGATGTTAAAATCTATAAATATTATTCCAAAAAACTTTATCAACATTGCCTTAATATAAATTAATAAATTAATCTAATATTGGCACAATTTCATTTATCCACCAATCTAATTCAAATTCTCGAAGTGGTTCTACATTTTATCTTAATTATTGCCAATCTTCTAATGTACCTTGAAGTTTAATTTTAGAAATTCCACATCCGGCTCCAACTACATATTTAAAATATTTTTGCATTGTATCCATTAAACTTACTTCATAACAAACTTTAGCTACATCATTAGTAGTGGAATACTGTTGTACACATAGCTCATATCNATTTATCAATATCTATTTTTCTTAATAAATTCATTATATTAACTTTTTACACAAGGATAGATTAGAATATGATTTACAAAATATTTATTATAGTAATCTATTGATTTATGCAAACATTAATTATAAGAACTTTATTGTTATGTTTCTCCTATTGTAAGCTAAATTTTAATTATATTTGTCAAGGAAACTGATAATAATCAACATAACTTGATAAAATTTTTATTTTTTATATTGATTATAATCGAAAATTATATTTATAAATTAATATTGATATTTGATGGATACATAATTATCATATTAGAATCATTTTTTGCTGATTTTATTTTACTATTCTTTTGGTTGATTTGATTTTACAGTTACTTAATTACTTTTTGTACTTTGAACTTTAGGAGCTGGCTTAATAGTATTTTATTTGATTTAAGGAGATTAAACAATTTGTTATTTTTAATCTTGAATTGGTTTTTAAATTTGCTTAGTTGGTTGACTTTTTTATTAAATTTAAAGAGGCTTTTCAATTTTTTATTTAGGAAGTAATTATTGTTTCTAAGTATTTTTGGTTTATTTTTCTTTAGATTAGTTAAGTTACATTATAGCCCATCCTAATTGAGGTTTCAAAAATTCATTATCAACTAGGGTAATCCCAAAATATCCTGAAGAAAATTAAATTGGTATTTCTTGACGGCGCCATTCAAGAGTTACAGGTGCCTTAGATACTCCTGAAGGGAATTATTCTGGATAAATATGTTAAAATTTATCCCAAGTTTTAGAAAATTCATTTTTAACAAAAGGTTCTTTATCATTAATACTTGCATTTTCATTTACTCTATAAGGGAAAAAGTAGGTAATCCATCCGGTTGCAAATCCTGGTCTTATATCATATATTTTTGGATCTGGATGTTAAAATCTATAAATATTATTCCAAAAAACTTTATCAACATTGCCTTAATATAAATTAATAAATTAATCTAATATTGGCACAATTTCATTTATCCACCAATCTAATTCAAATTCTCGAAGTGGTTCTACATTTTATCTTAATTATTGCCAATCTTCTAATGTACCTTGAAGTTTAATTTTAGAAATTCCACATCCGGCTCCAACTACATATTTAAAATATTTTTGCATTGTATCCATTAAACTTACTTCATAACAAACTTTAGCTACATCATTAGTAGTGGAATACTGTTGTACACATAGCTCATATCTTTTTTAACCTATTTAATCTTTTATCATTTGAGAAAATTTCTTAGGAAATTCTTCCCATTTATAATCTTCTATTCGATCTAGGTCTTCAACTATTATTTTTAATATTTGTTATCCTTAGAAGTTTACAAATTTGTTTCTAAATTTCTCTGCATTAAGTTTGATGTGTGTACAAAATCCTTAAGTTATGAGCAGTTAGATATCATCAGGACTAAAACATAATGGGAAATGATGATAGTAAGCTATGTGAAGTGTATTCACAAATTGATTAGTGAACATCAATTTCTCTTTCTACACTTAGTATAACTTCATGTTGTCGGTAAAACTATGTTTGAATAACATATTTTTTTTGACTATTTTTTCATTTAGTTCCTACATCTGATTTAGTTGAATTAATTCATTGTAATCTTAATTTAAGTCTCCATCTATTATTTGGACTGATCCATTTTGATTATTTTTAATGAAAGTTTCTTTTTAAATATTCATATCCATTTCTTTGTTTATTAATAATTCAAAAAAGTTAACTTAATTCATTATAAATATCCAAATCTGATTAAAACTGATCGTTAAATAATTTTTATTTCATATAAACATAAAGAAGATATATACATCAAATTTAATTATATAAATCTTTAATATCTAATAAAAAACACTATATTATGTGTTATTATATTCAATTAAAAAGAAAATTTATTATTTTTAGCAGAAAAAGACTTAATTATAAAAATTTGAAAGTTGATTTCATAAAAGATGAGTTGTAATTATAGAATAATAAAATAAGCATTCAGCAAAAATATATGCATTAAGTGTAAATCATTTTTTGGGTTGCGACTAACTCTGGTTGATTTATGTGTTCTAACATAAATAAATAACTGAATTTCAAAGAGAACAAATGATAAGCTATTTTATTGTACATTAATCATATTTATGACTTTTTCTTATTTCTTGTNCAAAAGGTTCTTTATCATTAATACTTGCATTTTCATTTACTCTATAAGGGAAAAAGTAGGTAATCCATCCGGTTGCAAATCCTGGTCTTATATCATATATTTTTGGATCTGGATGTTAAAATCTATAAATATTATTCCAAAAAACTTTATCAACATTGCCTTAATATAAATTAATAAATTAATCTAATATTGGCACAATTTCATTTATCCACCAATCTAATTCAAATTCTCGAAGTGGTTCTACATTTTATCTTAATTATTGCCAATCTTCTAATGTACCTTGAAGTTTAATTTTAGAAATTCCACATCCGGCTCCAACTACATATTTAAAATATTTTTGCATTGTATCCATTAAACTTACTTCATAACAAACTTTAGCTACATCATTAGTAGTGGAATACTGTTGTACACATAGCTCATATCTTTTTTAACCTATTTAATCTTTTATCATTTGAGAAAATTTCTTAGGAAATTCTTCCCATTTATAATCTTCTATTCGATCTAGGTCTTCAACTATTATTTTTAATATTTGTTATCCTTAGAAGTTTACAAATTTGTTTCTAAATTTCTCTGCATTAAGTTTGATGTGTGTACAAAATCCTTAAGTTATGAGCAGTTAGATATCATCAGGACTAAAACATAATGGGAAATGATGATAGTAAGCTATGTGAAGTGTATTCACAAATTGATTAGTGAACATCAATTTCTCTTTCTACACTTAGTATAACTTCATGTTGTCGGTAAAACTATGTTTGAATAACATATTTTTTTTGACTATTTTTTCATTTAGTTCCTACATCTGATTTAGTTGAATTAATTCATTGTAATCTTAATTTAAGTCTCCATCTATTATTTGGACTGATCCATTTTGATTATTTTTAATGAAAGTTTCTTTTTAAATATTCATATCCATTTCTTTGTTTATTAATAATTCAAAAAAGTTAACTTAATTCATTATAAATATCCAAATCTGATTAAAACTGATCGTTAAATAATTTTTATTTCATATAAACATAAAGAAGATATATACATCAAATTTAATTATATAAATCTTTAATATCTAATAAAAAACACTATATTATGTGTTATTATATTCAATTAAAAAGAAAATTTATTATTTTTAGCAGAAAAAGACTTAATTATAAAAATTTGAAAGTTGATTTCATAAAAGATGAGTTGTAATTATAGAATAATAAAATAAGCATTCAGCAAAAATATATGCATTAAGTGTAAATCATTTTTTGGGTTGCGACTAACTCTGGTTGATTTATGTGTTCTAACATAAATAAATAACTGAATTTCAAAGAGAACAAATGATAAGCTATTTTATTGTACATTAATCATATTTATGACTTTTTCTTATTTCTTGTTCAATAAAATTCATATAAATATTTAATAAGGCACAATAGTGAATATAAATTATTATTCAGACCAAAAAAATATTTATTTTATTGCAAAAACTATAAAGTGCTTATAGGATAAAAGATAAGGGTAAAATTACTAATGATGCATAATTCTTAATATTTTTTTATGGTTAATCAATTTTGAAAAAAGGAAGTTTTAATAGAGGTTATTAAATATTTCTACTTTATGCTTATTGAATTATTATTGAAATATTAGTATGATGTTAAATAAAAAAGGAGGTCTAAATTTTTGATTTAGATTATTATTATTTTAGATCAGACATATTAAAATCTACAATAAATTATATTATCAAAATAACAATAACTAAAATAACTTTTTTGTATTTAATTCTTGTAAAGGATGTAAGTTCAATAGATGATTTAATTAATTAAAGAAGCTTTTGAGTCTTTCCAATATAATTTTACATAGAAAAAATAACTAATAAATTTTTATTTAAGTAATACAATTTTACGATTTAATTATATCAAAATATAAAATATTATTCTAATATTTAATTTAATCATAGTTACTTGAATAATAATAAAATATATAAAAAAATGCTGAATCTAATAAACTTAATTTAATAATATCATTAAATAACAGCTGAATTCTTTTTATAGATTGGATAGGTTACATCCTAATGAACACCACATTGTCCAACTTTATCTGCTATTCTGGCAAATCTAATAAATCCAGCTTCTCCCCAAGATAGTCCCCATGAATTTTTAAGTAAATAATAATCTGATGCATATCCAACATTAACAATTGCATGATTAAGTGATTCAACTTTTCCATCACATACTGATGAAAAGATACCCTTTCTATATAATTAGAAATTAATTCCTCTTGCATTAACACCAACAGAAAGAGCATGTTGAGATGCAGCTTCAAGATAAGCTTAGGAATTGAGTGATTCAACTTCAACAAAACCATTGAATTAATATCTAGTTTTAGTCTTTTTAGATTAGCACTCTTAAGCTACAGCAACATAAGTGTATTCTGATTTGATAGCAATTCCATACTTTGAGGCATAATCAAAACTTTCAAACATAAAACCTCCATTACAACCGTCACTTTCATATTCTCCTCCTTTTACACAATCAACAAGTTCTTATTCAGATAATTCCACAGTTGTTGCTCCACTCTATCTCAAAGCAGTTTCCAAAGCACCTACAGCAGAAAATGCCCAACATGATCCACAACTTCCTTAATTTTAAACTGGACCTACAAGACCATCATTTCTTAAGTCAACACTATCTGGAATTTATCTACCTTCTCCTCTAAAGATTTAATCAGATTAATATTTATTAGATGCTCTGAAGTTTAAGTATTTTGCTTCAAACTCTTCAACAGAGATATCAGCAAAAATGTTCATACCAAGTTCATAAGTTTCTAATCCAGCTTCAAATCTTTTTTAATGTTCTTAAACATAAGCATAATTTTGTTTAAATATTCCAAATCTGTGTGTATTTTCAAATGTAGAGTATCTTTTTCCATGTTCCTATTACCACATTTAGTATTCTTTCATTAATTTGTCCTCCAAAAAGGATGTTGATTCTATACTTTAAGAATTATTCAATAAGGTTGTACCAGCTAGCAATGCTAAGGCTAATATTGTTAATAAACCTTTTTACATTAATATTGATATCAATTCATTAAGATAAATGAGCTTATCAATCAAATAATGAGATCAATATATAATTGCAATCACGTCACAATTATTTAAAAAATTTAAATAATTTTAAATTATAGTATTGATTTCAATCTATGATGTAATTTATTCATAAACGATTACATAAACATTTAATTAATATAAATAACTATTTAATAAATAATTTGATTATTCTATATGTTAACAAACTTAAAGAAATTCAATATCAAACTACTCTTATACTTCTTACACATTAAACTATTTATTTATAAATGAGAATTATTAGACATGGTCTCACTCTCTATTTAAATAATTTTCTAAAATGTACATTCCTAAAATTATGCTGATTCTTTAGTTTTACTTTTAACTCTAAATATGGATATCAGAATACAATTTAATAATGTTAATAATAATTCTAGAGGAACTTTAATAGAAATATTGTCAAACTCATTCATTTTTATAATTTATTTACTCTATAATAATATAGTTTATATCATCCAAACAAAAAATACAATATAGAAGAATTAATCATTCTAATCTCTTCATAATTTTAATATGCTTTAATTAATCTATTAATTGTTATTTCTATTTGATATATATTTACAATTTTTATTTTAACTATTTTGACTTCTTGAGATTCATAATAATCCTTGAATTCTCAGCCAATAAAGATTGTAATATATTGCTTATTCCTAGTAATCCATTGAATAAGAATAATACACAACTATGTATGATCTCTTAAAATCCTTTAGAAGAATTTGATTTTTTCTTTCTATTTTGTTATAGCATAACTTCTCACAGATTTTAGTTTCCTTCTAAAGTTATTTGTACATCTCTTGGATGTAATTAAAAAGCAGCTAGATAATTCATCAAACTTCCTCTGTTTTCTACAAAATTGTTATTGATCATATATTAATATAGTAATCTATTATTTATCTAATTATTATCAATTTAAATATTATTTAGATTTTACAAGTGAAATCCTTTACGACATTCTAATTTGGATTCATTTATCATTAAAAAAGCTTAATTAAATTTTCTTCATTTCTAGCATTAAAATATTCACTTTCAAAGAAATTGAATCACAGGTCTTATAAAGATATGTTACAAAACTTTTAGAATAAGAATTAGGTTAATATAACTAATATATATATTTTTTTAATAAAAATTATATATCAAAAAGGCTTCATTTATTATATTAGAATACAGTTGATATTTTACGATCTAATATGAGATACTATAAATATAAATAAATTTGTGAATGGATTTTATCTGTTAATCATTTATCTTTTAAAGTATTTAATTGTTTATCACCAAATCTTTACCTTTAAAAGGTGATAGAATTTAATTATACTCTAATTTCAATATATTGATAATAATCTTAGATATTTCAAAAATTAATAAAAATTTAAAAAATCTAAAGCTGATTAAATAAATATAATTGAATATAATCATACAATGAGTTTATGAATTATATAAACTTACGTATGAAAATAATCAAAATTAAAAAATAAATAAAATATATTTATAATTTGTTTTAATTTTTTATGAATATTTAATTAATTCAAGGAATCAAATCATTTATAGCTTAATTCATAAACTAAATATTTTCCATTACTTTTATTTTTATTTTAATATAAGCAATCCCAAAAAACCAAATATCTTCCATCATTTGATAAAGCCCCATAACTATTTTCATCCTAACAAGGCAATTTGGCAAAGATTACAAACTTTCCTTTCAAAGATTATCTTAATAAATAAATAATTTATTTATGTCTAACAATAAGCAAATTCTTCTCCTTATTATATTGAATTGGAAATGAAATATAGTCAAGATTTGGATCACCATCTAGATGAATTGCCTTTTCTTTATTTTCCATCAAAACTCCTTCTTTAGATTCATAGAACCAAATGGAGTTTTTTTCTAAATTATTATTAGATGAAACCCATATTAATTAGTCATCATTTAAAAAAAGAAGTTTTTTACCAAAATCTTAAATTGATTGAGTAACAATCTAATTAAATTACCATTTATTAAATTAATCTTTTTTCCAAATAATTATTTATTAATCCCTACCACAAGAGGCTAGTAGAGTTTCTGATTAATTTAAACTTACAGAGTACACCTCATTTTAGTGTTTAGATAATGATTATTATAATTGTAATCCATTTACACTTTAATCAAATTTCCATATTTTAATAGATTTATCTTTGCTTGAAGATATAAGCTAATCTCCCAATTAATTTAATATCATACAATGAATTTTACCACTATGCTCTTTGAATGTAGATTAGGATATTAATTAATTTTGTTCATTTATATTCCAACACCTTAAAGTGTGATCATAAGATCCTGAAATTATGCAATTTGATTAAGGAGTGAATAATAAACATGTTACATTATTTAAATGACCCTTCAATTATTAGATTAATTAAATTTTGCCTTAATTAAAGCTCCAAAGTTTTATATCTTTGTTAGAAGTTGATATCATTCTTTATCCTTTTTTATCAAATTAAATTGCATAACACCATTCATCTTGTTTCTCAAACTTATTCATGTATTTAATTTCTACTTTAGGAGTTATTTAATCTAATTGAAAAGCTGATATTTCCTCATTTTCGAAGCATTCAAAAATACTATAAGTTGCTTAAAATAATTTTGAAGTTTCCATAAGTTCATTAAGTTCATGTGCTAATTTTGGTTAATAATTTGAAATCAGAGATGTTAGTTCCTATTATAAATCTTTATAGATTTATTATTCATCAATCTAACTAAATTACATATTATTTTATAATAATATCTCAAATTCCTTACAAAAATTGGATGATTAATATTTTTGTTTTATTTCATTTAGATTTTATATCCAGAAGTTGGTTTAGGAGATTATGTTATCAAATTTTTAAATTTAAATAGATCTATACGAATCAATTTAAATTTGAAATTTTTAAATGATATCTCGTCTTTAATTTATGACATTATCGATTACTTGATTCTTTAAATTTTGATTCTCTTCTATAATTTACTTTATTTTTTAAAATCCTAAAAATCTATAGTTGCCTTCCATTTTGCTGATACATTCTGTACATAATAATCTCTATTTTTATGTCATTTCCTGATCCAAAATAACCAACTACGCTTCCATTTCATGCTCTGAACAACATATCATCTGATTTGTGCTTTGTTGCATTTTATTAATTAATTTAGTATATGATTCAATAATTTAAATTCTTTCATAAAACAGGTCAATTTATTCTATATAGATATTCCATATAAAGATAATTAATTTTATAGATAATAGAATTTCTATAGATTTTTATTTATATTAATTTTTGATTATTTTTTACATTTAAATATAAATTTATATTGCTTTTTCTATTAAAATATAATAATTCATTTTATAAATCAAATCTTATAAATCTAAAAATTCTTAAGAAGAAATAAAACATATTAATGTGAATATATAAGATTAAGGGAGGTTAAATTAAATTTCTTCAAATTTTTTCAAGAAATATATCTAGAGTTTTTTCGACAGAATTATTTTATGATGAATAAATTACAAAAGACATTATTATATCATAGTTGGAAAAGAGAGAATTTCATTGCTACCTTCTTGAAATTTACATCCATATTGACTAGATAATTTTTAATTTTAATATGATAAATTATCTTTATTAAAGAATTTTATTCCTCAATTTTCATTCCTTATAAGAATAAAAAAGTTAATGTTAGTTGATGATTTTAATTTAGATGTTAATTTTATGTTTATTATAGAATAAATTAATAAATTTAAATAATTTTAAATAATATTTAAACAATCAACCTTGACTTTGTTCTTTTTTTTTCTTAATATATTCTTTTATGGATTAATATCTTTCTTTCATATCCTAGTAAAATTACTTGAACAAAAAGACTAATTGTACAAATATAGAGAACCCTATGAAAAATAGAATAATCCAGCCAATCATGTACTTTTCTTCAAAAGTTAATAATTAACTAACATCATGAATAGCTAATATAACAGTAAAGAAAATGATTATGAATATGCATAAGTCAGGAACTGCAACTTAGATTAATATCTTTTTATTTTCAAAAGGGTTTTGATAAAGAATTAAAGCTAAATTTGAAAAACATGATAAACAACAAAAGGAGGTTTATAGCAATGGTAATTCATAAAAATAAACTGTAAAGAAGATAAACAATGCTTTACGAATTAAGTTTACAATACAATAATTTTTAGCTAAAAGGTTGTTAGTGTTTATTCCTTCATATAATGAGGAATAATTTTCTGAAAATTATTTATTTTCATAAAGTATTGGATGTTGAGAACAAACAAATTTATATAATTTAAAAACTAAAACTATAAATAGTATTCCTAAATATGCTGATATAATGTTAATGACAATGATTACAAATTCTGAATTCTTTGAATATTTTAATTATAGTATACTTGCTAAACAAATATCTAAGAAAACTAAACCAATAACTTAAATTAATTTAGCCCTAAAATTTGAATTAAACCATATTGCCTCTTAATAAATTAATGATAAAATATGAGGAGGTTTTATATTATGTTCAATGATTTTTTAAATAATCTACTCTTATGCTCTTATATTTGGATCAGTTTGGAATTATTATTATTATATCTAATTAATTGAGAAAATTTCTATTTAATGAATTCTTTTAGTTTTTTTGTTATAATATTTTTAATTAATCAAATTAACATAGGATCTTGATAAAAAATACATCAAAAACACAAGAAATATCAAAGCAAAAAATAATTGAACATTATTAAAAAATAAAGGATTAACATCTTTCTCTGTAAATTTAGGAGGAGCTTCAAAATAATATGCATCATCTGGTTAATTTAATGATACTACATCTGGTATACTTATTATATCACCCCATTCTAATTAATTAAAAAACATCTTGACATTTAAGGGATAATCTACATTTAGGAAATAGAAATTATTGATCCATGTCAAAATATCTAAAATAGTCCAAAAAAAATTAAATCCCCCTAAAAGTATAGTTAAAGGTCCAATCAATTAAAGTAAAAATGTAAATGTACTTGAAGCTGAAACTATACTTTTTGCTTAGGCTTATTATTATTAATTATAATAGACTTATTTTCTAGGAATTATCACAATTTCTCTAACATCTTCATCTAGAATTCTAATTCTATTAGAATCTTTAATTAAAGGAACAAGTAAATGAATAAGATTAGATTCTAAAATAGTTTTGAAAAAATTAAACCTGATCTCACATCCAGGCATATTTTCTTAAATCTCTGATTTTTTGAAAACTGTATAATTAAATTCATTTTATTAAAATTCATCTATATTGATTTTTAATTTATCACATATACCTTCTAATTCTAATTCATCAAATAACAAATCAATATCACTTGTAGTAGTAGAATTCTTATAAGAAAAATCAATTGTTTTTTTTGGTGGTTCATAGCAAACACCTTATTTACAAATAAAATCTTTTTCAATATTGCATTTTGAATTACACCCATCCTTATCTATATTATTACCATCATCGCATTATTCAATTCCTGCAATAATATTATCTCCACATTTAGTAATACATGATTATAATTATTTATCTAAATATAAACCAGATATATTATCACATACTGAACAATCTTGAGTTGTGCATAATTTACAATTATTAGGAGTATTTTCACATTCTTTACATTTATCTGAACATTTATTACATGTATTATCTTTCAGAAAATATCCACTATCACATTTCAAACATTCAGTAATTGTTGAATCTTTGTAAATACATTCAATACAATGATCCTAACATTTATAACAAAAACTTAAATTATTATTATCTTCTTAACATTTATAATTTGGATCAACTTTACATTAAGTACATCCATCTCTAGGTATATCATTTTGATCATCACATAATTCTTCTCCATTCTTGATTCCATCTCCACATTTAGACACACATTTTTGTTGATTTAAATACAATCCTAATATACACTCAAAACAAATCCCTTTTTAGCAATTAGTGCAATTCTAATCACATTGATAATTGCATTCATAGCAACCATCATAAGGAAAACTATTACTATCTTCACATTCTTCTTTGCCAGCTAATATCCCATCTCCACATCTAGGAATACAATCATTTGTATAACTATCATAATATAGTCCTAATTAATCTCCACATAATTTCAAATCTTCACACTTATTAATAGATTAATTCAAAACAAAAGTATCCATACATTCAACACACTTACCCAATTGACAATCTGAACATTCTTATTGGCATTGATATTTACAATTATAACATCCATCATATTTAAATTCATTACCATCCTCACATTCTTCATTCGAAGCAACTAGATTATCACCACAAATAGAGTAACAAGAATTGTTCACAAGTTCTAAATAATAGCCATATTAACAAAGTAAACAAGTTTCATGAAAATATTTACAATATTGAGGTTTTATAATCTAACAACTAAAGCAATCCTTATCATTAAATTCACATTACTCATCATAAGCAAGTATTCCATCTCCACATTGAGAAACACACTAATTTCTTTAATTTAGATAATATCCCTCTTAACATTTTACACAAAATTCATTATAACATTGAATGCAAAAAGGAAAACATTGATTACAATAAAGATTTGGAGATATTTTCATATAAAATTCACATTAAGTTAATTTTATCTAATTAGCTTTGCATTTTCCTTCAAAAATATCATAGTCTGCATTTAGGTCGCATTTTACACAAGTATCGCTAAGTGGAAATAAACAATGATCAATAATTCCATAAGGTAAATCTAATTATTTAACACATTGTTATTATAAATTGGGAGATATTTCATAACCGTCTTTACAAAGCTAACAGAGACCAAAATTGAAAACTTAACAATTTTCATCATTTTAGAATAGACAATTCTTGCATCCATCATTTTAATCTACTTCTCCAAAGAAATCACATTATTCATTGAATGTTTAAATTCCATCTCCACAAATCGAATAGCACTTTGATTGTATTAATTAATAACCATCAATACAATCTAAACAAACTCCTTTTATGCAGATTAAACAAGAGGCTTGGCAATTAAATTTACATTAATGACACCCATCATCATAAATTAGATTACCATCATCGCATTCTTCATCCTCTGTTATTAACTTATCACCACAGATAGAATAACATACATTATTTATTCTATTATAGCCTGTTTTACAAGTTGTGCATCCCTAACCTGATATACCACAGTTTAAACATGAAGGTTAACATTTAGGTTTACAATTTTAGCAACCTTAGTAGGGCAGAATTAATCCATCTTCACAAATTTCCTATGAAACTTTGATTGAATCTCCACAAATAGGAAGACAAACTTTGTCTAATGAAAGTATATATCCTGTGGCACAACTCTCGCATCTTTCATTAAGGCAAGTTAAACAAATAGTGGATGATTGACATTAATATTAACAAATACCATTGCATCCATCAGTAGAAATAGTATTCTTATCATCACATTATTCAGAATGAAATCCAGTTGGATCTGTCACAATGAGCCCATCTCCACATATATTTTTGCAATAATATGACACTGGTCTAAATCCAGTGTTACAACTCAAGCAAGTATTTGTATTGTAATCACAAGATTAACAACCTAGTCTACAAAAATATCGACAATCCTTGCATCCATCTGTGTCAATAGTATTTCCATCTTCACATTATTCAGAACCAACTATTACACCATCTCCACATTTTTCTTTGCAAACCCAAGGAGTCTAAGTAGGATCTATTTACCATCCACTTGTTGCACATTCATAACATAATCCTTTGATACATTTTGTGCATGCAGGTTAACATTGATATTTACAATTATAACATCCATCATATTCAATAGAATTACCATCCTCACATTCTTCATTACCTGTGATTATACCATCTCCACATAAATCAGGACAAGGTAAAACTGTAGATGAATCACAAGTCAAACAATTTTATGGGCATTAAAATTAACAATTGTAACATTTATCATCAAATATAGAATTTCCATCTTCACATTATTCATATCCTACAACTTATAAATCACCACAAATAGGACGACATTCACCAAATTCTATTATAAAACCAGGATCGCATTAAAGGCAATTTTAAGAATGCCAAATTTATGAATTATTATTGCATTATTTATAACACTAACTTAAAGTACTATCTAATTCTATTGGACAGGCTATGTATTATTAAATATAATACCTATACAATCATTGTTTACCATATAATATCCAGGTTGACACACACATTCTAAACCTTTTAAAACACGAAATTATAATGAATTACAAGTAAGACAACCATTAATACTTGCTCTAAAGCATGTTTAACAAGAATAATGGCATGAATTACATGAATTTGTTGATTCTTAATAGCTTGTACCCAATGGACATGAGCAAGTAGATCCTATTTTTTGGATCATACTTATATTTTTGCAAGTTATACAATCATTATTTGTTGGACCAGAACAAGTTTCACAAAATTTATGGCAAATTAAACAGATTGGATTATCAATAATTGGATAATAACCATCAATACAAACACATTATCCATTTAAAAGTCTTCTATTATTTATTGTTAAACATTCTATACAATAAGTTGCACTTAAACATTAATTACATTCTATAGGACAATCATAACATTAGTTTTAGTGTTCATACTGATTTATTTTACAAACACACCCTTCTTTTGTCTAGATATAAGAGGTTTAGCAAGTTAAACAATGAAGTTGAGAAGTGCAACTCAAACAAGAAGAAGGACAATCTAAACAACTAAGAGTAGGTTTAAAATAATATTGATTAGATAAGCATTCCGCTTAAGAAAACTTAATTACATTAGAGTTATAAGTAATATCCCATTATGTGCATGTCTATTAATCTGTACAAGATAAACAATAAGGCTGACAATAATGAACGGCAATATAAAAGTTATAAACAGCGCAATATGCTGATAAAGGTTCATTATTTGGTCCAAAACATTCCCATGTAATTGTCATCGTATTTTAATTATGTCCTAATCTCTCCTGAATTCTCTGATATTTTGTATTATCTGTATTAGTAGAATAACTATTGCTTAATGATTTTTAAACTTAAATAATTGAATCAACTGAGTATATAAATTAGCCATCAGCAGGGAAATTAGGACCATATAAAATGTAAAATCCTATAGTTACACTATGATGAGGATTTAATTAACTAAATGTTCTTGAAAATTTAGCCTAAGCCCATACATATTGACCTCCAAAGACCCTTATAGATTTCCAATAAGAATAGTAAATACTTGAACCTTTCAAGAAATTAATACCATTTTGAGATAACAAAACATACTTTGAGTATTATGTAGGGTCATTTGCTAAATTTATATATTCTTTAATTAAATATTTAGAATCTAAATTAAAATATATTCTTACAAGGTGTTTCATCATCATAATCTTGACATAATGAATTAACAAGATTCTAATAAGGTTGAGAACAGGTAGATACGCAAGTACCTTATATATTTTTATAATATCCACTTCTGCAAGTTAAGCAGACAAAAGGTACATCACAGATCAAACATGATGAGAAGCAATATCCTTTTGAAACTCTAATCATGCTGATTCCCCATCCGGCCTCTGAATTTCTAGAATAGTTTTAAATAATTCATATTACGTATAATTCCCTTATGCTGTTAATAGAAATGAGTATGGAGGTATATCAAAAAATCCATATAATTCATATATCTTACAAATAGTGTATGGTGAATAACAACTAGAATAAGATGTGATATCTTCAATTTTGATTTTATGAGTTTATACTCCTTAAGATGTTTAGAAAATTGAACCATAATAAGTATTATTAATTTTAAATTCTATGCCACTTCCTAAGGGTATGTTATTAAAAATCCAAAGATCTATTTTCAGACCCACTAAATAATTTTAATAGATTGATGTTGATAAACTAATAAATCTATAAAATCCTGAGTTATATTTAAAGATCCCGAATACATAATCAAAATTAGCATAGATAAGCGATGGACTAGTATCAATATTCTATGGATCATAGATCAAAGAATATTGGAAAAGGGTTGAATCAGAAGTTGATGAGTAAAAATTAGAACTAAAATAAATATTTTCTAGAATTTATAAGTATATTTACAAATATGGCTTTGACAAAATCCATTTACATAATTTTGAGATTCAAATGGACAATTTTCTTTGCAACCCTGATTTTATCTATAAGATAAATTTAAAGGGCATAAAGGACAAATATTATTGGTTGGTTATCCATAATAGCATGATGTACATTGATTGTATTCAGGTCCTGTACATTATGAACATGATGGATAACAAATTATTTAAAGCTCAGAAAACATAATATTTCTTATTGAAACTTATCCATTCCCAGTTATAGTTGATGAAAATGTTACATAACTAGAAACTGAGGATGGTATAGTAAGATTTAGGGTTTTGACGTCATAAAGAATGGAATCACAAAATCCAGTTGTCAATGGATAATTTGTTGGGGAAGTGTAGGTATAGGTGTATGTATATGTTCCAAATTTAAAAGTGATAGCTTCATTGGACCATGTATCATGGAAATACAAATCAATGGAAATAAGGCCTCCACTCTATATAGAATCAATAAAATATTATTTAGCACTAGGGTTTTCTTTATTTAGTGTGATATAGCTTGTAGAAGGACTTGTGCAATTGATAAAATAAGCAGTTGATAGGGGTTGCGTCAATTTTACAAATCCATCTGCATAATTATATGCTAATGAGCTTGTAGTTTCAACAAACAATTCGTATTGAGTCAAATATGTCTCTCCAGACTACCATTAGGCATTAAGGTAAAAAACAAAGCAACATAGTATAAATTGTGAATATAAAATCATTTACTTAATATTATGAATTAATTAAAATCTATCTTAAACATTTTAATTTATAATAAATTAACACACAATAATTTTATTTTATTTTTAATTATGTCAATAATCATTTAAGAATAAAAACAAACTTAAAATAGCTTTTGTTCAAGAAAAAGTAATATCTTTCACCTTTTTAAAACTGATTTGACTACATAGGCTTTAATTGATAATCTCAAACAAATAGCTCTAAATATATTTTCTAATGAAATTTCTTCTTTGGGTTATGATTATTAAATTTTATAATATTAAAATTATGTTGTATGTTTATGAAGATTATTTCAGTTGGCCTTCTTCATCATATATTTTAAAAAAATAGTGAAATAGATTTAAGACCTGAAGTTTTTTTGATAAAAAATGGACTAGTTTTCTTCTGATTTTGAATATAATTCCTAAAAACACTTGATAATTTTAAATAGAAAGTATCAAGTAATATGTTTTAGAGTTTAGATGTAAAAATCATCGTTGATGATTGGATCAAAATAAAAATTATAAGTTTATTATTAATAATAATACTTAAGTTATTAAAAAAAATAAATGTATAAAAATGAAAATAGTATACTTAAAAGAATCATTTATTCTTCAAATAAAATATCCTAATTTATATAAAAATTCAAAGAATAATAATTTTATCCTTTGTAACTAGAATTTTGCTTTTCTGATTAACAATCTATTGCTTTGATTAAAAAGATTATTTGTATAGAATATGTAAATAATAACCAGTCAATCTTTTCCATTATTTTTAATTTATGTACTATTATAAAAAATTAAATTTCTGTCAATATTTATATTGAATTTAGAATATATAGAGCAAGATTTAATCATTTTTAATTTAAATATAGAACATAGGGCAATGAAAAATATTGAGTTAATAATTTTTTGCTCTCAGTGATGAATAGAAAAATGTATGAATTAACTTAATGAAAATACAAATATATCTTAAAATGCTACAAAATATTTCCACACGAAATATTATACTCTTTGAATATGTATGTGGAATGATTTTTCAAGCATGAAATAATTTTATAAAACGAGTTAGAGTGATAAAAAATATTTTAATTCGCTTCATATTAAACTAAATTAATTATGCAACTATTAAGGTGAATTAAAAATATTGATTCGTAGTAGCAATTAATTTAAATTCTAATATATTTAAATTATTATTAGCAGAAACTGATAAATTTCAGTGACTGCAACATCTGAGATTTATAAGAAAGAGATATGCGAAAACTAATTTATTCTGATTTATTACTTTAAACTTAAATCATTAATTCAAATAGATAATATTTCAGTTTTATTTATTATAATCAATATAATTTAAATGTTTTGAATAATAAAGAATTTTTCATTTATTCTTGAGTGAAAAATTCTTTTAAATTTTTTTAAAATCTAATTACTCTACATCTTTCTCTTAATAGAAAAATATTTATTCTGCATTTTCATATATAATTAGCAAACTTTTTAATACTTGAACTCTGTTATAAGACGATGAAAAAATAAAAAATAAAATGATGTTATTTCATATAACTTGATTTAATCAATAATAAAGATATTAAATTAAGAAAACATCTAATAAAAGAATTTTTAATACTAAAATAACAAGGTAAACTACAGAGTTATTAATTTTCTTTAAGGTTATTTAAAAGGCTTTTCCAATGAAAACTAAATGAATTAAAAAACCATATAATACTTTGCCAAGCAGATTTTTTTAATATTTGTATAAAGAGTCAGAATAATTTTAAATAAATATTTCTAAACATAATTATTAATCCAACCAATTTATACATAAATAAGTTTATAATAAAATGTTTTGGTTTTCTATGAAGTGATTTAAAATATATTTATATTATTTACAAAAAATAAAAAATGTATTACGATATTTCTTATCAAATACTTCTTAAATAGGAGCTTATTATTTATAGGAATAATTTAAATTTAATAATCAAAAGAAATTAAAAAAATTTTCTATCTTAAATGTTTAGATATTAAAAAGTTGAGAAAACTGTTCATATTTCAAAAATGACTTTTACTTAAGAAATTAGACTAGTTTTTCTAATCATTTATTATATATAAATTATATAAACCCTAATTCTATTGGTCTATATTTATATTAGATGATCTTTTATAAATTAATTTGGCTTAATTATAAAAATTAATCTAATAATAAAATTAAAACTAATATCCGATGGATCCTACTGCCAGATAATCAGAAAATTAAGAAAAATTAATTGTTATAAACCGGTCCTAAAACATCAGATTGATAAAACACACATTTTAGCTATTTATAATTATAGAAATTCTTGTTATAATAAGTAAGTACTTTTTTTCATATAGCTTAAATTTTTATGTTGTCATATTATAAGCTTTATACTCCTTATAAATTAGAAGCTAATAAATTGTGGATCTCTTTTTATTATAGTTGTTAAGGAGATAATTGCTTTCATAATAAGTATAAATATATTAATTAAGCAATCTGTGTTCGAATGTTTCAACATCAGAATAATATCCAATGGATCATTGTTTGAAATCTTAAGATTTTNTATTTATTATAATCAATATAATTTAAATGTTTTGAATAATAAAGAATTTTTCATTTATTCTTGAGTGAAAAATTCTTTTAAATTTTTTTAAAATCTAATTACTCTACATCTTTCTCTTAATAGAAAAATATTTATTCTGCATTTTCATATATAATTAGCAAACTTTTTAATACTTGAACTCTGTTATAAGACGATGAAAAAATAAAAAATAAAATGATGTTATTTCATATAACTTGATTTAATCAATAATAAAGATATTAAATTAAGAAAACATCTAATAAAAGAATTTTTAATACTAAAATAACAAGGTAAACTACAGAGTTATTAATTTTCTTTAAGGTTATTTAAAAGGCTTTTCCAATGAAAACTAAATGAATTAAAAAACCATATAATACTTTGCCAAGCAGATTTTTTTAATATTTGTATAAAGAGTCAGAATAATTTTAAATAAATATTTCTAAACATAATTATTAATCCAACCAATTTATACATAAATAAGTTTATAATAAAATGTTTTGGTTTTCTATGAAGTGATTTAAAATATATTTATATTATTTACAAAAAATAAAAAATGTATTACGATATTTCTTATCAAATACTTCTTAAATAGGAGCTTATTATTTATAGGAATAATTTAAATTTAATAATCAAAAGAAATTAAAAAAATTTTCTATCTTAAATGTTTAGATATTAAAAAGTTGAGAAAACTGTTCATATTTCAAAAATGACTTTTACTTAAGAAATTAGACTAGTTTTTCTAATCATTTATTATATATAAATTATATAAACCCTAATTCTATTGGTCTATATTTATATTAGATGATCTTTTATAAATTAATTTGGCTTAATTATAAAAATTAATCTAATAATAAAATTAAAACTAATATCCGATGGATCCTACTGCCAGATAATCAGAAAATTAAGAAAAATTAATTGTTATAAACCGGTCCTAAAACATCAGATTGATAAAACACACATTTTAGCTATTTATAATTATAGAAATTCTTGTTATAATAAGTAAGTACTTTTTTTCATATAGCTTAAATTTTTATGTTGTCATATTATAAGCTTTATACTCCTTATAAATTAGAAGCTAATAAATTGTGGATCTCTTTTTATTATAGTTGTTAAGGAGATAATTGCTTTCATAATAAGTATAAATATATTAATTAAGCAATCTGTGTTCGAATGTTTCAACATCAGAATAATATCCAATGGATCATTGTTTGAAATCTTAAGATTTTAATATATTTAGATATATTCTAAGTAGCATTCTTATTTTAATTGTTCTTATTATGATCTTTGATATTTATAGAATGATGAATATCAAAAATGAATTGAAAAATCAAATTTTGTCTCCTAAACTTATTTATAAGGCTAAGAAATATTAAATTTTTATAATACTTTTATTATGCTTATATTATGTGATACTATTCATTTTTATTTTTGGAATAGATGGATATTGTAATCAATATTGATATCATAAATAGATTGTAGTGGATTAGGAAGTGCATTTTTTGTTGGATTTTCAGGATTCTTAATATACTTGATCATTATTATATATTTTAGATATCTAAAAGGCAGGTTATCAAGAGAATCTTATTTTGAAAACCTTTTAAACGGTGGGCTTGAAGCATCTGATTTGTAACAAAATTTTGAATTTAAAACCGTTGAATGCAGAGAAGAGCGATTTTATTCTGTTCCAGACATAGATAATTGAAGAATTACATGAAATTTTGTTTGATAATAATAAAGTGTGTTGAATTTTATAGGATAACATTTTCTAATAAATTATTAAGAATTTAAAGTTAGTATATTCCATCATTTTCTAAAGATTAAAGTCTAAAAATATATGAATAAGAATAGAAGTTTATCTTAAAAAATTGATACAAAAATTATAGGAAATTTTTAATACAATATTAGAATTTAGAAATTATGCTAAAAACCTGAGTTTCTAAAAATTCGATCATTTAGTTTTATATATTTAAGATGTAAATTCCTATTTATAAAATAAAAATCTTTATTTATGAATTAGTAATGATTTATTAATCATAAAAACAAGATTATTTACAAATATAAATTTCTCTAAAAAAATATGAAAATCATATACAACATTCCGCTTTATAATAGTGAGGTTCTATAAACTTATTCATATTAATAAATTATTGTACATCCAATAGAAATGCTTCCTATAAATCAAATATAATAATAGATCTTAAAATCACTCAATTAACTATTTTCAATTAAAATCTTGTTTAAAATTTACAATTTTATTGAATAAAAGTATAATTCTTAATATAGATTGTCTATATTCAAATATTAATATTTGCAAAATCGATGTTTAATTAACTAACGTAATAATTTAAAACTATATATTATTAAAAAATCATAAATAGAAGATCAAATATTAGTAAATGTTTTTCAGTACTAAATTATAGTTAATTAAATACTAAAAAGAGTCAAATATAAAACAAATACTTCTAGAATATATGTCCATTTATTTTTGATTGTAATTAAAAAATATGTATATAATTAAAAAAAAAATAATACTAATATTGATATATCAATTATCCAGGAATATAAAAACTGCACAGCATTGTAGTGTATAAATCTTGAAATTTAATTTCTATTTTGAAAATTGAAAAGAGAGTTTAGAACAGATAGCTTTCTTACTCCAAATACATGTCAAAAATTGGGATATTGATTGATTATTTTCTGATAGTATTTTATAAATAATTTGACTTAGATGATGTAATCTGCTCCAATTTCATTTATTTAAGAGAGTTCTGCAGCTTGGGAATATGCTTAGATCTATATGAGTTATTCCTTCGTTAAATTTTAGAGGCAATAAATTCTAATAGAATTGAGCCTACTCATATAAAGCTATCTTAATATGCGAACCAAATAAAGATACAGCAATTTCGTTTTGCAACTATTGAAGATCAAATAAAAGTAGAAATTTAAACAAGAAGCCTTCATATCCTGTTTTTAAATTGCTCTTAATATATTCTAATTAAAAAGGAATTTATAAGCTTTAATTTTCAATTCATTTACTCTTACTTCAAAGTTAGCTTGAATCTCTTGCTTGTAATTTAATAGAATTAAGCCATAAAGAATTTTTAGTTAAATTTAACGATAAAGAAGAAATCATTATAGCTCTATTAATATTAATGCTAAAGCTATTGGTTGGAATCAATAAATTTTTGAATAGGCTATTAATAATGAGAATTTCTGAAGGAATTCATGTTTTTAAGCTAAATCTAAATTAACTTAAAGAATTTCTCTCAAAAGAAATGTTATAACAGCGATTATCGCTAATGAGNGTAGTGGATTAGGAAGTGCATTTTTTGTTGGATTTTCAGGATTCTTAATATACTTGATCATTATTATATATTTTAGATATCTAAAAGGCAGGTTATCAAGAGAATCTTATTTTGAAAACCTTTTAAACGGTGGGCTTGAAGCATCTGATTTGTAACAAAATTTTGAATTTAAAACCGTTGAATGCAGAGAAGAGCGATTTTATTCTGTTCCAGACATAGATAATTGAAGAATTACATGAAATTTTGTTTGATAATAATAAAGTGTGTTGAATTTTATAGGATAACATTTTCTAATAAATTATTAAGAATTTAAAGTTAGTATATTCCATCATTTTCTAAAGATTAAAGTCTAAAAATATATGAATAAGAATAGAAGTTTATCTTAAAAAATTGATACAAAAATTATAGGAAATTTTTAATACAATATTAGAATTTAGAAATTATGCTAAAAACCTGAGTTTCTAAAAATTCGATCATTTAGTTTTATATATTTAAGATGTAAATTCCTATTTATAAAATAAAAATCTTTATTTATGAATTAGTAATGATTTATTAATCATAAAAACAAGATTATTTACAAATATAAATTTCTCTAAAAAAATATGAAAATCATATACAACATTCCGCTTTATAATAGTGAGGTTCTATAAACTTATTCATATTAATAAATTATTGTACATCCAATAGAAATGCTTCCTATAAATCAAATATAATAATAGATCTTAAAATCACTCAATTAACTATTTTCAATTAAAATCTTGTTTAAAATTTACAATTTTATTGAATAAAAGTATAATTCTTAATATAGATTGTCTATATTCAAATATTAATATTTGCAAAATCGATGTTTAATTAACTAACGTAATAATTTAAAACTATATATTATTAAAAAATCATAAATAGAAGATCAAATATTAGTAAATGTTTTTCAGTACTAAATTATAGTTAATTAAATACTAAAAAGAGTCAAATATAAAACAAATACTTCTAGAATATATGTCCATTTATTTTTGATTGTAATTAAAAAATATGTATATAATTAAAAAAAAAATAATACTAATATTGATATATCAATTATCCAGGAATATAAAAACTGCACAGCATTGTAGTGTATAAATCTTGAAATTTAATTTCTATTTTGAAAATTGAAAAGAGAGTTTAGAACAGATAGCTTTCTTACTCCAAATACATGTCAAAAATTGGGATATTGATTGATTATTTTCTGATAGTATTTTATAAATAATTTGACTTAGATGATGTAATCTGCTCCAATTTCATTTATTTAAGAGAGTTCTGCAGCTTGGGAATATGCTTAGATCTATATGAGTTATTCCTTCGTTAAATTTTAGAGGCAATAAATTCTAATAGAATTGAGCCTACTCATATAAAGCTATCTTAATATGCGAACCAAATAAAGATACAGCAATTTCGTTTTGCAACTATTGAAGATCAAATAAAAGTAGAAATTTAAACAAGAAGCCTTCATATCCTGTTTTTAAATTGCTCTTAATATATTCTAATTAAAAAGGAATTTATAAGCTTTAATTTTCAATTCATTTACTCTTACTTCAAAGTTAGCTTGAATCTCTTGCTTGTAATTTAATAGAATTAAGCCATAAAGAATTTTTAGTTAAATTTAACGATAAAGAAGAAATCATTATAGCTCTATTAATATTAATGCTAAAGCTATTGGTTGGAATCAATAAATTTTT